TGATGTTGGAAAAACTATATCAACTGAAATTCTATGGTACGACGACTCAAACGAATTCTCCTCGGCAACTGTTTTTTGCACAGAAGCATTGTTTTTCGGGGATTTACAAAATGAAATTTGTACACTTTAGTGAAGTTTGCGTAATGAAGGTTAAGACCCTTGTATAGCTTTTATCACACACGCTTTTAAAAAAGTTCACCCTGTAAAACGAGCAACAAAAAACGTGCAACTTGTTTAATTTTTCAACATTACTGCAAAACGAGTTTAACAGCGATGTTGCGCGTTTTACCACCCACTAAAAAAACTTGCAACCGATTTTGTTTTAAAACACGCGGTACGTTCGAACGATGATGGTAAAACGCGCAACATCGCTGTTGAACTCGTTTACCTTTGTTGCGCGGCGAGCCAATCCTCTGGAATATATCTTGTACTTCTGACCATTTGAAAGTTGCTTGTTTTCATAACCATCATATGTTTTACCATCTCCGACCTCAAAAACCATGGATGGATTCACAGAATTACCGGGGATTTGAGCAGCAATATATATATCTGATCCAAGTGTCTTCCAGTCAGAAACCTCGTTACACCAGTCATTCACTTTTTGCACCAAAACTTGATAATCACTGTCAGTATCAGAAAAATAAAAACAAAATAGAAAAACACATGCTAGAAAGCTTTTACTTCTAACTGCTCAAAAAATTATGGATTTACAAACGGCTAGAAGTCGGTCCACAATCAAAGTCAAAATGAACCTCAAGCGAGGAACATCAAAATTATTTACCGATGACTTCTCTTCTCTGGTTTGTAACACTATCACACATAACGATTCGGCCGGCAACATGATTCAGTGAGACAATAGGTTTGCAAGTCTTGAAGTGCAATCAATTCGTCACTGAACTTTGACATTTTGAAGACTATTATTTTAATAGTAGAGGCGAAGCAAAGGAAAAATTTCCATTTACGTCAGCCATGTGTAAGATTTTCTCTTTGTGTACTTGTTTACAGTTGTATAATATTTTTAAGGGGTTATAAGATGACTCATACCTGATGGGACCATTGGTTTGTGATGCATGCCACACTGTGACATTCACAGATGTTCCTTTTGTTTCGATTACGTGGACGTCATGGTTTACAGGCGCCAAAGGTGCTGTAAGCCGAGCAAAAGATAACAGTGAAAATAGGAGACTTTTTAGCCATTTACACAGGGAAACCGGAAATTCGATCGATTGCTATGGTGCTATTCTAATGCTATTCTATTGCATTGGTTCTATTCTGTGTAGAAAGATTCTGAGAATAATTATGGGCTGTAGTTCCAGTTCATCGATGTTTTCTGCTCCTTTCAATTACTTCATGTGGCTGGTTGTACTTAGTAACATTTCTTGCTCCTCCAATTATCGAATATTTTTTCAATGAGATCACCCCCAACCCCGCCCCCCTCCGCCCACTACCAAAAAATGAGGACTCCCATCTCTCTAACCCTCTTTATTGATGATAATGACTAGCAATAACCAAAGTTTACGGAGTGCAGACGACAACGATCGAAGATCAAAACGCATTTGCAACATCGCTGTGCTTTGCTAACGTTTACGTGATAGATGGTCGAAACACGTGTGGTCACATTACGAGCGATAGAAGATCCAAACGCACGTGATCAAATCGCGTTCTGTGCATTCCATTCATTCTTAGTGGAAGTTCAAACGAATGCTGGCTACATGCATCCCACGTATGCTTAATAGCAACCCGCAGATCAGGATTGCGGGCTCCTGTTGTCGGTCGCAATAATTAGTTTAATTTATTATCGCTGCACGAAAAATTGGATTTACACAAATTTACTCGAGTAAATATACTGCAAAAAAGTGCAAACTAGGGGTAAATCAAAAGCAACGATGGTAAATACTGCATTTGCTCGCCAGTTTACATGGGGTTGTAAATTTGAGTGCAAATGCGGTATTTACCATCTTTGCCTTTTATTTAACCTTAGTTTGCAATTTTTTGCACTAAATTTGCACGGAGTAAATTTTTCGTGCAATGTACGTTCTACTCGAAAGAAAATTATCCTACGTTTTGTTTCTGTATGTTTTTTGTTTTTGTTTTTTATTTTAATTTTGTTGTTTTTGTTTTTGATTTATTTTTAATTCAGTGTTATCACTGGTTGGTTTCTTCGCCCTCATCTATCAGCACAAACGGATTTTCCCTGTTGGAAAGTTGGAAAATAGTTAAGAGGACATCGTTATTGAACAACGGAACGTACACACACAGTAAATAACTTACCATCCACTTTTGTGCTTCCCTGCGCAATAGAACTGTTGCCTCCGTGGCCACAGTAGGTTTCAGCCATCACAACAAAAGCATACTTTGTACCAGGGACCAGATTGGTGATTGTCAATCTTAACGTCGGACACTCCGTTTCTTGAATTCCAGTATGCGGTTTAAATTCTGGATAATAATCCTTTGTACCTTTAAAGGTTATCTGCGGTATACATCAATAACTGTCACGTAATTATATGGTTGTCTATAAGGCTACGCCGACATAGCAAGGAATTTTCGAACGGCCGAAAAATTTGACCGGACTCTTCGTTCACACGGGATCGTTCAATATTTTCGCTTTTCCACACGGAACTTTGAACGGCGAGGCGTATAAATTTTCGCACGGTTAAGGTGGTTTCGTGAACAGATCATCTAAACGCACGAATTTGCAACTGGTAATATCGCCCCATACAAAGGGATCCGGATTCCTGGGTTTTGGAAGCCGGATTACATCTCAATGAATCCAGAATTCAAGTTCTACTGACAAATACTGGAGTCCAGTACCTATAATGCGGAATCCACAGCGTTGAATCCAGAATCCAAAACTATCCTGGATTTCCTTACACGAGGCGGAGTCGAAAATTCGTAAGGTGCCCTGTTAAGGCGGAATACATTGTATATGATCCAATGTCAGAGGACTGGGGCGAAGTGTGTAGTCGATCTCACAGTTACCACTATTCACTCAATTAAACGCCGCTTGCAATCAGAAGAATTTGGTGTTTATTCGAGGAATACATGAAAAAACACGCAAAAATTGCACAATTATGGTTCTATCTCAAAGAAAAAGGCGAGGCATTGGAATTATTTCTTTCACATGTTCTTTCAAAATATTCCAGCGAATCCCATAATTTCAAAAATTTGATTTTTATGGCGTCATCACTTTAGAACTCTATAAATATTCGTTATAAGGAAAGTCAAAAGTTACCTTGTAACGTTGTACATCATCCCCGTGTAGTTTCGGTTTACCCCACCGCAAGGTTATGCTTCGTTTACCAGGATTTTCCGTCTTCACGTTTGTTGGTTCACTTGGAACTACAACCAATCAGTAATGATCATTTGAAATGTTTGTAAGGGATGAACACACAATCTATGAGAACGAGTCAAATACATCGCCCTTCCGGCAAAGAACATTTTCGACGATTGTGTATTTTGCTTTCTTTGGAACGGAAAGTTTTCCCTGTGTAGCTTAATATTAGTTCTGTCAAAGAAGCGGCTCAGTTTCCCTTGGAGATCTACCAAATCCTAACACCTCTCTATTTTGGACAGTTCTTCTCAAAGAAGCAAAACTTTACCTATCTCTAAGGGGACACCTCTATAACGCGCACACTCGGCACTGTCCCTTTCGTGTCCGTTTTAAGTCGACTTGTGGCAGTGAAATACCTGAAGTCGCGATGTTACGAGTAAGTCTACCAAAGACTCCTGGCCCAGCAGAAGTGTAGGCACGCACTTCAACTTTGTAAACAGAGCACGATGAAAGACCAGTTAAAACGATAAATGTGTCTGTTGTGTTTTGTAGAACTGACGGAGTGGACGCGGATCTTGTAGTGCGTGTAATAGAAAGCGTTGTCTGATTCACTTCATATGCGATCACTCTACCATTGGTCTTGTCTCTGGGAAGGGGATTCCAACTTATTTTGTAAGTTGTTTCGTTCATCTTTTCAGAGGTTATGTTTTGAGGTGGCGCGCTTGGTTCTGCAAAAAAAGTAGGAAGTAGTAGGACTTGTTACACTCACGATCTGGACATCGACTTCAGGCTCTAAAAGGGGAAAGTAACAGGTTAAGTTTAAATTAATTGATACTCAATCTGAATAGTTCTATCCTATGACCGGACGCCTGATTACTACAAGGAAAAACGTGGAATTAGTTTGCATACACGCCTTTCACAGTTCCTCAGATTTTAATGGAAACATATGTTAGATGAGTAGTTGATACTTCATTACTCGACTGAGTGGAGCCGCTACAACGATGTGGCGGTCCATATTTTAGAACAAGAATTATCATTCTCAGAACTGCATCTAATTTGCATCATCACTTACTGGCAGTTTTTGTTGTGAAATTCTGGAAATTACTCCACAGACCCTTTCCTAAGACACTTGTGGCTATCAACCTAACAATGTAGGCTGTGTATGGCTTGAGGTTGATAATCTGTTTTCTTAATACAACTCCCAAAGTTATATCATCTGTAGAAGTACTATTTCGATACTCAAGATTGTAGGCAGTAACAGGCATTTCATCCACTCCAGGACTATACGACCATGTGACTAATGCTGATCTTGCATTAACTTCACTTGGATTAACTTGAACAACTGGCTGGCCTGGTTTCTCTGAAAACAACAAAAATGTGCCTCACTATGAGCCTAATTTATAAGGTTATCTAATACGCAGCACTTAAACTGTTGAACAGGTGACTAAATCAACAAATAAACAAACGCACGCACTGAAAAAAGGGATAATATCTTTTCTAGAGAAATACGTTAACCACTTAGAAAACGTTGAAGGTTGAGGTGTTATTTTTAGAAAGTACTTCTTTCACCTAATACCGTTTACAGTCATGCATTTTTGGAATGCAATATTAAATTCTTGAAAACTGCGTGTTCCCTAATATTAAATTAATTTTCGTACACACAATAACGATCAAAAAGGCGTTCCAAGGTACGCATAAGTTTTTGCTTACTTAAAGACACAATAACATTTGCAGTGGTAAAATGCCTGCTTTGTATTCCAGAAAGTGACGCAGAGCATTGGTAGGTTGAATTACACTGGACTTCACTGGCTGATTGAAGCTTTCTTGCACAAGAGTTACTGTAGATATTACTGGCACTGTTGTAAGGGATGGTAAGAGAGGAGGTTGTGTCAGACAGCCCCGTTCCGTCTTTTCTCCAACTATACCCAGAGGGTTGTCTAGGGCTGTAACTAGCCACACAGGTTAGAGTCACAGATTTACTAGTGTCGGCTATCAAACGAACATCGTCAAGATTAATGTTTAACGCCAACGAAACTTGGTCTGAAAAAGACAAGCAAATAAACAATGTAAAGACGACAAGAAATAACTTTGGAAACTTATCAAATACATTATCTCAGTTTTACAGACGATTAGGTTTATTGAATCTGATTGGCTGAGAGCAATGCAGTTTTAAGATCATGCGCTTACCGGTACGGGCGGCCATCTTGCTTCCATTTGTACCAAGGGGCGGGTGTCGGGGTTTATAGCATGTGGGGTTTATGTCGGGGGAGGGAGGCGAGAAAGTAGATTTCATACAAATCCAAGGTACATAGCCGCCTGTAACTAAAGCGGTTGATCTCGAGGAACTTACGGAAAAATAATGGACTGTAAAAAGCCTATAAGTAAACTGAGTGCAAAAACGAGGAAATATAATTCAATTATCAGGTAATGAAGAACCGTGATTGGCAAAAAACAATAGAAATGTTTAAGAACCAATCAGGCGCCGCAATCTTTATTGGCAACTTTGAGGTTGCGCGTGAGACTGGGTTCAAGTGTTGTGCCGATCGAATTGTATTGTGGGGATGTTGTGAGGACGAGTTTTGATGTAGTAAATTTTTGCCCGTTTGATACTTTTTTGAAAAACACACTCATGCAAATAAATTTCAAATTGAACTTGAAGTCGTATGATGACCTATACAAACACTGTCTTCTGACAGAAAAGTTTGCATTACCGTTTACGAAAAAAAATTCACAAAATTCACTTCTCGACGGTAGCAGTTAGCCGGTAGATATCTCCATCCAATATTCCTTTGCGCACGCTAGAAAGTGCAGCTGTACTTATTATACGGCTGGCGGGCAAGATGAGGCTGATTGGTGACCTGAGGAAGCAAGATGGGAGGAGCGTTGCTTGACGAGACAAAAACGGCTGCGTGTGAGACTAGCTACAAGCGCCTAGCACAGTGATGGCAAGATTAAGCTCGTTTGTTTATTCAAGTTTTTAAGCTTAAGTTACTTTTTAGCCCAAATTAAAATGTACATTTCATCTTATAGTTTCTTTTTTAACATTTAAAGCATTGTAACGCGCTTTTGATCACATTTGCATGGAAAAGGCAAGTTATTAATTTTTAATTTTTATTATAAATTATTTACTGTGTATACGGGCAGCACATGTATGCCATTCATTCAATTTTTTTTTAAATCCCTTCTAACAAATTATACTTACAATCCTTACAGCCAAACAAGTCCATTCTCATACATATTTTACCAGTATATGTTTTGGGAAATATTCTGACATATTGCGCTGCAAACGGGGAAGCAAACAAGTGGACAACAATGGTATTTCTGTCGCTGTTTCCAGTCAAATGCTGAGTGGTAGATCAAGAACAAAGTAAGTGGAGATATACAAATAATTTTATTTACAAGAGACCACAATCTGTGTGGTATATTCCCAAATCGGCTGAAGGGGAGCGCTAGAGGTGATGGGAAGGAGAAATTTTTCTCCTTTTTCTCCTTTCCATCACCCCTCGCGCTCCCTTCGGTCACGCTTCTCGTGACTGGGGACGAGTCAGCCTAAGCGGGGTTGCAAATGTCCCTTCAGGGGCCCGTTCCTCGACTGAAGTTCCAATAATTAACGGACAAACAAGAAAAGTTGTCAGGAATACATTAAGCACTAAGTAAATCTTCCGCTTTAGGGTAAAAATGTCCTCTGTTTTATCTGTCTACTCATTATGTCCAACAAAAAACCTATTTGTACATTTAATGTACAAATAGGTTCATTGCGGAGCTTCGAATTGCAGGCTGTAATCGGACAGTCGGACTACAAATTGCTACATTGTTCGACTCCTACAACCTACGTTTTGAGGCCAGAGACTCGTCACTGCTTACAACAAAGCTCGCAATATGATACTTTTCTGTCTCGAGCCCTTGTTGGACGATTGCCAATCTTGAGACTTGTTCCTTCATAAGGTTTAATAATGCCTTCCGGAAAACTTTGCTCCAGGCGGCCAAAAGGAAAACTAGAAAATTAACCGACTACAGAAAACAACTTCTATCGCGCGCGCTGATTTCAAGTAGGATTGTTTTATCACACGAAAATGAGAATTGTGCGAAATGATCGCAGGTAATGGTGTTCGTGGTAGGGCCGAGGGAGGAGGATGAAGAAAGATGCAGACAGCATTATAAACACATGATTTTAGGGTTTATCTCGGTGTAAAATGTGAAGTTTTTCTTTGTTTTCTAGCTTTTATTTTCCTTGGCTCTATTGTGTTGGCCTCTCAGTGGCTCTTTGTATTCATTGTTTTACGTCACTCGTGAGTTTCAAAGGTTTTTACACCGAGGATGAACCTGATTTAATGCCTACTGCAGTTTGTTAGACGATTTGTGTACTCAAAACGTTATAAAAAAGAAAAAAGTAAAGTAAACGAGCCCGAAATGAGAATGTCAAGGAAAAACTCCTGGAGCTCAGTTTAAGCAAATCCACACAGATATATGAATACATGTTGAAAATTTACCTGTCCTGCTCCGTAACTAATCCATGTTTTACCATCATATCCAAAGCGGATTAAATAGCTTGTCACCCAGTTGTTCCTTTGAGCATCTCCCTGAGTGGCCACGCCTGTGACTGTTACAATTTGTCCGAAATCAGCCTGTAGGTACTGGGGTAGGGATACTGAAAAGCTACACCAACCGTGAGTACCATAAAGGCGACTCCAAATAGCTTTATATCCACCATCTTCTGAGGATTTTGTAATTGTAAAATCCCTCGTTTTACCGCGTTCATTCTTGAACGATACAAAACAACCTGTAAAAACATTAGGAAATATGGCATATTAATTAAGAAAAATTAAATGTACTGTTTAAAAACGAGCGGTTTCGATTATCAGGTTTTAAACCTGATAATACAGACTGCGAGTTTTTTAACGACTTCAAAAATCCTGATAAAGATCAACTCATTCTTACACTGATATTTAGATTTGGGGTCATTTTGGTCTAAAAACGTGACGTAAAGTTCATCTGTTTATCAGATATAAAGACAGGGGCACCCAACGACGGTTTCCTCCTAAATGCATTGACAACACTTTTTAGGATATCCAGAGTACTCTTAGATCTCTAGAAATGTATTCTAACTAGGGCTAAAAATTTTTTTATCTGTTCGGTCTTCCTAGGGTTAGTTGAGTCTTTTCGAAATTACAAGAGCTTCAGCATTATTTTCCCGAAAATTTTAGCTGCAGTTTAGAGTTTTACGAAAGTGAGAATTTGTGTCTGCATCACATTTTTGGTTCCAAAAATTTTAGGTTTAAAATTCCTTTCTCTATTGAAAAAGGCTTAACCTGGGGAGTGAAATGGAAAAAATTAGCTTCACAAAATCGTAGGAATTTATTAGATAGCCTTCAAAAATTGTACATGAGTGGAACGGTCATCTAAAAAAAATCTAGACAATTCTGTTCTCAGAACAGATATTTCAAAAACAGTCATTGGGTGCTCCCGTTAAATCACTCATTAAACTTTCTTTTGTTTTTTCCTTATGAATTATTAATGAGTTTTTGAACTCTTGAAAAAATTTCCATTCGCTCCATATTAGTTACAATGACAAAGAAGGAAACAAACGAGGAGGAACAAAATCAATATAGTAAATCCAATTATTAAAAGCACCCTTTTTCTAAAGTAAAGGAGAAAAATAAACAGAGAGGAAACAAGAAAACGTGAAATAATCACCATAGATGTACAAAGATTGGTCAGGCAGTAATTAGGAAGCCTAACCAACGACAACAACGGCAAAAAAGCAATAGGTTTTGCCCCACCCACATGTATCCGGATATTTTTGATTACGGAGATTTTTACCTCCATTTTCAAACAAATACACAACCACACGTAGCATATTCGAATCGTAGTCACCCGTCCACACGAAAACGCTAAAACGATGGAAATACCATAGCTTCATTATTGAGCATGCGTTATGCTAGAAGTATATGATGTATGACATCATCGTATTCCGAATTCGAAACCGTTTTCGTCCGTCCACACGTAAAAGAAAAGCCGACGTTTTCAAAAATCTCCACACTGGAGAACGTTTTTGAAAGGGTGCGTTTTCTGTGACCGTTTTCACTGAATTAGTGAGTGCGGACGGTAAGCTTAACCGGAGAAAAATATCCATTTTCAACCAAAAACGGATACGTGTGACGGAGCCTTATAAGCAAACAACAACTTTGCACGAGCATTACGTATTTTTGTACATTCCTTTGGCGTCAAGGGTACGACAACGACGTGAAACTTCTTAATTTCACGTTTCATTGAGAATGTAATACAAGACAACTACTTTCCTTTCTTTTTTTTTAAACTGAGATACAGACCCTTAGAACTCAACTCGAGAAAAAATCTCTAACATTTGACAAATTTAGCGTGATCTGATGAGACGTTGATTCCGTCGCCGTCGTGGTTGCACGCTTAAGCTCCCTATTAAAACTGAGCACTTAACCAAGTGGTAAGTCAGTTTCCTTGCATCGTATGTACAAACCAGAATTTAGCAGCAGGGTTAGTTCAGTCGGTAGAGCGTTCGACTGCAGAGTGAGAAGTCGCGGGTTCGATTCCTGGGGCCGAACAAATACTCAGGGTCTTAAAATAACTGAGAAATGAAGGTACTTTCTTTACTCTGCAGACGGGTAGACCTTCGCGTGGCTCGAATGACAAGGTAAAATGGCGGTCCCTTCTCCAGTAGCAGACGTAAATAATAGTGTCCCCAATTAGTACTTTCGTGCTAAATACATTGACACTCAAAGTGCATTTTTTAATGCTGTGGTTGTCTTTTGAACTGCTTGTATTGGAAAGGTACTAAGAGACCAACCTTGCTCAGATCCATACACCTCCACCCTTAATGCTTTGCTGTTGTGAAATGTAACTGGATAAAAACGAATAAACTTGGCAGCAAGTGGCTCATATAGTTCACTTCTTACAATGCTGTTTTTGTCATCATTTCCAGTAAATATCTAAAAGCAAATTAACAAAAATTTCGATAAAATTCTGATGAAAGACAAATTCGTGCGTTTAGGTGTTTCATTCGCACGGAAACACGCTAACCGTACGAAAACTTGAACGCCTAGCCGTTCAAACATTTGAAATGAGCAAAATCAAGAGGTGTGAACACCATAACCATCTAAATTTTTGTGTAGCAAGGGCGTGGTTGCATGGATGCGTGGTAACTCAGCTGGGAGACGCCATACTGGATTTCATGTGAAGTAGTGTTCTGCGCATGGGTAGATGGAAAAACAACTGAAAATAATCAAAATTCGGAAACTGGTTTGTAAGTTCCATGTCAAGAGAGCGAAAATATTGAACGGTTCCGTGTCCGGTCAAATTTTTCAACCGGTCGAAAATTCGCCTAGTGCCTTTTTAACGTAGCCTACGTCTAACCCTACCCGCTCACGGTTAACAGGAGAAACAAGAACATATAAACAGACGATATTTATGAGGATTGCAACTACGTTGACGATGACTCCCTTCGGCAGAACAATAGGCAAAGGATATTAAAAGGGTTAAGCCACGTCTATATGTCAGTTTCTTTTACATTTTAATACTTATTTCCCCAACGTTTGCCATATGTAAACGGTGAGAGACCAAGGACGGAAGGCTGTAGAAGTGAGGGGAAAAAGAAAGCAAGGCAGGAGGCAGGAAGAAAAGAAGGGGGCAACTAGAGACGGTGAAGATGGGAGAAGAGAAAGGACAGCGAATGGAAGGGAGAGAAAGGGGACGAAAGCAACTTCGGCATGTGAAATCCTGGTTCTCGAGGCTAAGAGGTAAACACAATCCTTTATTACTTAGTGTCTCCACGATTATAATTTCGCTATTACTTCACCTAGAGCAAAAAAGGATGTACCTTTTCGGAACCACCCTCAGAGTAGAATTTCCACGCGACATTATCCAGGGACGTCTTTATCTTGTATGTTTTTGTCCAATAATCATTATTTGGATTTCCTTGTGTTGCTACTCCACAAACAAAGTAAAGGGATCCCAGATCGATCTGCAGGAAATCATTGTTGTTACTGTTTGTGGCAGGAATCCAGGCATTGGATCCTTCTAATCGGCCATCAGATGGACTGCGACCGCTAAGAGATGACGAAGCTGAAAACCTCTGATTAAAAATAATGCTACTATCCGACACTCCTACTGGATCAAGTACACAACCTAAAAAAATTTAAAAAAAAGTACACAACCTAAGTTTATGAAAAAAAGGAGGAAGAATTATTATCGTGTTATTATTCTTAACGTAGAAGGTACAGACTCACAGAACAAATTATGTTATTGCTTTGATCTGGGGTTCCTTCCTGTTTCATTGAAAAACAATAACAACAACAACAAGATAAGAAAAGAATAAAAGGGATGAAAGTGTAATGGCTTCCATAATGAACTACGCCGAATACATCCACTTCTCGTTTGTAATCTATTGTCAACTTTAAGCTTTATACAGACGTTTCGATTTCGATCCAAAGTGACTGGAAGGCCTCATCAGATATTTCTTTAATAACAGTACATTTCAGACAATCATTAATATACAAGGCAACACCTTTCATTTTACTATAGTCAAAAAATTTGCATTTTTCCAAAGGGGTTAACCCATGATTCTGATCAAAAATTCCAAATGTCTTTCCAGCCTACGTTTCTGTATTAGAGATCTCGTTTTTGTCGTCTGATGATATTGTTTTCCCAAAAGGAGGCTTTTTACACGACATAAATGTCATTTTACTATAGTCAAAAAATTTGCATTTTCCAAAGGGGTTAACCAATGATTCTGGTCAAATATTCCAAATTTCTTTCGAGCCTTTTTTTTCTGCAAAAGAGACCTAGGTTTTGTCGTTTTATGATTATGTTTTCTCCAAATGAGTCTTTTTGGACGATAAAAATATCACGTTACTATGGTCGAAAAATTTGCATTTTTTCAAAGGGGTTAACTCATGATTCTTGTCAAAAATTCCAATTACCTTTGGAAACCTACTTTTCTGTAAAAGAGACCTCGGTTTTTTCGTTTGATGATGTTGTTTTATCAAAAGGAGGCTTTTTAGACAATAAAATTGTCAATGTGAGAGGCTAGAGGTGTCGGAACATATTCGAAAACATATCCAGGTATGCTTGGATTAAAATGCATTTCTTTACCGCTGATTATTCTAGTTTCTGAAACTCCTATAATGCTAAATTCAAAATTCAACTCGTCCAATAGATGAACTTGAAAGTTTTCAAGGTTTCGCCTAAGACTCCTAATGTTATTACGTAGAAGAGAGAAGCTCGAATCACTGACACGGCTGGGAAGTTCACTTTTAAATTGTAGAAACTATATGGGGAATAGTGGCGACTATGGATACGATGATTATAGAGACTATCCCCCGGATTAGGGTCTTCAAGTACGTTTAGCCTGAAAAGATTAAGGTCATAAATGCCCGAGAGTTTTTCTTAGCACTTTTCCGTCGGCAAATGGGGGAAAACAATTATTATATTGACTATAAGCCAAAACCAAAATATGGGAGCTCGCGGAATAAAGATAGAGTATCGCCAGAGTTTTGATCGTTAGCACTCATTAATAGAACTTATTATAGCAGATACTTATCAAACTGATGATAATAATAACAATAATAATAATAATAATAATAATAATATTTTTTTTTTAAAGAATTAGGAATTTAGGAATACGAGATTTTATTCTTTTTGACTTGTTTTCTCTTTAATATCAGAGACGGATTTGTAATGACTTAATTTAAAACTCTGGACTGCCTACAAGAGTTATTGACCGCATCTAAGCCGCAAGGTATATATATGCGAAATCGCTATTGACATTGCTATTTTTTCTTTATATAATTCTTAATGTTATATAGTGCTTAATTTGTACTTCAAATATTTCTGTAAATTATGTACATATTTTTTTACAGTTGAATAATTTTTTCCTTCCTATAATAATAGCGGAGCTCCCGCGCGCGCGCAGCGGAGCACCATGGGTAAGAAAATTTGGTAAACCATCCATCCCAGAAAATTTGGTTATGACGTAGCGTACGCCCGTCCGTACACACACTTCATGTAAGCCGATGTCAAATGTCAAAATAGATCTTGCACAACTCGACTAGCCTCTTAGTTATGTAAGCCATCCGTATGAGTACGATTAGATTGATAGCTGTCAAAATCAGACATCCGATGACAATTATCACATGACCGTCTCGCGGGCTCAGATAAAAGACCAGTCGTTTTGCCCCTATATATAAGCTGATATAATATGTCACACTTACCAATTCAACATAAAAATGAAACTACGCCGAGCAAGGCTGTCAGTTGGCTGACAGTCGTTTAAAGTTACATTGGCAGGCCAAATTAAGGTCAATTGACAGCTGTCAAAATGGGACATGTGCAGACCGCTATCAGAAAACTAATAACGAGGGCTCAGGTTCGCTCAGGTACACGATCTGGCATTTTCCACTACATGGCGGACGGAAATGTCGTACTCACACTCGTAGTCTGTTAATTCGAATATTCGCCATTCTAATGAAGGTTAATTGACAGCTGTCAAACTAGAGTATACGCTGACCATCATCACCTGAGTGGATCGCGGGCTCATTTTTCTATCTATTGAGGTCACGTAGTGTTTAAAGTTTTGCGCTGATATTTTATTTGATCACGGGCTCAATTCGAAGCCCCATAGCTTTATAGAAAATCTATCCATCCTAGAAAATTCGGCAATCACGTGACCGTACATCGACCACCCGACCCTCCGTCCGTTCGCACCACAGGCATACCAATGTTTAATCTCACACTTTCTAGCTAGTTTGGGAGCCTGCAACCTGATATGGTACATCCATGTTTTGATTAATTGACAGCTGTCAAAACAGTGTTTCTTCTGACCAGTATCGCCTGACCTTATCGCGGGCTCAGGTATCGACCCTCTGAGTTCGAGTAATATTTTGAAGGTATTCGCTGACAAGTTGCTACTTTTCAAATGATCGCAGGCTCAAGTACAATTCTTTTAAAATGCATATGAAATAAGTCGTGTTTCATGAGCCGCATTTTTAAAATGTTGATTTCGAACTGATCTCGGACACGAAAATTCAACCGGCTTTTACATTTACATGCAGGGAAGGCAATCGCTTTTGACTTTTCTCACTGTCACGCGTTGATCACGCTCTACGTCCAATTTTTATGTTCTGATTGGTCAAAATTTGACAGGTGAGTTTATGCAGAAAATTTTTGCAGCTTCTGGAAACTTGCTTACTGATAGCTGGAGCTGAGAGAGTTTTGTGTCATCTTGTGATGTTTTAAACTTTCTTTTTCTACTTGGTGTACAAAATGAAATACAGCTGCTATCAAGATTGTTCTGTAATTAGTGGCTGGTTTATTTATTGCGCTTTTTGTTGACAAATGCACCGCTTGTCAAAGTCATTGGAAATCCGATTTTGGATGGCATCGTTTTCAAAAATGAGCTTACTCACTTGCCTTTGCTTGAGGCGTAAGAAGGTTGAAAAGTCTCAAGCGATTCTGGAACACTTGATGACCTTCAGAAGCAGCATCTCGACTGGTAAGCTTGAGCCATTATTGTTTTTGATGTTTTTTTTTTTTCGCTTTCCTGAAGTCGAGCGTATGGTTTATGCGACTTAAGTTAAAACACGAGCAATGATCTAACTACAATAGTATCAGGTTTAAAAAGCCTTTAGACATTTTTTGACCCGCAAATTCAAAGAAAAGGTTCCGAAGATTATTTAGTTATGATTTTGGCTGTAAACAGAAAGCTCTGAGCGATTTTCTTGCCTCGAGTTCATCTTGAAAAAGAGCGAACACCGGGAAGCCGGCTTAAAACATAAATAAGCTTATGCTTGCCTGACTCATGATTTTCTGAGACACTTTACTCTCAATACTTCTCTTCGTGAATGAAAATTATTGCCTCTGTACATGTTTCACCGAATTAAACTTATTTTATTGATTTTTAGTAGTCCCTCTCGCAATTTTCATCGCTGCACCGGTTGTTTCCAGTCGAACATAAACATCGCATGTAGGAATACTCAAAACGCCGCGCGTAAATATCACTCGCTTTTAAAGATTACACAACAAAATCATACACAGTTTAATGAATAAAGGGAAATAAAACCTAAACATAACAATTTCTCTATCATGTTGAAGCGTAAATGGTAACTCTATTAATCGCACTGCAAATTTGGTGCCTGTTAAAAGTGAGAACCCCTTCCGGCTGGCCGAAAAGTGATTTTGGGAATTTTTTTTATCGTTTTCATTAAAAGCCCATAATTATTACCCCGCATATCACATAGGACCAGATTTTTCTAACAGAAAACGTTTTATAATTCAATGCTATAATTTGTTGTGCAAAGGAAGCGCGTGCTTTGATCGTCGTGGATATTGAATGAGTGCAAATTCTCTTGCAAAATTGTGAAAAACTGCAGAATTATAAGTTTAAATAGGGCAAAAAGAACAAATTCTGTCTGAGGTCTGTGTACTGTTTACCTGAGACGTCATGAGAAAAAGTATGTTTAAAAGGCTGGTTTACACGCCACCAGATTCGTCGCCAAGATTTACTAGTAAACTAAACTTGTCGAACACAAAAAATCCGGTCTGATTTTTATTTTGGCCTTTCTTTTAGACAGACAAATGCAACGTGTAAATTGGCTGCCACCAAGGACTATCGTTGGCGCATGTGTTTCTTAAAATTATATTTCGCGGTTGTCCAATTATCCATAGTCTCTCTAACGGAGCAATGTTGGAGAGACTGGTGAATGCCACATTATGATGCTACAGCTAATGCAAATACAATACACGAATAGGTCTATTTGTTTTCCAGGCCTAATCTACTGTGATCGAACATGATTGCTATTTTTCGGTGTAAAAATAACTTGATGTAAAATTTGTTTCACTCTTGGACGGTCGAATTCTGATTTTTCTCTAAAATCACTCAGCCTTTGCCTCAAAAGTCAAATGAATGTGCCCTGATCTGTGGATTACAAGTTTATTGTTTGATTTAAATTATGAATTTATTAACGGGAGCTTCGCTTTTAGCCCTGGCTAAATCTATATATTAACAATATTAGTATTTTAGGATCTTTTTAATATTTTTATTTTATTTTTAATCGAAATGAATTGGTTTTAATTGAAATGAGCTTTTTTTTTTTAATTGAATGAATATTTTTTTTTAATCGAAATGAATAGAACCTTAACTTATGAAATAAAATGACTTGTAAATAGTGCTTGACTAAACATATATATATATATATATTTCTTCTTCAGCGAAATTAATTGTAAATAGGTTTTAATAGTTAGTTTTGATAATAATAATGATAATAATAATAATAATAATAATAATAATAATAATGAGACACTTATAAAGCGCCCTTTCCACACGGTCCAAAGGCGCTATTTAAAGTTAAAATTTTAAAGTACAAACACAGTTAAAATTTAAAATTTAAAAATCAAAAACTAAAGATAAAATAATTTAAGACCTGATATAAAAAAAACCACAGTCACGGAATCATTTTAAAAAGGCGCGTCTAAAAAGAACAGTTTTCAACTGTCTTTTAAAAATGTCCAGTGATCCAGCATCCCTAATATGCTGAGGAAGACTGTTCCAAAGAAGCGGCGAAGCAACAGAAAAAGCTCGACGGCCATAACTGTTTATGTTAAAAACAGGCACGACAAGTAGATTTTTCTTTGAAGACCTAAGATCCCGTGCCGGGAGGTAACTTTGAACAAGATCTTTAATATAAGAAGGAGCAAGTCCATGGAGAGTCTTGCAGGTAACGATAAGTATTTTCAATTCAATCCGGAGATAAATCGAGAGCCAGTGAAGATTCGCAAGAACAGATGTAATATGACAGAACTTGGGCGAAAGAGTAACAACACGAGCAGCTGCATTCTGCACACGTTGGAGCTGTTTAATCACGTTCTTAGGTAAACCATATAGTAACGAATTGCAGTAGTCAAGCTTTGATGTAACAACAGCTCGAGCAAGAAGCTGGGCTGCATCAAAGGTAAGATGTTTACGAATGAGCCTAATTTTACGGAGATGATAGAATGCGGATTTGCTCGTTGCTGTCACCTGAGGAACCATATATACTCAAAGATTCGTCGAAGAGAACTCCAATGTTACCCGCTTTTGGTGAAGCCAGCACTCTCTCATCACAAACATGAATATGTGACAAAGGAGGTCGAGCACGGTGTAAAGATGATATCACATGAAGTTCAATTTTGTCTTTATTTAATTTTAGCTTATTCAGAAGCATCCAGGTGTAAATTTCTAGTACACAGGCTTCCAATCTATACTTGCTCAATTCCATGTCAGTAAGGGTGACGTCTCGAATGTTACATAAAGCTGCCTGTCATCCGCATAAAAGCGAAAACTTAGTTCACGCTTACTGGCGATATTACTCAGTGGAGAGGTGTACAATGAGAATAAAAGAGGTCCAAGAACCGACCCCTGGGGTACACCAAACTGCAGAACACGTCGCTCGAAGGTAGATCCATTGGTATTCACAAACTGAGTGCGATCATCCAAATACGATTGAAACCATGCCAATGCCGTACCACCAACTCCAAATCGACGAGAAAGGCGTGAAAGTAAGATACAGTGATCTACAGTATCAAACGCCGCGGAAAGATCAAGGAGCAGCAAAATCACTGATCTTTTCTGATCTGAGGCAATTGCGATATCATTATGGACACGGATTAAAGCAGTCTCAGTGCTGTGAAGTTTCCTGTACGCTGATTGATATGAGACAGCGAGACCATTGGCATCTAAATAATCAATGAGCTGCTTGGCAACACATATCTCGACTACTTTAGACAGAAAACCCAAGTTCAAAATTGGCCTAAAAATTCTTGAATTCATCCGACCTCAAAGATTGCTTCTTGAGCAGTGGTTTGACACTAGCCACTTTTAAATCAGTACAAAGTATTCCAGATTCCTTTGAAAGGTTGATAATTAGCAATTAATGAATTCGGCTTTCCTAGGATATGAAGAATTAAGCAGATCGAGGAGGGTGTTATCCACAGAGGCCGAAGGTCGAGGTGGATAACACCCTCCGACATCTGCTTAATTCTTCATATCCTACGAAAGCCGAATTCATTAATTGCTTTATTAGTCATTCAAAATAATTCCTAGTTTAAAAACATAGCTAAAACATTCTTACCTGGATCGATGTTAAATTTATCTTCGATAGTGAACGTTTAGGCTTGTCCAGCCCCGCAAATATTCTCCAAATAGCAGATGTCGCCCTCCGAGTTGTCTTCTTGCTGTTTTTTCTATCAGTTTTTAGCCATTATTTCGCCTAGTTACAGCTGTAGTTCTTACTCTTGAAACGAGTGAAGTGTCCGCTATTTTAGTTTTCACAACTATTACCCCCTAAGAAACAGAGAGTTTTGCGAAACAGAGGACATGATTTTATTTTACCTGCTGTTAAAACAAAACGCTTTAAGAGATCTTTTATTAATAGGTGTCTTTTTAATTTTATTTAATTGTATTTCATCTTAAGCAGATTGCATTGTCATGTATGTAAAGCCACACGTATGTTGGGAATGCACATACTGTACCTACAAAATAAACAGGAGGAAAGAAAAGCGCTCTTACTTTCTGATTTAAGATAGGAATAAACTTCAACCTCGCAGAGCGTCAAAAACATCGTAATGCCAGGTAATCTGATGTACAAATATCTGCCATATGCTTTGGGACGACAGAAATATGTCTTGGAACTTGCTGCTGGGATTTGTATGTTATTTGCACAAAGACTGTTGTCTGCTCCTCCATTTGTTGTTTCATTTCCTTGCAAAGCGAATAAAAGAAAATATGAGGTAACATTTACTGCAATATTTGAACACAATTCATGCATAATAATAGTTCAAAAAAAAAAAAGAAACAATCTTGGCATTGACTTCAAGATCAGGGGAGTGCTGCAATCTCACTTGCAAAACCTCTACATTGATGTATATATTGGTTCACTCAAATAGAATCTGTGGGATTTTGACTTTACATGAATGTAACTATGTAGGAAGAAAATGCTATTGATACTAAATACATGTACACTTTTACAAAGCACAGTGATCACTTTCACATACTTTTCTTCTGAGAAATCTAGCTTAACTTAAAAGCCAATGGAAAATAATTTCAGTTAATTAAAATATTCCAAAATTAACAAGGAACACTTCTGAACAAGGTAAAGCAACTGATTACAGCATCTCCCACACTTACTACCTACCCACTCTTATCTCAGCTCCATCCAATCTGTTTGACAGTGTGTCTCTGTTGAGTATATTCACTTCAGCTACAGGCTGTACTCGCCCCAGGTCTACTCTCCACCAAGGATTGTTTTCTTTGAGAGTGTGTGTACATTTGCTGATGTCTGTACCCCTATCTCCATCCACTGCATTGCTAGCAGGGTAGGATATCGAATCACTGTATGCACTTGACTGACTTGTTGGCTTGAAAAGGGCAATATTTCTCGGAACTAAAAACCAAACGAATAATAGAAATTACAGATAAACGCAGCAGGGTTGCAGGCTGTGCTCTCCCCCTCTTTGGAGACCACTGGGTCCTTACTTCTGTTCTTGGGGACTAGAAGATCTCAGCGTCTGCATGGAAATCATATGCTGGGCACCCTGGATTTCACAGCTAGGTGCAGAGCATTCGGCTCCTTAGAATTTTTATTACAGCACAGCCTTCAACACTGAAAGGAAAATCAAGTATTGAAGGCCTTTCTGAATACTCCTGTTAATGTTCAGAGTACGTGTATAGCAGCTGTACATGTAGTGTGTCTGCAGTGCTGTACAAAACAATGGTCATGGCAAGTATTTAATCGGTAACTGTTCAAAAATTAAACCTCTTAATTTTGACAGGTTGGCCACAAACTAGCCTGCAAATACACTACCATCTCTCCTTAATCCTCGCCACTGGTGACCTTTCACAGGAGAGCCATCTGTGAAATAGCCCCAAAAATTCCATATTGATGACGTAAATCAATGTTTACAAAATTAATCTGGTAGTGATGGGGTTCTAGATATAAAATTGTTTGAGTCTAAGTCTCTCCTGGTGTGTTATCGTTAAGGTTTTGGTTTCTTCTGTGAAAGAGCAGCAGCAAAACTCAAATTCTTCTTGTAAAGAAGATAATATTCCATGAATAATGACTTTTTAGTTGATTCATGGCATTTACTGTACATCATTGTGACCTTTTGTCTTTTTGTCTGTCATTTGCCACTACTTTGACCAATCCCTGCTCGTTGACCAGATTCCAGAGACAAATCTACATATGATCATCAAAATGAAATCTTTGTGGCAAAATTGCAGACCTCTTTCCTGTGAAATGTCTTTAGTGGCAAGGAGTGAGGAGAGACTACGGCATACAGTGAATTACTTGCAAAGACTGTATGTTAACAAGATTTTTAAAAAAGAAAGAGAAAGATAATGGTTGAAGAGCTGATGTGGTCGCAAAAAGAAAAAGATCATATCAATGATGTGAAGGAAGGTTCCACAACTGGGTAAAAAACTAAATTCCTTGAAAACTGAAGAATATCCTCAATAATCAAACCTCTGCTTCTAGGTATGCCAGAGACTTCTACTCGTAAACAAGCTTCACCATGTTTGGACCCAACAACAAAACGCAAGTATCTGGCAACAAATGCACTGAACAAGATTTGTTTTTCTACTGTGTTCTGATCGAAGTTTCCATTGAAGGTCTGGAAAAAAATTAAAAACAAAAAAAGGCTTAGCATTTAGGAGGTGATTCTTAAATAAAGATAGCGGAGAGTTCAGTTTACTAAACGCAGGGCTGTCACTAAGTTGCAAGATATATGCAAATTATAGGTAATGATTTGAACAGCTAGGACATTCTATTGGTTCAGTCTGCTTTCCTTTTGTTTCCTTTGAAAGTAGCCAGGGGTCGTACTGGCAGTAGGACATAGCTAGGAAATTCCTGGTCACTAGCACTTAGTGACTTTCCTGTGAACCCAATGGGATATCACCCCCTCACTTCCCACTTCTCCCTTCTGGATTCAATTATCTTTGCCACATGGCATTACTCCCTTAGATAACAAACTTTGCTCCTTTACACGCTTGTCATTCTTCCACCTCAGTATATAAGTGCAACAAATTTCGTAAGGTAACCTTTGAACAGACTAGCATTCCATTCAAAGGAGAGAAGCAATTTATACTCCTAGGTGCTTCATGCAGCAGAAAATGGGTTTCAGCTTCCTATCAATCAGAACTGTGTTTGCAGCCAGACCAGTCTTATCCTAAGTAGGGTGGTAGGAAGAGATCGTCTTTTTATGCCAAAAAAAAAAAAAAAACTCTAGAAAAAAGCATTTTTTTCTTTTTAAAGTGACAGGTCAGGCCATTAATATATGCGCCCTTTAACTTCAACTACCTTAACTTTTCCATTTTCTTTATAGTCTGTCCAAGTTGTCCCATTTGTAGATGACTGTAGGGTGTAAGACTCCACCCACTGACTCCCCTGGGAATTCCCCTGAGTGGATACAGCACAGATGATATGAGGAATCCGTAAGTCAATCTGTAGATATGGACCGCTGTCACTCGTGGATGCACACCATGATGATCCCGCTACAAAGTTCAGTCGACCATTCTTTGCTGGTGTGCTGGCATTCAGTTCAGAGGAAGCATTTAACTGATTGTCGAGAATGTACCAGCTCACTCCTACATCAACTTGTTCACATGATGCTACAAAAAGGGATAAAACATTGAAATTACTGTTTGCCTAGAATGCATCTATCAGCTAGACCAATTTAAGCATCTTGTTCAAACGAATGTTAAACATACGGTATTGCACCCACGTATAACAACCTACTTTTTTAAAGTCTATATCTTTTGAGGCGGATGTTTTTGGATCTTGTTCAGCCAATTAACGTTCTCGATCGGCTTTCCGTTGCAAAATTTCGTAGCCGTTTAAGTTTTGCTTTGCCCGACTGTTCCACGCTTATCGTTATCCTTTTAAAGGGAAATGGAATTTAAAAACTTTTGTTCAGTTAACCGTAAACTATTTACGTGTACCATCCTTTTAATACTGTGACTGTTTTTGCTTTCAGGTCACATTTCTTAGTGGTCCCTTTAAAGACTTTCCTTCCAAGATATGCCTTTCTTTAATTTTTAAGTGCAAATCAAGTTACATCATTGCCTGCGGTCTTATTTCCGCAATGTTTGGAAAGTGAAAGTTATTATTCCGCCATTGTGATGCGACCAAGCGTGACTGAAAAATGCGTTTGAACTGAAGAGCAATACTAGACGAAACTGATCACGATTCGGAAAGAAGTCGGTATAGAGATGGGTCCACGGGGAAAATGCGAGGTTTATGGGTTTATAAAAGATATTTATCGCAAATTGGATGAAAATCAGATACTTCGCTGTTTGACTTGCATGGTGTCAAATTATGCTTCAGGACGTAAACATGCAAAGCATCGATATATTTTTGCTGTAAACTTACCTGATACCATTCGTTGTCCCAAAAGACAAATTGCCACGAAGAAGAATAAGATAATTTGTTTGTCATCCATGTGCACTGCCTTTTTAAGATTTGCCCCCGATTAATGATTCGATTCAAGCCGATTTTTGACCTTTCTCGTATGGCGTGACACAACTTAGTAAGCATACCCTTATATTTGACTTCCCTTTCAGTATCACTCCATCTTTGTTATCTACGTCTGTCGGATTTCAGCAGCAATCATTCATTGATCTACCCAGGCATGTTGAGTGTCTTTTAGCAACGCGTCGGACATAAGTTTGTTCACTTTCCATTCCCAAATACGTTATCCCGACAGAACAAAATTTCGTGCCATATCTTTTCCTTGTTTCTTACAAAATGTTCAGCAAGTCGTGAGGCAGTTGTATCTACAAATTTCTCAACAAATTCTGCGAATTAAAATAATCAAATGAGACTGAATTGAATAAACAGAAAAAAGGCAAACATAGCGGAATAACATTTTTCCCTGATAGTTACAAAAACGAAAAAAAAAATGTTTATTTAGTTGATAATAAGGAGAAATGGTGTTTGACCTTTTCGAACCCAAGTGATAGGCCCCCCCGGGGCACGTGGGTACTGCCATATATGGGCTATATAGGTATGTGCCGCTGTGAAGGGTATGGTTTTCAAGCAGTTTACTCTAGGATAGGGTATATAAATCAGAGCGTTTGGGTCTAGAATAGGGTATCATTTTTCAGAAAACTGATCAGTTGGTTGAAGTTTTATCTAGACTAGAGATTGTGGTATAAGGTTTTGTTTTGGCTGGACTGTTGTAGTGACCTCAGTAGTTTCAGGAAAACAGCCACGCTAGGATAGGGGGGATTTAGGGAGTTTACTCTAGCATAGGGTAGCAAAATTCGGCTGAACTAGCTCTGGTATAGGTGAAGGGTTCCAGGGTCCCAGCGGCACATCCCCACCCAGAAATTCCTAAAGTACCCCCCCCTTGGGGTGATAGGTCATGCACCATCATAGATGCCGGTGCTGTCGTCGTGACACTTTGAGAACCATCGTGATGATTTTGGGCCGGTACGCTCCAGGCCAGCAATTCTTTCTTTCTTTCTTTTTTTCAAGAGGATTGTTGACAGTTTATGTTTCCGACCCACCTGATCATGACTCATACAAAGTACTGACAATAGTCTGATCTTACTGGACTGCATTAGCAGCTAAGCTCGTTGATTCAGACGTCCCTTTAGGGAGTATGCGACTCGAGGGGCCGGCTGAAATTCAGGCTATGGGTAAGAAGCTGATAGGGTATTGTAATTCAATATGTAAATGCCCATTCTTTGTGAAATAATGAAATAATCTTTATTTTGTTTTCTACCATACACGATAAAGGGAAAGGTAAATGACCATATAATTCTCATTCAATAGATCAAAGAGTGTAGAGACACATTTTAAAATTAACGACAGAACCTATCATGTGTTTCTGTTTTTAGGAGTCCTTTGAAGCGTTTGTTTGCCAGCTGGTAACGAGCGCCGCGGCAGTTGCCTGAGGACGACGTAAGTTCATCATATTCCAAAAAACGTCCTAATTTTCACGCATCATTCATTAGTTCTTTGACGGCGCCCTTCAGCTTTCCAAAATTGTCTTTTATCTTGATCTTCTAGACTGTTTGTACCAGGAAATTAAATATACTCAAGGTAAAACAATGTTGGGTACCTATCTGTATTAAATCACTTAATCAATAACGATTTAGAGGCCGCATACCCACTTGGTCGTTCTTCGTCTTCCTGATACCTGGTGAAATTGGAATTTGGAAATGCTGGTTTTTGAGGAGAGGGAAAAACCGAAGTACCCGGAGAAAAACCTCTTAGAGCCATAAAAAAAGGACCAACAACAAAGTCAACCCATATATGGCGTCCACGCCAGCATTGGAACCCTGGCACATTGGTGGCAGGCGAGTGCTCTCGCCCCTGGGCCATCCTTGTGCACTCTTGGCCCCTTACGTCTGGGCATAGTTATTAGAGGAGACTGGTTATGAAAAGCGGCAAACATCAATGATAAGAACAACAGTGCTGCAGTTTATGTTGGAAGTACCGTGAAAGTGCACAATCCTTTGTTTTCTTTTGGCAAATTGTTACGGAATAAATTAATACAACGTTTTTATTGGTCAATACAATCAAAATGATAGGAATTCTTTTGAACGTTGTGCACTTTCAGGTCCACAAAAACATATAACAAAGGAGTCTGACGGGTTTCATAACCATTCCACTCAATTAACTATGGTCTGGGAAAATGTTCCTGTTATTTACTGGGCCAAAATCCCTAATCTCGTCCTTTTTTTCTTTGAAATTACGCTATCCAGCTTTATATAGCATTTATAGTTCTGGAGCAGGTTTCATTGCCGCTTGCAATTATAACTACAAGCTGTTTCTCTTCAATTGCCAGTTAAGAATCTTATGATGTCATAGTCCATACGCAACCACTGAGTTGTTCGATGAACTAAAGGTGAGTGCGCCTTTATATCTTTGGGCATTGATTTTCCAGTGAACAGCAGTTTAATAACAGTACAGTCTCGCCACCGAAAGACTGTTAGCCTGACAATACAGCTGACATTTTGCAAAGCTACCTTTGGTTTTCCAACGAAATGAGGTCTGAGGAACGAGCGCAGAAATTCCATACTGATGACATGTCACTACCCCAGAGCTGGCTATTGCTTCCGACTGGTCATATAGCGAGGGAAATTTTTTTTCGGCCAATTAGAAACACTACCCAGATCTGGGTAGTGACACGTCATCAGTATGTAAGTTTTTCAGTTGTTCGTCAGACGTCATTTCGAGGGGAAACCAGTGATGACGCTGTGAGGTGTCAGCTGTTTTCTCAGATTAAAAGACCGTTGAAAACAGACATATTCACTACTGTATCTAACGCCCTAAAGAACAATTTAGCTGTAAATTAACTCCCCTAGGAATCCCACGTGCGCCTAGTCCTTATTTGCATTTTTTGTTTTTAACTTGAATCGCCTTCTAGCATTTTCAGTTCAGCTTTTATTTCAACGTTGCTTCTACAAGAGCACTAAGTAGTAGTTTCCTGTCAGGAGTGTCTCTTTTACGGTCAGAAGTTTTGCGCCAAAGGAATGTAAGTGCTTTGCTGTATTTCTTTTGCGCTCGCAGTATTTCCTTGAAGTTTTATTTTCACCTTGTATTTCAGTTTAAACCACAACACAACACAACACAACAAGGCTACAACACATCAAATACGACTAATTATGGTACATCGGACCTAATGTCAGTCGAGTCTTTGGGGTCAATCGTCTATCATCTTACTTATTGCTGTAACCCTTGAGGACTCAAACCGGAATAAAGTTGTGCGTCTATTGTTAGCACTGATCGGCAGAAGAAGTCGCCTTACGGCAGCTATATTCACGATATTTTTTTCTTGATTCACAGTCAAATTATTCTGGGCCTGATGCTAGTACAGCCGGTCGATAGGATCAGATGCTACTTCAGCTACTTCAGACTTCACAAACAACATGGGGCCACAGGTAGAGTAGCGACGGTCTTAAATTTCTCTTACATCCGGGATACCTACGAAAAATTCTTTGAGGGAGGGGCGGGGGGATTGGCAGCTTCTTTCCTTTGTGTTATGGTGTGGGTTTTCATTGTCTTTTCAATCTTTTGTATTAAGTCATTTGGTGTTTGCGCCCGTCCGAATGATCCCTGTAGGGATCATTGTACGTTTCTGGGAAACTACCCACCTACCCTTCCCCTAAGTTAACATTATCACTTACTTCTCACTTAGGGCAAAATGTTAGCTTAGAGGAGGGGTAGGTGGGCAGTTTCCCAGAAACGTATAATGATGATGACATTTACTTAAAATCCCTATATGGTTTTATTGTAAGTTGCTTTAGCGTTTGTCTGTTACTTTAAGTAGCATTGCGCGATCCAGAGAACAAGTATTAGGGAAAGCAACTGCGATATCCATTGGATAGAGATTCATTTGGTGGATAGCATTACCTACATTTTAAACAAGTGGCGCCAGAAAAGCTATCACCACTTACCCGCATGTCATTTTCTCTTCTAATATCAAGGACTTTATACTGAAAGTTCCTGGAATTAACTTCAAAAACTACAGGTACAGACTCATAACATGACAACTTCTTTGGTAGCGTTATTCTTTATCGTCACATCAAACGGATTCTCGGTTATACTGCACTGCCTAGTCCCTAGTCCTAAGGCCTCATTATCCCGCGCGGCCTATGCGTTTCGGATCACGTGGTTACGAGCGAGTTTATGACCGAGAAAGCCTGGGAAGACGCCAGACAGGAACGCAAAGAGGATCGCATACTGCCTTCTGAGAAGAGTCTAGACTGCCAGCATGAGATGAAATATCACGTCATAAGATTAGTAGTAGTCCTTCACGATTGTCCCGTCGGCAAACACGTTACGAGCGAGCGAGCGAATGAGGCGTCGGCTCTCCGCAGTTTGCTTCTCATTTCGCTCGCTCTCCATTTTTTCCAGGCCTGGATTTATGACTGTAAAGGAACTGTTCAAAGTCAATCATGGGTCAAAATATAAACGCTTTTATTCCAATAGTTTACTCGGGTTGTGGTAAAGTGGTTTTGCCTTGTAACGCACTTAAAGGTTTTTCCTATCATGATAAAGTTAAACTAAATACTCTCTAACAGTTACATAACAACGCTTCTCAGTGTGATTCCGTAAATAAGGCCCCGTCCACTCGTATCCGGATATTTTTTTTGAAAACGGAGATTTTTTCTCCGTTTTCAAAATTATACGCCGGTCCACACCTATTCACGGTCAACCTCGTCCCCAGGGCTCTTTCCCCTGGCTTTGGAGCCAGGGAAAAGCGCCCTGGGGACGAGGTTGACGTATTGTATTCCAGACATTTTCGCTTGTCCATAGGAAAACGCTAAAGCCATGGAAATAGGCCAGTTGCACTAAGAGGTCACGTGGCTAATGCTTCCTTTAAACGATTTGTTGGAATCTTGCTGATGCCAAAAATCGACAGAGCACATAAAAATTATCTTGCTCCCGAAATTTGAGAGGGAACGCATTTAAGGGAGATATTTTATGGCACTCTGATTTTTCAACAAAGCAGTATGATTTGTATTGGCCGCCATGTTGGAGGGCATACTCTTGTACGAAAGAGGGGAAAGGGAAGGAAGCGCCTGCTATAAGAGCCGGTGTTTTTGTAATCCGCCCACCATTTTCTCAACTAATCCGATAATGTCACTGTCAGTACGTGACCAATCACAAGTACGGGACTTCTCAGCACGGTCCGAACTAATGACTTTGTTTACCGGAAATTGTCAAGTTGAGACGCTTTTTTAAATTGATACCATAATCGAGCGAAATGAAACATTTTTACTGTTCTTGCTCCCGCAGCAAACACGACAAACATAGACTACGAGTAATCTCTCATTTTTTCACTGCTCGTAGTCTACGACAAACATTGATCAGTTTCGTGCGAATACACAAGACCTTTTATCTTACAACCTCATCAAACACCGTGATGGTCACAAAGAACAGAACACTGGCCAGCCTGAGACGCGAATAATGAAAGTAAATTAAAGGAGAATTATAAACAATTGTCTAAACGCTCAACGGATAGTTTTTACCAAAGCTTCAACTCTCTCTTTGCAAACCATTTAAAACTCCATTCAAGACGGTATATGTTTTTGCGGAAAAGGAGGTCTTTTGAATATCGGCATTGCAGATGTCTGGCAAGAATCGCAATCGCTTTAGCCTGAGTATCAGGTCTTCCTTCGTTTTGAATCGCTGTATTGACAAATCCAGTATACAAAACCTCCTGGGCATCTCTGCCTACCGAACAAGCTGTTACAGTTGGTTTTAGTTCGGGTTTTAACGTGAAGTTGCTACATGATTGGAGTAATTTTGATCTTCCAAAGATTATGGCAGTAGAACACATTTTCTTGATGCCTTCGTCATGTTTGTCTCTCACACTAATACACCCCAGGATACACGCCAATATGTTACTCATTACGGCTCAGCCAATTAGGAATTTGCGGACGCCAGCGCCCGCAGAAATGAATAAAAGGGGGTTCTTATAGCAGGCGTCCCTTCCCCTCGCTCCCCTACCCACCTTCTTTTTCCCCTTTTCCCCTATCTCCTACACTGCGACGCCTGCTACGCAGGCTATAGGAGTTTATCCACACCGGAAGGCAGGGAAAAAACAAAGGCTCAGCAGGTTTCAGTTAATAACAAACGATAACACTGATAAGACTGAGTTTATTTAAATTACAACTGTTGTTCGTTATACTTACAACTTTGTGTGCATGTAATTCGCTATGAAATTCCAACAACAAAAACAAGAAAGCGAAAGCAACGGCAACTAGACGTTCTTAAAAGGCATATAATAAAATGCTTCATTTGAGTTAACAGGGGGCACCAAACGGTAAATTTTGAGAAAAAGGCCCTGAAAAACAACAACACAGCGTGAATGAAGCTTTCTGAAGCCATTTTAAGCATTTTTTTTTTCTGGGAAAATTAAAATTTATCTGTTCCTCACTCCCTGCAAGACTGATGGAAGAGTTCCCAGACAGAAAGCTGACTTACTGGGAAGTTTCACAGCAGACGTATGTCCAGACATTACAGGCCAGTTTAGGTGAGAATTCGAATTTTCGTATTTCATTTCCGTCCCTTTATATATTTTTTTCGTCCCTTTATATATTTTGATATACTTCCTTTTCCCGCGGTTTAGGAAGCCGATGGAAGGCGCTATTAGCATAATCTTGTTCCGTTTTAGCATCATCACTATCTCCTTCCGGGTTCTTCATTAGAGATCCATATTCTGACGTTTGCTGGTTTTCTGTGGGCTGCAGTTCCATATAAAACGATTCCACTTGAGGAGACGGGACTTCTGCAACGCCTAAGATTGAAAATGGTTGGAATCTTATCAAAATTGAAGAGAAAAAGGAAGAATGGATATCTTAACAAATTAATGTAAGTCTGTTTTGTTTTGTTTGATTTTTTTTTGGGCGGGGGGAGGGGTGGAAAGGTGGAGTTCTGTCGTCATTACAAAACAAGCCCACAGACATCACTACAGAAGAGGTTTATTATTATCTGTTTTTATTCACTTGTTCAAGTATTTATTTTTATCCCTGTGAATATTTTTCCCGCACACGTTACTTAGTGGCAAGGGTAATTCTTTTTTTCCCTCCATATTCTTCCTTTTTGATGAAGATGTTTTCCTAAACAGCGTCGTCTCTGTAGATGCAAAAGTCCCTAGCTTTTACATGAACATGGCTATAACGAGATTTACGGTGAGTAAATTTATATCATAATTATTCTCAATATACTATTTTAGATATTTCACTTGTGACCCGGTTATAAATATTACTTTAAGTACCCAGTAACAGTGCCCGATACCATAATGAATGATTTTCCAGTAACCGGATACTCATGTTTTGCGCACAGGATTTTGGGATCGCCAGGGGGCAAACATTGCGAGTCGCTATAAAGAATTGTATGGCGTGGAGTTGTTTCTCCGTTAAAAGCAGTGTCTCTGGACATAGAATGCCGCACTTTGCAATGATTTTATGAGAAACGGAGGTGACTCATGTTGGTGCGTTGAAATTTCAAGTTTCTGTGTGATTAATGCGATAAATTCTATCGATAAACACTCCTTGCGTGAGGTTGAGTGTGAAATTTATGTTTACTGAATTTACACAGTGATCTACATGAAGAAAAGGTCTCGAAATATATAGTGCAAACTTAGGTATACATGTAGGGGGATTGGCTCATTTAAGCTTTTTAGTTTTAATTACGTGTGGTGATATTTACAATGATCAGCTCTGTGCGGGTTATGACGCTCAACAATCGTAGGACGTGGCCATAAAAATAAAAAATCCTCCTTTACTTTGGTATAAACTAGGTAACATCTACGAAATATTTCATGGAAAGTACATGGTATTTAACCATTAGTAGATGACGCAGAAATCGTATGAACGAGTAAGATTTCCGATACAAAAGCAGTGAGCCGTGTAAATAAATACCAAGTTGATGTGCGAAATTCAGAGATTCTATATCTTCCCTCAAAATGATCAGAAAAGGCATTAGAACTGATTGGTGCTCTGGATCATGACAAAACATTTCGCTTGTGTTTTTGGCTAGAAGGAATCAATATATTAATGTGGGGAAGATGTTTTGCTTCTAAAGTTAATACATATCAAATTCGACAATACATAAGCTTACCTTCGATCGTTGTCACAAACTGGCTCAGCGTTGTGATCGCCGCCGAGCCGAACGTAATTACACTCGTTGTAAATATCAGCACATGTACTTACAACTGGAAAGGTTTAATAAATGAGTCCACATTCCCCGCTCATTTATACCTGGTAAGTTAGTACTATATATTTCGAGACCATTCAGTAAATTTCACAGTCGACCTTTCGCAAGAAGGAGTGTTTATCGATAGATTTCATCGCATTGATCCCACAAAAACTTACAATCAACGCACCAACATTAGTCACCTCCGCTTCTCATAAAATCACGGCAAAATGCGGTATTCTCTGTCCAAAGACACTGGTTTTAAACGGAGAAACAGCTCCGCGCCATACATTTCTTTGTAGCGATTTCCAATGTTTGCCCCCTGGCGATCCCATAATCCTGTGCGCATAACTAAGTCTCCGATTACTGGAAAATCATTCATTGTATACTCAATTCAAACTAAAAATGCCACTCATTGTTTCCACAAACGCTACAAACCTCCTTCAATTTGGTGAGCTTCGACTTGTAATTCCTCGGTAGAATACTTTTTGCCAGATTTGGAAATTCCCCGAGCACGCCATTGATAAAGATTTACTCCAAGAGAAATGACCAATGCAATCCCTAAGACGATGGATGATATTACGGATACTGCAATGTTAAAGTTCCGGTCACTCAGTGAATCAATAGGCGATTTCTAAATATAACCTCGTTCCCATCCCTACGTCATATCTCTGCTTCCCTCAAAGGGACGGGGAGAGAGGATTTTGGGAACTTGGTTGTTGCTTATAATGCATAGATTTCCAAAATTCAGCTCCTAAAATAAACCGTCTTTTAGTTCGATTACTAATTAATATTGGGAAAATATAAAAAATCAACTAACAAACCTGTGTTTGAAGGTTTGTCGGATGATTGCGAGCCGGTGTCCCTTCCCTGTCTGTTTGCATCATCAGATTTGTAAACTAAAGGTTTGAGCATGAAAATGAGTGAAAGAACAAAGGAAAGCTCATTATTACGTACAGGTTTCCGTGGTCCATGTCGTTGGTTGACTGACTTAACAGGGTTTTTGTGCTGTTTCTGGGTTAAGGTGTTTCGATACAGTTTTTCAGATGCCATACTGATAATTTTCAATCGCCTTAAAAGTGTTTTATTCCTTGTCCGATCACCACAAAATTTTCACCAGTAATTGGCGTTGGATTGAAAATTGTAAAAATGTAGTTTTAAGTAAAATCGATGTTACTATGACAACAATAAACAAACAAAATGGAAATTGATAAAAGCCGAATTTTGCGCAATCTAGACCCGCCACTAAAAATCCAACACTAGGATCTTACAGTTTGGTGATTAGCAAATAACGTCCGTGAGAAGTAAAAAATTCGCCCTGTAATGTGCGCAACTTTCCTGACAAACACTCTCAATTGCTGATCCAACTTCACGCTCCCTTGCTTTGAATGTCGCACTGGCCATTGCGCCAACCCCAAGTATAGATAAATCGGCTTTCAGGTGACTGTGCCCCTGACCAGTGTGAATCATTGCCAATGCTGCCCTTGAATTCAATGTGACTGTTTTAGGGCCTCGTCTCCCCCTTCTGTGAGAATGGTATGACTTGATCTTGTTCTCTTCTTTGCAATCCTTGCACTTAACATGCAAAACCACACCAAGTCCTATACGCATGGGTGTCTTGCATATGTCGTCGAGTGATAATGGTCCAGCATGGCACTTTTGGCACTGCCTTAATCCTTCACCTAATAATTTTAGATTAACGATGTAATTTTCGTCTAATTCTGGTAAAGTTTGAGAACGTGCAGAGCGAAGTTCCAGGCTCTCTTGGCTCGATGGTTGTTGTGAGCTTCTTGGACCGGCTTTCTTCCAACGCTTAGCTCTGAGGGCTCGTAAGCACCTTCTTCTGTATTCCAGCATTTGATAACTTTTTGTTTCTCCTGATGTCACCTTCCTGTTTTTTTTCTTCAACAAACTTATCATGACGACTTTCTCTAGCAATATTTCTGGCAAATTGTTTGCCTTTTCCTTTGCAAATACTTTCTTACCGCAGGCATTTTGAAAACACCAACCAAAGAAGATAAACATGCGGCTTAATTTTTTACCAAATATTCTGTCACCGTGCGCATTAATTAGAAAGCATTAGCATAACGTCAAAACAGTGAATTTGTAACGCAGATTTTTGGCCGGCTCGTAAGCTAAGTTCGTCTTGAAATTACAAAATGTTAAAGTGAATCAATCGTAATGAAAGTTTCAGACATTATTACACACATCATGAAGATTATGGGATTTGATTTTAAAAGAATTTGTTCGTGTAGTTTCAGAGATATACAAAAAAGCGCTAAAAGTTAAGATTTAGAATATAGTTGCGCTTAGACAGGTGTTGAGAAAGCAGGTTGGTTTTTTAAGATCGCAAGAATGAAAATACACCAAACTTTCCTAGCATCGAAATATGATATTAAGCAACATTCCGAAGCTACTCAAGATTAACTTAAGTTATTTTAAACTTTTTTATTAAATAATTTATCACGGCTATTGAAAATACGAGGTTTGAAATATATTTACGTTTTATTTGAATTCAAACATGCAGAATTTTTTACTTCTCACGGACGTTATTTGCTAAACACCAAACTTTAAGATCCTAGTGTTGGATTTTTAGTAGCGGGTCTAGATTGCGCAAAATTCGGCTTTTATCAATTTCCATGTAGGTAATGTTTCATTACTCGACTGAGTGGAGCCGCTAAAGCGATGTGGCGGTCCATATTTTGGAACAAGAACGTATTATATAATAGAATTATCATTCTCAGCACTGCATCAAATTTGCATCATCACTTACTGGCAGTTTTTGTGTTGAAATTCTGGAAATTACTCCACAGACCCTTTCCTAAGACACTTGTGGCTATCAACCTAACACTGTAGGCTGTGTATGGCTTGAGGTTGATAATCTGTTTTCTTAATACAGCTCCCAAAGATATATCATCTATACAAGTACTATTTCGATACTCAAGATTGTAGGCAGTTACAGGCATTTCATCCGCTCCAGGATTATACGACCATGTGACTAATGCTGATCTTGCTTTAACGTCACTTGGACTAACTTGGACAACTGGCTGGCCTGGTTTCTCTGAAAACAGCAAAAATGTGCCTCATAATATTAATGAGCCTACTTTATAAGGTTCAAATACTCAGCCCTTAAACCGTTAAACAAGTGACGAAATCAACGAATAAACAAACCCGCACACTGAAAAAAAGGGATAATATTTTTTTCAGAAAAATACGCCACACACTAAGAATACGTTAAAGGTTGAGGTTTTCCTTTAGACAGAACTTCTTTAACCTAATATACCGTTTACTTTCATGTATTGTTTGAATGCAATATTTTCGTGTCCTTATAAAGGAATTAAATTATGCTAGTTACTGAAAACTGCGTGTTCCAGAATAATAAATTGATTTTTACATTCACAATAACGAGCAAAAAGTAGCTCCCAGGTACGCACAAATTGTTGCTTACTTAAGGACACTATAACATTTGCAGTGGTTAGATGTCTGCTTTGTATTCCAGAAAGAGAAGCAGAGCATTTGTAGGTTGAATTACACTGGACTTCACTGGCTGAAGGAAGCTTTCTTGCACAAGAGTTGCTGTATATATTACTGGCACTGTTGTATGGTATGGTAACCGAAGAGGTTGTGTCAGACAGCCCCGTTCCATCTCTGCTCCAACTATACCCAGAGGGTTGTCGAGGGCTGTAACTAGCCACACAGGTCAGGGTGACAGATTCACTAGGTTCGGCTATCAAACGAACATCATCGAGACCGATGTTAAGAGGCAACGAAACTTGGACTGAAAAAGACAAGCACCTAATCAATGTAAACTGGGACGACAAGAAATAACTTAGGGAAACTTATCAAATACAAAATTTTAATTTTACAGTCCATTAGGTTTATTGATTCTGATTGGCTAAGTGCAATAATGCAGACGAGCGGTCTGATGTTGCTTTCATTTGTACCAAGGGGGCGAGTGTCGGGGTTTATAGTATGAGGGGTTTATGTGGGGGGAGGGAGGCGAGAAAGTAGATTTGATAGAAATCCAAGATATATGGCCGCCCGTAATGTAAAGCGGTCGATCTCGAGGAACTTACGGAAAAATAAGGGACTGTGAATCGTGTGCAAAAACGAGGAGATATAATGCAATTATCGGAGAATGAAGCACTGTGTTTGGCAAAAAAAAAAACAACAACAACAACAAAATTAATAGAAATGTTTAAGAATCAATCAGCAACTTTGAGGTTGCGCGTGAGCCTGGGTTCAGGTGTTGTGCCGATCGAATTGCATTGTGGGGATGTTTTGATGACGAATTTTGATCCAGTAAATTTTTGTCCGTTTGATACTTTTTTGAAAAACACACTCGCGCAAGTAAATTCCAAATTGAACTCGAAGTCGTATGAAAATTCAACCTATACTAACACACTGTCTTCTGGCAGAAAAGTTTGCATTACGATACAAACTTCACTCTTAAATGCAGATGCCTCCATTTTCGACTACAGCACTTAGCCTGCCAGTAGATGTCTCAATCCCATTTCCTTTGCGCAGGCTGGAAAGTGCTGCTTCATACCAAATAGCACTAAAGTACTTATTATGTGGCTAGCGGGCAAAATGAGGCACATTCCTTGTTCTCATTGGTTACCAGGGGAAGCAAGATGGGGAGTAGAGTTGTGTGACGAGACAAAAAACGGCTTGCGATACTAAGATTAAGCTCGTTTGTTTATTCAAATTTTTAAGCTTAATTTACTTTTTAGCTTAAATTGCTATGTACATTTGAGCTTTAATATCATAGGTGACAAATTACTCCTAAATTTTGGCGCGAACTTTAAGCGTTAATTTGTAATTTCACATGTGAAATTACAAAATTGCCATGGCAACCCTTCCCTACGTCTCAGTGTCAAGATGGCGACGAAGTTTTAAAATGCCGGGAATGAAGATGTCAGGGCACAAAAAGACGCTTTAGAAAACCTGAACACACAAGAGAACATCAAGAAGGATTCTAACAGGTATTTTGCCGAAAAAGTCTGAAAAAGTCTGAACTTTATAAGCCAAATTTAAGGTCTAAACATTTTAGAGAGTGGAGTTCTCGATCGATACGATCGAGGATAAACATGTCAAAAATCCAAGATTGCTAACCTAATTCGTCACCCATGATATTAATAGATAATCAAATGGTATACTCGTGAAATTAGGGAATAATTTCACTCGTCACCATTTGATTACACATACTTATTTTCTTTTTTAACATTCAAAGCATTGTAACGCGCTTTGATCATATTTGCATGGAAAAGGCGCGTTATGAATTTTTAAGTATTATTACTATTAATTATTGGCTGTATACGGCAGCACATGTATCTCAGTAATTCAAATTGATATTTACAAAAACCCCTCTAACAAATTATACTTACAATCCTTACAGCCAAACAAGTCCATTCTCATACATATTGCACCAGTATATGTTTTGGGAAATATTCTGACATATTGCGCTGCAAACGGGGGAGCAAACCAGTGGACAACAATGGTATTTCTGTCGCTGTTTCCAGTCAAATGCTGAGTGGTAGATCAAGAACAAAGTAAGTGGAGATATACAAATAATTTTATTTACAGGACAGCACAATCTGTGTAGTATATTCCCAAACCGGCTGAAGAGGAGCGCTAGAGGTAATGGGAAGGAGGAATTTTTCTGCTTTTCCTTCCCATCACCCCTCGCGCTCCCTTCAGTCACGCTTCTCGTGACTGGGGACGAGTCACCCTAACCGGGGTTGCAAATGTCCGTTCAGGGGCCTGTTCCTCGACTGAAGTTCCAATAATTAACGGACAAACAAGAAAAGTTGTCAGGGATACATTAAGCACTAAGTAAATCTTCAGCTTTAAAGTAATAATCTCCTCTGTTTATCTGTCCACTCATTATACCTGACAACGGGTAAGATTTAAACGTCCATTAGCTAAAAGGTTGTGTGATTTTGTTTTTACTCACTTGAAGTCTACTTGAAAGTTTCAAAGAGTTATAGATGTGAATGAATCTGCATCGGCTTCTAATATTTAGTACGTTAGATAGTCACACACAGTTAATGTACAAATAGGTTGCAGGCTGTAATCGGACAGTCGGACTGAAAATTGGTGCATTGTTCGACTCCTACAACCTACGTTTTGAGGCCAGAGACTAGCCATCGCTTACAACAAAGCTCGCAATATGATACTTTTCTGTCTCAAGCCCTTGGTCAATGTTTCACCCGTGTAGCCAAAATAAGACGAAATACGGTAACACTAGACGACGGCAATTGGACGATTGCCAATCTTGAGACTTGTTCCTTTACAAGGTTTAATAATGCCTTCCGGAAAACTTTGCTCCAGGCGGCCAAAAGGAAAACTAGAAAATTAACCGACTACAGAAAACAACTTCTATCGCGCGCGCTGATTTCAAGTAGGATTGTTTTATCACACGAAAATGAGAATTGTGCGAAATGATCGCAGGTAATGGTGTTCGTGGTAGGGCCGAGGGAGGAGGATGAAGAAAGATGCAGATAGCATTATAAACACATGATTGTAGGGTTTATCTCAGAGTAAAAACCTGTAGAGTTTTTCTTTGTTTTCTAGCTTTTATTTTCCTTGGCTCGATTGTGTTGGCTTCTCAGTGGCTTCTTTGTTTTTATTGTTTTACGTCACTCGTGAGTTTCAAAGGTTTTTATACCGAGGATGAGCCTGATTTAATGCCTACTGCAGCTTGTTCGACGATTTGTGTACTCAAAATGTTATAACAAAGAAAAAAAGTAAAGTAAACGAGCCCGAAATGAGAATGTCGGGGAAAAACGCCTGGAAGTCCCTTTAAGCAAATCCAGACAACTATATGAATACATGTTGCAAATTTACCTGTCCAGCTCTGTAACTAATCCATGTTTTACCATCATATCCATAGCGGATTAAAAAGCTTGTCACCCGGTTGTCCCTTTTATTATCTCCCTGAGTGGCCACGCCTGTGACTGATACAATTTGATTAAAATCAGCCTGTAAATACTGAGGTAGGGATGGTGAAGAGCTGCACCAACCGTCAGTACTATAAAGGTGACTATAAGCAGCTCTGTGACTATTACTTTCTGAGGATGCTGTAATTGTAAAATCCCTCCTTTGAAATCGTTCATTCTTAAACGATTCAAAGCAACCTGTAAAAACATCAAGAAATATGGCATTTTTATTCAGAATTTTTATGTACTGTTTAAAAAACGAGCAGTTTCGATTATCTACAGACTGTGAGTTTTTGAACGACTTCAAAATCTCTGATATAGATCAACTCATTCTTGCACTAATATTTAGATTTGGGGTTATTTTGGTCTAAACAATTGGACGTATAGTTTAGCCGTGTCTTTATCAGGTATAAAGACAGGGGCACCCAACGACGGTTTCCTCCTAAATGCATTGAAACACTTTTTAGGCTATCCAGAGTACTTTTAGATCTCTAGAAATGTATTCTAAATAGCGCTAATTTTATTTGTTCGGTCATCCTAGGGCAACTTGAGTCTTTTCAAAATTACATTGGCTTCAGCATTATTTTCCGAACATTTTAGCTGCAATTTAGAGTTTTACGAAAGTGAGAATTTTTCTCTGCATCGCATTTTTGGTTCCAAAAATTTTAGGTTTCCTTTCTCTGCTAAAAAAAGCCTTAACCTGGGGAGTGAAATGGAAAAAAATTAACTTCACAAAATTGTAGGGAATTTATTAGATAGCCTTCAAAAAATTGTACATGAATGGAACGGTCATCTAAAAAAATCTAGACAATATTTGCTTCTCCGAACAGATATTTCAAAGAAAACAGTCATTGGGTGCTCCTGTAAAGACACTCATTAAACTTTTAAAATTTCTCTTGTTTTTTCTTTATGAATTATTACTGAGTTTTTTAACTCGTTTTTGAATTTCCATCCGTTCCACATTAGTTATACAATGACAAAGAAGGAAAGAAACGAGGAGGGACAAAATCAATATAGTAAATCCAATTCTTAAACGCACCCTTTTCTAAAGTAAAGGAGAAAACTAAACAGAGAGGAAACAAGAAAACGTGAAATAAGCATAGATGTACAAAGATGGGTCAGCAGGCAGTAATTAGGAAGCCTAACCAACGACGACAACGGCAAAAAAGCACTAGGTTTTGCCCCGTCCACATGTATCCGGATATTAACCCTAACTTTAGAACTCAACTCCTAAAAAAATCTCCAACATTTGACAAATTTAGCGTGATGAATCAAAAGCGATAAAGTTTGACAGAGCGCCGATGCTTTTTGTTAAGTGAGGTTTTTGATGCCGTCGGCGTCGTGGTTGCATGCATAAGCATCCTATGTACAAACCAGAATTTAGCGGCAGGGTTAGCTAAGTCGGTGGAGCGTTCGACTGCAGATAGGAAGGTCGCAGGTCCGATTCCCGGGGCCGGACCAATACTCTGGGTCTTAAAATAACTGAGAAAAGAAGGTACTTCCTTTGCCCTGCAAACGGGTAGACCTTCGCGTGGCTCAGATGATCTGGCAAAATGGCGGTCCCTTCTCGAGTAGCAGACGTAAATAATAGTGTCCCCAATTAGTACTTTTGAGCTAAATACGTTGACACTCAAAGTGCATTTGTTAATACTGTGGTTGTCTTTTGAACTGCATGTATTGCTGGGATAAGTACTAAGAGACCGACCTTGCTTAGATCCATACACCTCCACCCTTAATGCTTTGCTGCTGTGAAATGTAACTGGATAAAAACGAATAAACTTGGCAGCAAGTGGCTCATATAGTTCACTTCTTACAATGCTGTTCTTGTCATCATTTCCAGTAAATATCTAAAAGCAAATGAACAAAAATTTCTATAAAATGCTGATGAAAGACAAATATATAAATTCGTGAGTTTAGGTGTTTCATTCGCACGGAAACACGCTAACCGTACGAAAATTTAAACTCCTTGCCGTTCAAACATTTGAAATGAGAAAAATGAAGAGGTGTGAACACCATAACCATCTAAATTTTTGTGTAGCAAGGGCGTGGTTGCATGGATGCGTGGTACGTGAAGTAGTGTTCTGCGCATGGGTAGATGGAAAAACAACTGAAAATAATTAAAATTCGGAAACTGGTTTGTAAGTTCCATGTCAAGAGAGCGAAAATATTGAACGGTTTCGTGTCCGGTCAAATTTTTCAACCCTTTCGTCTGGTGCCTTTTTAACGTAGCCTACGTCTAACCCTACCCGCTTACGGTTAACAGGAGAAACAAGAACATATAAACAAACGATATTTATGAGGATTGCAACTACATTGACGATGACTGCCGCCTACAGAACAAAAGGTAAAGGATAATATATAGATTTAGCCAGGGCTAAAAGCGAAGCTCCTATTAACTCGAATTTATAATTTAAATCAAACAATAAACTTGCAATTGTATTTTACAAATCAGTTAACTTTAGAGCACATTCATGTGACTTTTGAGGGAAAGGCTAAGTGATTTTAGAGAAAAATAATTTGCAAACAGTCCAAGCTAAGAGTGAACATAATCTTACATCGAGTTGATAGCCTTATATGTAGACCCAAAAAATAGCAATCATCTTCGATCACATTCAAGAGCCATAATGCATGATAATGGCTCTTGATCACAGCAGATTAGGCCTGGAAAACAAATTCTCGGAAAACAAATCAATCCCAATTTTTTGCGTTCGACAAGTTTAAAATTTATTTTACAAAATCTTGCTGGCAAGTCTGAGGACGTGTAAACCAACCTTTTATACTTTTTATACATCATCTGAGGTGAAACAGTACCATGAGGCACAGTTTTTATCATACAGACCTCGGACAGATCACAATTTTACAAATTGTACTTATTCAACATTCAGGTCGATCGATCGATCGTGGGCTTTTACCGAAACCGTTAAAAAAATTTCTAAAATCACCTATACGGCTTGCCGGTTCTCACTTTTGACAAGCGCCAAAGTCGACTGTTTAAATCAAGATTAATAGAGTTATATGCTTTAACATGATAAAAAATTTATTATGTTTATTTCTTTATTTAACGGTTTTATAACTATGTGTAATCTTCAAAAGCCAGGGGCACCCAACGACAATTTTCGGAAAAATATCTGTTCGGAAGACGATTTGAGATCTAGAATTTTCGGAAAATTTGTTGTAAAATTTCTTGCTTGCCTGCCTCTCCTAGGATTTTCGAACATCTAAAAAATGGTATAATTGCCTATTTTTAACGGATTTTTACCCTAAAAAGGTCACCTAGAATTTTCGGGAGCCTTTTTTCTGGCTGAAATTTTCGAAAAGTTAAGTTTTGATCCCTATAATTTTCGGATCACTAGACTTTCAGCTAAGAAATCCCAACAGATGAAAAATTTTTAGGGGCTAAAAATATGCCTATATCCACAGTTTAAATACTAAAATACGTTTAACAATTCTATGTTTAAGTGGTTTTGAACTACATTCTCGTTGGGTGCCCCTGAAAAGCGTTTGATACACGCGGCATTTTGATCATTTTGTCAATTGATCACAACATTGATGTACAATATGTTTGCAATATCAGTCTTCCTGTGCTACCAAACTAGCTAGAAAGTGTGAGATTGAACATTGGTTTTCCTGTGGTGCGGACGGACGGGCGGGCTGCGGGAGGTGTACGGTCACGTGATTACCAAATTTTCTCGGATGGGGAGAATGGGTAGATTTACTTACCCATGGTGCTCCGCAGGAGCGCCAGAGCTCCGCTATTAAAAGGAAAACAATCTGTATGTCAGTTTCTTTTACATTTTACTACTTATTTCCCTAACGTTTCCTATGCAAACAGCAGTAAGAGACGAAGGAAGGAAGACAGTAGTAACGAGGGGAAAAAGAAGCAAGGCAGGAGGCAGGAAGAGAAGGAGGGGGCAACTAGAGACGGTGAAGATGAGAGAAGAGAGAGGACAGCGAATGGAAGGGAGAGAAAGAGGACGAAAGCAACTTCGGCGTGTGAAATTCTGGTTTCTCAAGGCTAACAGATAAACACAATCCTTTATTACTTAGTGTCTCCACGATTATAATTTCGCTATTACTTCACCTAGGGCGAAAAAGGATGTACCTTTTCGGAACCACCCTCAGAGTAGAATGTCCACACGACATTATCAAGGGACGTCTTTATCTTGTATGTTTTTGTCCAATAATCATTATTTGGATTTCCTTGTGTTGCTACTCCACAAACAAAGTAAAGAGATCCCAAATCGATCTGCAGGAAATCATTGTTGTCATTGTTTGTGGCAGGAATCCAGGCATTGGATCCATTTAATCGGCCATCAGATGGACTCCGGCCGCTACGAGATGACGAAGCTGAAAACCTCTGATCAGAAATAACGTTACTATCCGACACTCCAACTGGATCAAGTACACAACCTATAAAAATACATATAAAAAGTCACTACCTCAAACTTAGTAAGTTTTTGAAAAAAAGGAGGAAGAATTATTATCGTGTTATTATTCTTAACGTAGAAAGTACAGACTCACAGTTCAATTCAATTCAATTCAATTCTTTATTTCACACTATATAAGATATTTACATAAGTGTACCTAGGTAGGAAAATAAAGTGACTGATAAATAATAATTAACTAAAAGATATTAAGTTCATTTGTGTACAGTGTCCAAAGTAGCAAGAGCTTTCTTGTTGGACACCGTCATGTTGAAATAATTGGCAGCAGTAAAGAGAGGAATAAAATCTCTGATAATATCGGTGATAAAACATATACGCAAGGTCAGATTTGGTTGGTTAGAAGATATGGTAGACACTTGAGACCTGGCGGTACAGTCTCCCAGATTTTTGGAGCGGAGAATTTAAAGGACGTCTTACCTAAGTTGGTGGATACTCTTGGCCTAAAATAGTTCAGATTACTGACAAATCTTGTATTATGATTGTGTATACGCGATGCTGGTCAGGACATCAAGGAAAATATCTGGAATGCTATCAGTCTCATTTCTCAGTCTATGTATAAAGCAACATATTTTTAATTTATATATATATATTATCTAATTTAAGGATTGTTAGGAGTTTGAAATAGGGAGCAGCACTCTCTCTCTAGGATGTACAAAGAAGATGGTGCGGAGATATTTGTTATGTTTAATACGAAGACAATCTAATCTGGGTTTGCTGGCACATCCCCAAGCAAGAATACCGTAGCTCAAATAGGGATATATTTAAGCATAATAAATTTGTTTCAGTATAGTTCAGATCTATGTAATATCTTAGTTTTGAAAGGATTCCTAAATTTTTAGCTAATTTATTATTTACATGTTGTATCTGTGGTTGCCAATTGAGATGTTTATCTATATGAACTCCCAAGTACTTTATGGAATCTTTCTGTTCAATACCAGTGATATTTATCTTTGGGTGGCACCCAGATGACGAGACTAACATGTAATTGGTCTTTGCAGTGTTAATAGATAACTTATTTAGAGCACAGTAGTTTTAAATTTGTTTAAGCTCTTGATTCATCACGGATTCAAGCTGTTTTAAGTTGTCGCTAGGGTAAAATAAATTGGTGTCATCAGCAAAGCTCCGCACCGAAAGTTTGTCGACACAGTTTGGTAAGTCGTTCACATAAAGCAAAAATAAAAGATGACCTAGAGTCGAGCCTTGGGGTATACCACAAGTAATATTTTCATAGCTAGATTTAGTAGAGTCAATTTTAACATATTGTCTTCGATTGTGCAAATAACTTTCAAACCAATTATGTGGTGTACCCCGAATTCCATACAGATATAGTTTAGAGAGCAGTATTTTATGATGTACTGTGTCAAATGCCTTTGATACGTCGAGAAATAAACCACATGTTATTTGACCTTTGTCAGAAGCTAGCTTCAGATTGTCCGTAATTTTAAGAATAGCTTGTTCAGTGGAATATCCTCTCCTAAATCCAAACTGATATTTGTAAACCATTTGATGTTTATGTATGAACGAATATAACTGATTATAGACTAGACGCTCGAGCACTTTACTAAAAGGTGAGAGAGTTGCTATGGGCCGATAGTTGCTTGGGTCTGTAGCATCACCACCCTTATACACAGGGGAAATTTGCGAGACTTTTAAAATATCAGGAACAATTCCAGTTTCAATAGACTGGTTATAGATATATGTTAAAGGTATTGACCATGGCTGGGCAGCTATTTTAATTAATTTATTAGGAATATCTAAGGATGACTTATGATCATTTAAACCTTTAAATAGTGAACATACTTGGGTTTCAGTAACACAGGACATAACAAAGCTAGCTACTGGAGTCGATCTTATGAATTGGGTCGGACTTCCATCACAATTTTCAATTCTTTTGGCCAGGTTTTGACCCACATTGACAAAATGCTTATTCAATTGATCGGCAATCTCAACCTTATTAGTGTAAGCTCTATTATTACGTTTAATTTTCGAGATGGGGGTTTACCCCTTTGAGTTGCGCTTAACTAGCATACCAATCAATTTCCAAGATGCCCTCAGGTTGTTTTTACATAGGTCAAAGTGTTGTGAAAAGTAGTTCTTTTTGCAAATGTTCTTAAGCCAATTCAGTTTGTTAGCATACTTTTTGTATTCCGTCACCTTAATTGGATTGTTTGAAAGAAAGTGTGTTTTGTATAGATTATGCTTAGTTTTGATTGATTCAAGAATACCATTAGTTATCCACGGTTTAGTACACAATTTCTGTTTCTTTTGGGACAATTGCTTATTGGTGCATGTTTATCTGCAATTGATTTAATCAGGTCAGTTATTTTAGTAGCTGTCTCAAGCAGATCATCACTATAGATAGCATTCCAGTTGACTGCTTTGATATCCTGTAAGTAAGATTCTTGATCAAAATTGCTGTAATCTCGATAGGTACTTTTTCGCCGGCAAATGTGGGAAAACAATTATTATATTGACTATGAGCCAAAACCAAAATATGAGAGCTTACGGAATATTAAAAGATAGAGTATCGCCAGAGTTTTGATCGTTAGCACTGGTTAATAGAACTTATAATGTAGATACTTATCTAACTGATAATAACAACAACAATAATATCAATAATAATAATAATAATAATAATAATAATAATTTCTTTAAAGAATTGGGAATTTAGGAATACGAGATTTTATTTTTTTTAACTTGTTTTCTTTTTGATATCAGCGACGGATTTGCAATGACTTAATTTAAAACTCTGGACCGCCTGCAAGAGTTATTGACCGCATCTCAGCCGCAAGGTATGTATTTGCGAAATCGCTATTGACACAGTGATTGCTATTTTTATGATTTATATAATTCTTAATGTTATATAGTGCATAATTCGTACTTCAAATATTTCTGTAAATTATGTACATATTTTTTTTACAGTTGAATAATTTTTTTCCTTTCTATAATAATAATAATATTAGACTAAGTATTTTAGGATCTTTTTAATATCTTTATTTCATTTTTAATCGAAATGAATTGCTTTAAATTGAAATGAGCTTTATTTTAATTGAATGAATAGAACCTTATGAAATGAAATGACTTGTAAATAGTGCTTTGACTACACACATATATATATTTTTTCTTCTTCAGCGAAATTAATTGTAAATAGGTTTTAATAGTTAGTTTTGATAATAATAATGATAATAATAATAAAAATAATAATAATGAGACACTTATAAAGCGCCCTTTCCCCAGGGTCCAAAGGCGCCAACAACTGAATTCCCTTAGTAAGAAGAATTTATCACGTAACTTTATCAAATTAGGCAAACACCACAAAAGAAAAATGAACAGATTGATTAAAAAAATACAGAAACTTTTCATATGTGAACTATACAAAACGATATTTAAAACTGATTACTTTTTTAGTAAAAGGCAAAAAAAAAAAAGACACAAAAGACACACACACAAGCATCATGCAAACCTATAAAATAAACAGGAGGAAAGAAAAGTGCTCTTACTTTCTGATTTAAGATAGGAATGAACTTCAACCTCGCAGAGCGTCAAAAATTCCCTGCGAAGTATTCTGATGTACAAATATCTGCCATATGCTTTAGGACTACAGGAATATGTCTTGGAACTTCCTGCTGGGATTTGTATGTTATTTGCACAAAGACTGTTGTCTGCTCCTCCACTTGCTGTTTTATTTCCTTGCAAAGCGAATAAAAGAAAATATGAGGTAACATTTACTGCAGTATTTGAACACAATTCATGTACAATAATAGTTGAAAAGGTAACAAAGAAACGATCTTGGCATTTGCTTTAAAAATCAGGGGAGTGCTGCAATCTCACTTGCAAAACCTCACATTGATGTATATATTGGCTCAGCACTCAAACAGAATCTGTGGGAATTTGACTTTACATGAATGTAACTATGTAGGGGGAAAATGCTTGTAACGGATCGGCGCCCAAAGCCTTAAGAACCAACTTGTTCGGGTTCGACGCGATAAATTACGATTACGGGGATGTACTTTACGGACGCTCTCCTTGAATCAATCTTAATTTATCACAACATCCACGAATCCAAGATCACATCTTAAACTGAAAAAATAACAATATGTATAAGTAATTGACGGTTGTCCAATAATCACAAATAGACTCCATTGTCTCCATTGGTACCAATGGTAGGCATTGGTGCCAATGGAAAAGCACCCTATTCCAATGGTTCTATTGCTGAATATGCATCTCATTAAGGGGATTTAGATTATTTTCTGATGTGGTGTAGCTGGGTACAGGGCAATTCCAATGGTCCATTGGTAAGAGGCAAACTTACCAGATTTTCTTTTTTAACTTTATAAGGCGTTTTTCAATTCTCGAAACCCGACATCTAAACTTACTCTTGTTGCCATAATGCTCGCCTCCTTCGCCCTCTTCATAAAAAATTGCCACACAGTCAATGATGACCACGCCGTCTTCGCCGTCTCAGCGGCCTCAGCCATTGTGAGAAAACATGTAAGACCTCGAATTGCCGGCACAGGTATAGTCTGCTACACAGCCGTTTTTAGTGTCGTCACGCAACGCTCCTCCCCAACGTTTTTGCTTGGTGTAAAAGGCAACTTGTTTTGCGTGGTTGGCTTATAGAACGAGGAATATTCATAATAACTATTAGCGCGTTTTTTCTTGGTGTAAAAGCGAACTTGTTTTGCGTGATTGGCTTATACAACGAGGAATATTCATAAGAATTATGGCGCGTTTTTAATTGGTGTAACAGCGAACTTGTTTTGCGTGGTTGGCTTACAGAACGAGGAATATTTATAATAATTATTAGCGCGTTTTTACTTGGTGTAAAAGCAAACTTGTTTTGCGCGATTGGCTTATAGAACGAGGAATATTCATAATAATTATTAGCGCGTTTTTACTTGGTGTAAAAGCGAACTTGTTTTGCGTGATTGGCTTATAGAACGAGGAATATTCATAAGAATTATAGCGCGCTTTTACTTGGTGTAAAAGCGAACTTGTTTTGCGTGATTGGCTTATAGAACGAGGAATATTCAAAATAATTATTAGCGTGTTTCTACTTGGTGTAAAAGCGAACTTGTTTTGCGTGATTGGCTTTTAGAACGAGGAATATTCATAAGAATTATAGCGCGCTTTTACTTGGTGTAAAAGCGAACTTGTTTTGCGTGGTTGGCTTGAGAACGAGGAATATTTAAAATAATTATTTGCGTGTTTCTACTTGGTGTAAAGGCGAACTTGTTTTGCACCAATAAAATCATTGCAATGGCATCATTTTCCATTGGTACCAATTGTACCATGGGTACCAATGGACCATCGGAATTGCCCTGCACCCAGCCAGGTCACATGGGAAAGTAATCAAAGACCCCTTAATGAGATGCATATTCACCAATAGAACCATTGGAATAGGGTGCTTTTCCATTGGTACCAATCGTACCATTGGTACCAATGGACCATCGGAATTACCCTGCGCTCAGCCAGGTCACATGAGATGCATATTCACCAATAGAACCATTGGAATAGGGCCCTTTTCCATTGGTACCAATCGTACCATTGGTACCAATGGACCATTGGAACTGCCCCGTACCCAGCTAGACCACATGAGAAAATAATCTAAGACCCCTTAATGAGATGCATATTCACCAATAGAACCATTGGAATGCTTTTCCATTGGTACCAATCGTACCATTGGTACCAATGGACCATCGGAATTACCCTGTGCTCAGCCAGGTCACATGGGAAAATAATCAAAGTCCCCTTAATGAGATGCATATTCACCAACAGAACCATTGGAATGACATCCTTTTCTATTGGTACCAGTCCTATCATTGGTACCAATGGACCATCAGTTTGACGAATCGTATCCGTTTGTGTATATTGGACATGTGTGAGGTAATTGAATGATTTCGAGCACAATTTGGGATAAATCAGAACAAGCACATTTTTCAAAGACCAACCAAATTGCACGAGCCCCAAGGGCGAGTGCAATTTGTGGTCTGTTTTAGCCCAAATTGCACGAGAAAAATCATGTGATTACTTGTTAATAATATGCCACAGTTCCCTCTTCCCGCCTACAAGTGACAACCTCGACCAAGATTGGTCAAAATTTTGACAGGCGAACATTGATGGCTAAAAACGCAGCAGCTAGAAATTTGTTTATAGAAAACGGAAGCCTTTTGTCTTTTTGGCTGATTTTGCGTCTTTAATTCGTCATGTTGTGCAGGGTCGGATCCAGGATTTTTTCAAACGTCCCAGGGCCAATTAGCAAGGAATGGGGGAGGGGGAAGGGTGGGAATGGGGGAGGGTGACGAAGGTTAGGGTCATGTTTGAATATGTTTCCGAGGAATTTGAGGCACTATTAGTAATGGTAATAGGATTGAGTGGTGTATGACACGAAGTCCTGTCATCGAATAATTGTGTCAGTAACAAAATGCGAGAATCTCAGTTTTGGAATATTTATTAATGTGAATAAAAGTCACTGGACCAGTTAGTTTCATCTATTTTTCTTTTCCAGTTGAAGCTGACCGCTTGGTCACTATTTTTTCATTGATTTTGATTCGTTATCGTGTTCTATGTGGTCAAACTTCAATGGCTTGTGGCATTTGCTACTTGGTTTTCATTGGTTCTATGACTGTCCGATTTGACCTGTCCGATTACAAGCTCCTGGTAATCGGACAGTTTACAGAGACAGAGACAGAGCGTTCTTGGATGAGCCTTTACAAAGGCTTCGCATATCTCGTCTACTGTACCTCGAATCTCTCGGAGTAGTGCATGACGATCACTGCGAGATCAGAGAATCGCTCCATTGTTGACCTAGAGCAGGTCTTGATTCATTTCATCAGTGAAAACGACGACTCAGTTTTTCCGCTTGTGATCGTTAGGGGGCAGGTAACGATCAGAAGGCGATAGGTGTTTGGAAAAGCACCTTCGTCAAGTGCTAATAAAAGGTTGTTTAGAAGCTCCCAATCTGTTGACTGCCAGAGTGTTTTCCATCTACGTACCTCATTTCCGAGGGATTTCAGAAACGGAATATCTTTCTCCCAGAACAGCGCGCCTTTTACTTTATCCGATCCAGCTGCAGTGCCTTTATTTACTATAATCGATGGCACGAGACAAAGCAGATGGTGGGCGTGGCGATCTTCGTCAGAAAATCGATATTGCATTTGGATAATTAAGGAGTCAATTCAAGAAGAGGAATAGCAACAGTCTTCTTGTAATGGCCGATTGGACTGGAACGTAAATTATAACTTATAATATTATTTTTGGTATGAAAAAGGGATAAACATGGGTAACCAGACAAGTTTAAAAAACTTCCCAAAGAGGGGGTTGCAACCCTCTCAACCCTCCCCCCTGGATCGAAACTGTGGTTTCATCGATGGCTGTTTTTGTAAGAACTTTCATGCAGGCTTTCACAGCAGAGTAACAGAGTTACTGAACCTTAGAAAAGAGTAAAAATCACTTACATAACAGTCCCGCTTTACCGATCCTAGTGAACTTTCAGTATTCTTACTTCTGACTTAACTGACACTCCTGATTAGTACAGTAGCATGACAAAGGCCAACTAACTAAAACACAGTTTCGCGTAAGACTATAACTATTTTGGAATCACGTGTAAATTATCAACCTAGCGGAAATAGATGAGATCAATCTCGTGTTCGGAAGGAGGCAATCAAAGCCGTTACGAATGAATGCTATTGATGATATATAGATTTAGCCAGGGCTAAAAGCGAAGCTCCCTTTAATAAATTCATAATTTAAATCAAACAATAAACTTGTGATCCACAGATCAGGGCACATTCATTTGACTTTTGAGGCAAAGGCTAAGTGATTTTAGAGAAAAATAACTTGACAGTTCAAGAGTGAAACAAATTTTACATCGAGTTATTAAATAGTCTTTTTTGTACACCCTAAAATAGCAATCATGTTGTATCACAGTAGATTAGGCCTGAAAAACAAATAGACCTATTCGTGTATTGTATTTGCATTAGCTGTTGCATCATAATGTGGCATTCACCAGTCTCTTCAACATTGCTCCGTTAGAGAGACTATGGATAATTGGACAACCCCGAAATATAATTGTAAGAAACACAAGCGCCACGATAGTCCTTGGTGGCAGCCAATTTACACGTTGCATTCCTCTGTCTAAAAGAGAGGCAAAAATAAAAAATTAGGCCGGATTTTTTGTGTTCGACAAATTTAGGTTACTAGTAAATCTTGGCGACAAATCTGTTATTGGCGTGTAAACCAGCCTTTTAAACATACTTTTTCTCATCACGTCTCAGGTAAACAGTACTCTGAGGACCTTTTTTAATCATGCAGACCACGGACACGGACAGAATTTGTTCTTTTTTACCCTATTAAAACCTATAATTCTGCAGTTTTTCACAATTTTGCAAGAGAATTTGCAAATCGATCAAAGCAAGCGCTTCCTTTGCACAACAAATTATGGCATTGAATTATAAAACATTTTCACGAAGAGAATTCTTTAATGCCGGGACTTTTCAGTTAGAAAAATCTGGTCCTATGTGATATGCAGGGTAATAATTATGGGCTTTTAATGAAAACGATAAAAAAAAAAAATCCCAAAATCACTTTTCGGCCAGCGGGACGGGTTCTCACTTTTGACAGGCACCAAATTTGCAGTGCGATTAATAAAGTTATCATTTACGCTTCAACATGATAGAGAAATTGTTATGGTTAGGTTTTATTTCCCTTTATTTATTAAACTGTGTATGGTTTTGTTATGTGTAATCTTTAAAAGCGAGTGATATTTACAGGGGGCGTTTTGATTATTCCTGCATGCGATGTTTATGTTCGACTGGAAACAACCGGTGCAGCGATAAAAATTGCGAGAGGGACTACTAACAATCAATGAAATAAATATAATTCGGTGAAACATGTAGAGAGACAATAATTTTCATTCACGAAGAGAAGTATTGAGAGTAAAGTGTCTCTGAAAATCATGAGTCAGGTAAGCATAAGCCGGTGTTTGCTCCTTTTCAAGATGAACTCGAGGCAAGAAAATCGCTCAGAGCTTTCTGTTTACAGCCAAAATTATAACTAAATAATCTTCGGAACCTATTCTTCGAATTTGCGGTCAAAAAATGTCTAAAGGCTTTTAAAACCTGACACTACTATTGTACGTAGGTTAGATCTTTGCTCGTGTATACCTTAAACTTACGCCGCATAAACCATACGCTCGACTTCAGGAAACCGAAAAAAAAAAAGCACATTAGAGACAATAATTGCTCAGGCTTACCAGTCGAGATGCTGCTTCTGAGGGTCATAAAGTGTTCCAGAATCGCTTGAGACTTTTCAACCCTCTTATGCCTCAAGCAACGGCAAGTGAGTAAGCTCATTTTTGAAAACGATGCCATCCGAAATCGGATTTCCAATGACTTTGACAAGCGGTGCATTTGTGAACAAAAAGCGCAATAAACAAACCAGCCATGAATTACAGAAGAATCTTGATAGCAGCTGCATTTCATTTTGTACACCAAGAAGAAAAAGACAGTTTAAAACATCACAAGATGACACAAAACTCTGTCAGCTAAGCAAGTTACCAGACGCTGCATAAATTTTCCGCATGAGCTTACCTGTCAAATTTTGACCAATCAGAACATAAAAATTGGACGTAGAGCGTGATCAACGCGTGACAGTGAGAAAAGTCAAAAGCGATTAACTTCCCTGCATGTAAATGTAAAAGCCGGTTGAATTTTCGCGTCCGAGGTCAGTTCGAAATCAACCTTTTTTTAAGTGCGGCTCATGAACACGACTTATTTCATACGCATTTTAAAAAAATTGAACTTGAGCCTGCGATCATTTGAAAAGCAGCAACTTGTCAGCGGATACCTTAAAAAACCGCTCGAACTCAGTGGGTCGATACCTGAGCCCGCGATACTGGTCAGCAGAAACTCTATTTTGACAGCTGTCAATTAATCAAAACATGGATGTACATAAAATGCAATATCAGGTTGCAGGCTCCCAAACTAGCTAGAAAGTGTGAGATTAAACATTGGTATACCTGTGGTGCGGACGGACGGAAGGTCGGGTGGTCGGTGTACGGTCACGTGATTGCCAAATTTTCTAGGATGGATAGATTTTCTAAGCTATGGGGCTTCAAATTGAACCCGTGATCAAATAAAATATCAGCGCAAAACTTGAAAGACTACGTGACCTAAATGGATAGAAAAATGAGCCCGCGATACACTCAGGGAATGATGGTCAGCGTATACTCTAGTTTGACAGCTGTCAATTAACCTTCATTAGAATGGCGAATATTCGAATTAACAGACTACGAGTGTGAGTAAGACATATCCGACCGGCATGTATTGAAAATGCCAGATCCTGTACCTGCGCGAACCTGAGCCCACGTTTTTAGTTTTCTGATAGTGGTCTGCGCATGTCCCATTTTGACAGCTGTCAATTGACCTTAATTTGGCTTGCCAATATAACTTTAAACGACTGTCAGCCAACTGACAGCCTTGCCCGGCGTTGTTTCGTTTATATGTTGAATTGGTAAGTGTGCCATATTATATCAAAACAACTGGTCTTTCATCTGAGCCCGCGAGGTGGTCATGTGTCAGCAGATGTCTGATTTTGACAGCTGTCAATCTAATCGTACTCATACGGATGGCTTACACAACTAAGAGGCTAGTCAAGTTGTGCAAGATCTATTGTGACATTTGACATCGCCTTACATGAGGTGTGTGTACGGGCGGGCGTACGCTACGTCATAACCAAATCTTCTCGGATGGATAGTTTACCAAATTTTCTTACCCATGGTGCTCCGCTGGGCGCGCGCGAGAGCTCCGCTACTAAATACATGTACACTCTTACAACACACAGTGATCACATAATTTTCTTCTGAGAAGTGGAAAATAATCTCAGATTAACTAAATTATTTCGAAATGAACAAGGAACACTTTTGAACAAGGTTAAAAAACTGATTACAGCATCTCCCAAAATTACTACCTACCCACTCTTAACTCAGCTCCATCCAATCTGACTGACAATCTGTCTCTGTTGACTATATTCACTTCAGCTACAGGCTCTACTCGCCCTAGGTCTACTCGCCACCAAGGATTGTTCTGTAAACGAGAGTGTGTACACTTGCTGCTGTCTGGACTCCTATTTCCATCCACTGCATTACTAGCAGGGTTCGAAGTACTCCATGTACTTGACTCAGTTGCTGGCTTGAAAAGGGCAATATTGCTCTGATCTAAAAACCAAACAAATAGTAAAAATTACAGATAAACAAAGCAGAGTTGCAGGCTTTGCTCTCCCCAGCTCCTGGAGACAAATAGGTCCGTACTTCTGCTCTAAGGCGACTAGAAAATCTCAGCTACAGAGCATTGGGCTCCAAAGAATTATAATTCTTAGAGCACAGCCTTAAACAAAGGAAAATCAAGTACTGAAGGTTTTTCTGAATTAACTTGTTAATGTTCAAAGTACATGTACAGCTGTACATATATAAAAGAATGGTTATGACAAGTGTTTTTTTTTTTTTTAAACAGAATTACTTGTTTAGCAAAAGGCAAAAAAAACAAAGATACAAAAGATACACACACAAGCATCATGAAGACCTACAAAATAAACAGGAGGAAAGATTAACACTCTTACTTAATGAATAAACTTCAACCTCGCACAGAGTCAAAGCTTTGTCATTGCCAGGTATTCTAATGTACAAATATCTCCCATATGCTTTGGGACGACAGACATATGTCTTGGAACTTGCTGTTGGGATTTGTATGTTATCTGCACAAAGATGGTTGTTTGCTCCTCCATTTGCTGTTTCATTTCCTTGCAAAGTGAATTAAAGAAAATGTGTAGTTCCAGGAAATATCCCGCATACGACCCCCCCCCCCCCACCCCCTCCCCACGGAGGGCAACGGTAGTTCCGAGGGGAGGGGGGTCCAAAGGAAGGCAATTTCCGAGGGGTGTGGGCTGCTTACAGAGTTTGTTTCCAGGGGGCTGAGTAAGATTGGTGAGTTATTAATGAATAACAGCTTCTCTGTTGAGCAAGCTATAAGTTATTTACTGTTACCGGTGTTGCATTGATCATCTTTTATCTACGGTCGGCTAAATGCTTTTTTCACGGCTAATGTGACAGTTTTCATTGGTACAATGTCATCGGCTCATGAATAAACTTCTGGTTATCTAGCTGTTCAGTGGCTGTTGCTTTATTACCCATTTGATTCACCGTAATTTGGTCATGTTCTAAGCCTTCTTGTAACATGTTCTTACTGATGAGGCAATTAAATTTCACGTGGTGTTTAGTTTGAATGTAACGGGTTCTTTTGCAGATGACATTATTTGTGTAGTCAGTAGTGTAAGGTATCGCCTCTATGGTTACTTATTAGAACGTCCTTGAGATAATTAGACACCCTGTTAACGTAAAGGAAAAGATTTTTATCTCATTTTATCGCAGAAAAAATTATCTTTTACATAATAATTTTATAATAATAAAGTGCAACAACATTTTTGACACAAATATTCTTTCCAGGGGGTAGCCAATCAAGTTGAATAATAACGGAAATTCCAGGGGGTGGGGGGTACGACGAGTACCTCCTGCTGGAATAGAAATTCGGGGGGGCGTAGGGGTCTTAAGCAAAAGTGCCCTCCGTAGGTGTGTGTGTATGTGTGTGTGGGGGGGGGGTATAGATATTTTTTGGAACTACACAATATGAGCTCGAGGTTGCATAAACTGCAGTATCTGAACACAATCATGTATAATAATAGTTGACAAGGTAACAAAGAAACAATCTTGGCATTCTCTTCAAGATCAGGGGAGTGCTGCAATCTCACTTGCAAAACCTTTACATTGGCATATATACTGGCTCACTCAAATAGAATCTGTGGGAATTTAAATTTACATGAATGTGTTAAACTATGTAGGAAGAAAATGCTATTTATACACTTTTACAAAACGCAGAGGTCGATTTTAGATACTTTTCTTCTGAGAAATCTCAAAAGGCAGTGCAACTGATTACAGCCAATGATCTCCCACACTTACTACCTACCCACTCTCATCTCAGCTCCGTTTAACCTGTTCCCACAGCAGTCTCCTCTGTTGAGTATATTCACTTCAGCTACAGGCTCTACTCGCCCCAGGTCTACTCTCCACCAAGGATCGCTTTCTTGGTTAGTGCGTGTACATTTGGTGTAGTGTAAATCCTTTTTTCCATCCACCGCATTGCTAGCATACGAATTACTTAATGTACTTGACTGAGAGGTCGGCTTGAAAAGGGCAATATTACTCTGAACTGAAAACCAAACAAATAATAAAAATTACAGATAAACGCAGCAGGGTTTCATGCTTTGCTCTCGGCCCCAGCTCCTGGAGACCTCTTCAGGGTCCTTAATTCTACTCTTGGGAGACTAGAGAATTTCAGCTTTTGCATGGAAATCATATGCATGGGTACCCTGGGTTTCACAGGTACAGAGCATTGGGAACCTTAGAATTTTTCTTAGAGCACAGGCTTGTTTACTGTAGGTAGTGTCGACCGATCTATCGGCCGATATAGCGGTCGACACTCGGTCGATAGTCAGTCGACAGTCGGTCGATAGTCAGTCGATCGTGGGATAGACTATCGGCCGAGTATCAGTCGATATTTCGACGACGCACCCCGACCGACTATCGGTCATATGTAAGTGACATATCGGTCAACTGTCGGTGGTATATCGGTCAACTGTCGATCGAATATCAGTCGTGCGTTAATTTAGCAGGTGAGTCCAATGGCTTTCTTTTTAAGCAATGACGTCATTAATTACTGTTATCATGCGATGTAGGAAAATGTGGCAGTGCGAGGCGCGATTACTCTATGAAGCGAACCGAAGAGCACTGGAAACTAGGGACATGGTAACCTTTTTTTGTTTCCAGTTTGTATCATCACCGATCGTCTGATTTTTAGCTGTTAAACAGAACCTGCCAGAGTCTAAGTTCAATGTGCTGCTCCTGTGGTCCCGCAGTCGAAGAATACTTAAAGAAGGACGAGTAAAATGACTGCTCCCGCAGTCCCGAAGTGGACGAATAATGAATAGGAAGGGCAGTTCATGACATGCTTTAAGAGCGAGGAATGCACATCCTTTATTATCGGGCTTTGACCTGCTTCATCACGCCGAGTTCTCGCTTGTGCGGAGACCACAAATTAAACTTATATATTTCTGTATTGAAGACGGGAACAGTCCTTTGTTTAACGATCAGTTATTGATAAAACGCGCTGATAATGTGTCGAGGAAGGTGACAAAATATGGAGCAGACTGAACACATTCATTTATTGTCACTGTATTGTGGGAATGATTTCAATTTACAGCAAGGAAAATACTCATACGTTCTCATTGCATTATCCTGTCTTTTGGCTCTGTCCTTTCGCTTTATACTGTGCATGCTCAAAATAAAGACGAACATGCGTAACAGAAATTAATATTGAATGGTAAGTAACTTTTGGTCATCCAATAAAAGGAAAACAGTATGCGCCACGTTAACATCAATATTATCTTAACTTGTTGAGGAAAAACAAGTTGAACAAAATGAGAACGGGGGTAAATACATCTTTTCATCAATGTAGTTCTGAGTCGGTTGAAAAATTCTTGGCATAGGAAAAATCAGCCAGATATAGGCCTCAGGCACGGTGGGAATAAATCACACGGTGGGAATAAATCACATAACAAGTAGCTGAAGGCCTATCACTCTCACTTAGCGGACGTCTTGGTTATGATTCGGTTTTAGCCGGCTACGCGTAGCGAGACATGTACACCCCCACCAATCAACAACAACAAAACCAGGGGAGGAAACGTCTGCGAAAAGGTTGTGGGTATCGATCCCTACAGATAGGCTAAATTCCGTTCACATGAAATAAAACAAACCGCTAGATATATGACTAATCGCTATTATTCCGGAATTTTGGTTAAGTACATTGAAGTTTGAAATTAAAAAAGCAGAAACACAATTTAAAAAACAGTTAGGTTCAAGCAAAACAATGCTTTCTAATTTCTTGTTTTCCAACCGAAAAAACGTAGGAAATTCTAGTTAACAAAGGTCATTGCTTTCTATTTACAGTGGATACTGTTCTGCAATGTTCGGCATCAGTCGACAAAGACAGCCATTGGGGTGAGGCTCAGTATGCCATCGTCTCCACATGAATTCTTTAAGGTATTCTTGCTAGCTTCTGACCATCGACCAAGTGTCGACCGACCATCGACCGAGTGCTGACCAATTGCTGACCGATGTATCGGTGAAGTATCGACGAACTATCGGCCAAGTGTCGGTGAAGTATCGGTGAACGGAAAGCTATATCGGCCGAGACACATCTGGAACGACTATCGACCGACTATCGACCGACTATCGACCGCTATATCGACCGAGTCTCGACTGACTATCGACCGAGTGTCGAACGACTATCGACCGCTATATCGACCGATAGATCGGTTGACACTACCTATATAGTAAACATGATCCGCCTTAAACAGAGGCAAATCAAGTATTGAGGGCCTTTAAGAATCAACTTGTTAATGTTCAAAGTGCGTGTACAGTTGTGTATGTAGTGTGTCTTCAGTGCAAGTATTGATCGGTAACTGTTCAAATTCTCAACCTTTTAATTTTGACAGGTTGGTCACAAACTAGCCTGCAAATACACTAGCCATCTCTCTTCATTCCTCGCCACTGAAGACCTTTGACAGGAAAGACACCTGCAAAATGGCCCCCAAAATTCCATATTGATGACATGAACCAATGTTTACAAAATTAATCTGGTAGTCATGGGGTTCTCGATATAAAATTGTTTGTCTTAAAGTCTGTCCTGGTCTATTTGCAGCAGCAAAACTCGAATTCTTCTTGTAAAGAAGATTATATTTCATGAATAATGACTTTTTTAGTTGATTCATGGCATTTACTGTACATCTTTGTGACCTTTTGTATTTTTCTGTCATTCGTAAACAATACTGACTAAAAGAATAAAATGACAACATTGACCAATCCCTATTCATTGACAAAATTCCAGAGACATTAAATCTGCATATCATTTTAAATATAGAATCTTTGGAGCGAATTTGCAGATAGCTCTTCCCTGCGAAATGTGTTTGGTTGCACTGAGGAGCAAGGCATACAGTGAAATTACTTGCAAAGACTGTACTTTAACAAGATTTTTAAAAAGAAAGAAAAAGATAATGGTTTGAAGAGCTGATGTTGTCGCAAAAGGAAAAAGGATCTTTTCAATGATGTGAAGGAGGGTTACTCAACTGGGTAAAAAACTATATTCCTTAAAAACTGAACAATTTCTGCAATATATATATCAAACCTCCGCTTCTAGGTATGCCAGAAACTTCTACTCGTAAACAAGCTCCACCATGTTTGGACCCAACAACAAAACGCAAGTATCTGGCAACAAATGCACTGAACAAGATCTGTTTTTCTACTGTGTTCTGATCGAAGTTTCCGTTGAATGTCTGGAAAAGAAATCAAAAACAAAAAAAGGCTTATCATTTAGATGGTAATTCTTAAAGTAGTAAAGATAGAGTTCAGTGTATTAAACCCAGGGCTGTCACTAAGATTTCAAGTTGCAAGATATATGCAAATTATAGGTAAGGATTTGAACAGCAAGGCAATTCTATTGGTTCAGTCTGCTTTCCTTTTGTTTCCTATGAAAGTAGCCAGGGCTCATACTGGTAGTAGGACATAGCTAGGAAATTCCTGGTACCTGGCTCTTAGTGACTTTCCAGTGAACCCAGTGAGGTATCAACCTCTCAGTCCCCACTCCCTGCTTCTGGATTCAATTAGCTTCACCCGGCATGGCATTTCTCCCTTAGATAACTACCTTTGCTCCTTTTCACGCTTGTCATTCTTCCACCTCAATATATAAGTGCGATAAAGGTAACCTTTGAACAGAGGGTAGAAGCAATTTACACTCCTAGGTGCTTCATACAGCACAAAATGGGTTAAGCTTTCGGCGTTTAAGTACCCCCAACCCCAACCCCCCCCCCCCCGCTTTCCCCCACATCATCCCCACCCCTATTCTTTCATCTTGCCCTCCCTAAAAACACCTAAACACCTGTAATAGTTGTATTAAAGTTCTACTGAACAATAAAAGGGTAACCAATTTACGACTCAAGGCTAGGGTTGCTTTAACACTTTACGAAAGCAGACGGTGTCAGGATTACCAAGGAACCCAGATGAAATCTTGATATTAATTTACCCTCTATGAAGCTCAGAATCCCCTTTTGGTCTCACAAGGAGGTAACTTAGTTACATGTAATTTACTTTATGAATATGAAAGCTGAAAAGGTTTAGTAATTTTAGAGCAAGTTTTTCAATTGTAGATAATTTGTCCATTGCTTTAAACCATTTGTGTGGGTGAATCTTCTTGGATTGTTTTTCTTTTAATAGAGTTTTTTATTTCAATTTCTAACAACACTTGCACAACAAAAGTTGCCTTTAAATATTCTAAAAATATATAAACAATTATAAGGAACAAAAAATAAATTACGATACTTTACAACTAATTACGGTACATTGTATTGCAGTCTTGCTACAAAAGTACAGTGAAATGCAAGTCTAATGTTATATAACCTTACTAGTTGAATTAATATTTGTTAGCAACCAAACTTCTTCTCAATTATATTATTCCATTTATTATATTCGCGTGAATTAATACTGGTGTTATTGCTGTTCGTTTTTCTATCTCGGCTTTGGTTACCTCTAGTTAGACTAAAGGTAATCATTGATTACGGATCCGCGTTCGTCACTTACCGAAATGAAATCGAGTCGAACGGAGTCCAGTTTCCCGGCCGAGATGCCCCTGATAAATTTAACGGGGGCGGCTAATTTGCAGTTGCCCGTGATAGCTTTTGTGCATGGTTTGATTAGCACAACAACAACTTCGCACGTGCATCACACTTTTTTGTACATTTCTTTTCCGTTTTTGCACGACTACGACGTGAAAATGTCTAATTTCTCGTTTTACGGAGGACGTAAACAAGCAACGACGAAATTTTATTTCTCTTTCTGAGCTTGAATTAGTCCCCTGAAATTCAGCTTAAGGAGGGTTCGCCTACAATTGACAAAGTAAGTGGGTAGGAATAATCGGTATAAAGACTGAAAGAACGCAAATTCACTTTTTAAGCGACGTTCTTGTCGCCGTCGCGTCGTCGGATCTTAAAGTCCCTAATAACTAGAGCTAATCATTGATTACGGATCCGCGTTCGTCAATCGAGTAGAACTGGCAAAGCATACCGCCTTTGTACACGGACAAACTTGCATAAAGTAATAAAAGTAGAAAACAACAAGAACAGAAACAAAAACATCTATTTTGTAAAACTTTCCGGGTTTTAGCTGTTGTCAGCTATTGTAGGTGTGCAGAATCAACTCTAACTTAAACTGGAATTTTAATTAAGCAAATTATGCAAAAATTACCCCCTAAACGGAGAGTCAGAGTTCTGCTGTGCGGAGTTCGATAAACCTCGCGTGGGAATAAACGTTCAGTCAAAGGCTCCTTTTACCCACAGAGAATGCGTCAAGTGGTCGCTTACATAGAGGATATTACACGGTGGCGCGAAGATATGAATTTTATTTTCGAGTGGCAAAACAATATATATATAGACAAAAAGACATCGATAAAATAATAGAGGGAAATCACCGAAATTACGACATAGATAAACTCACGTGTGAGATTATGGAAAATAAACCACTCGGGTCCCGGATGTAGTTTTTATGAATTTTACGAGTGGTATATTTTCCAGTGAAACACTCGAGTCTATATAATAAAAGAGGTCAAACATAATAGAAAATCTTTAAACTTTCAGGCCCAGAGAGTGGTCGCGGTCCCTTGAAGGAGGTGGTCGTTTTCTAGAAGTTCCAACTGTAGGGCTTTGACGAGGAAAGTTTTAGTGTTTAGGATGGGGAGTCGCTTATGGCGTGGGAGATGGTCGCTTACGAGAGGTGGTCGCACATGGAGGTTCAACTGTATATATTTTGTCCATTTCGCTTTTCATCTTCTTGAATTCTTCGTCTCGTAGTATTTTCTCATTAGCAATCTCGTCCAGGTACTTCAGGGTGGCGGGGTAAGCAATGACCTTTAAATTCTTCCTTGCACTAGCGTCTTCTATAGATTTTTTTTTCTATTTCAAAAAACTCTCTACAAAAGCATTTTTCCTTAAGTTTAAATTGATGGGCCAGGCCATTAATGTAAATGCACCCTTTAACTTCAACTACCTTAACTTGTCCCTTTTCTTCATAACCTGTCCAAGTTGCCCCATCTGTAGATGACTGTAGGGTGTAAGACTCCACCCACTGACTCCCCTGGGAATTCCCCTGTGTGGATACAGCACAGATGATATGAGGAATCCGTAAGTCAATCTGTACATATGGACTGCTGTCACTTGTGGATGCACACCATGATGATCCCGCTACGAACTTCAGTCGCCCATTCTTTGCTGGTGTGCTGGCATTCAGTTCAGAAGAAGCCTTTAACTGATTGTCATGAATGTACCAGCTCACCCCTACATCAACTTGTTCACATGATGCTAAACAAAAAAGGATAAAACATTGAAATTACTGGTTGCCTAGAATCCATCCATCAGCTAGACCAATAGCATCTTGTTCACACGAATGTTAAAACATACAGTATTACACCCGCGTATAAGAACCTACTTTTTTAAAGTCTGGCAAACTAGGATTTGTATTTTGGGGTACTTATTAGCAATTTAGGCTACGTAGGTTCTTAAGTAGTTTCTTAATTTCTGTGAAAGAGATGTAGTTGTTGTCTACAGAAAAACACAAAGAAACTTGAGTTTCGTCCTTAAATGTACAGTATATATTCACAATTGTACATTACAAAACTTGCATTTTTTGGTATAAGAGTCATTATAGGTAGTAGAATACTACGCGCTATTATGCACTAATCCATTCACTTCTTTTGTTTACTTGTAGCTATTTTGCACTAGTTATTATTCTCTGTTTCACTGGTCAAGTAAAATCAATGTAAAATGCCAAATCTCTGCCAGGATGTTCTTAATCCACTAGGTTCTTATACGCGGGTGTTTACTGCATTGCCTAGTAATTCAAGTTTTCCCATGTAAATATAGTCTGTATGTTTTTCATGAAACTTCTGGATAATTGATAATTGGAAACAAATTTGATTTGATGCTCCCCTGTTAGCGTTTACCTTCAAACCGGGCTTTTGAGACGGGTGTTTTTGGATCTTGTTCAGCCATTCGTTAACGTTCTCCGCTTTCCGTTGGAAAATTTCTTAACCGTTAAAGTTTTGCTTTGCCCGACTGTTCCACGCTTATTGTTATCTTTTTAAAGGGACATGGAATCCATTTAAAAGCTTGAGTTGACCGTCTACTATTTCCGTGTCAGCAGTGTATACGTACCATCCGTGCGTTTAATACTGGTGACTGATTTTCTTTTCAGGACACATTTCTTAGTGGTCCCTTGGCTTTCCTTCGAAGATCAGGGGCACCCAACGACAATTTTCGGGAAAATATCTGTTCGGAAGACGATTTGAGAACTAGAATTTTCGGAACATTTGTTTTAAAATTTATTGCTTGCCTGCCTCTCCTAGGATTTTCGAACATCTACAAAATGGTATAATTACCCATTTTAAACTGATATTTATCCTAAAAAAGGCCACCTAGAATTTTCGGGAGCCTTTTCCTGGCTGGAATTTTCGAAAAGGTAAGTTTTGATCCCTATAATTTTCGGATCACTAGACTTTCAGCTAGGAAATCCGAACAGATGAAAAGTTTTTAGGGGATAAAAATATGTCTATATCTACCGTTTAAATACTAAAATACGTTCAACAATGCTATCTTAAGTGGTTTTGAACTGTATCCTCGTTGGGTGCCCCTGAAGATGTGCTTTTCTTTAATTTTTAAGTACAAATAAAGTTACAGCATTGCCCGCTGTCTCATTTCCGCAATGCGTGAAAAATGAAAGTTATTCTTCCGCCATTGTGATGCGACCAAAAATGCGTTTCAACTGAAGAGCTATACCAGACGAAATTGATCACGGTTCGGAAAGAAGTCGGTAGAGATGGGTGCACGGAGAGAATGGGAGGTTTATGGCTTTATAAAAAATATTCATGGCAAATTGGATGAAAATAAATACTTCGCTGTTTGACTTGCATGATGTCTAACTATGCTTCAGGTGGTAAACATGCAAAGCATCTATATATTTTGGCTGTAAACTTACCAGATACCTTTCGTTGTCCCAAAAGAAAAATTGCCACGAAGAAATATAAGATAATTTGCTTGTCATCCATGTTTTATCTTAACCAAAAAAAAAAGCAATGCAAAGTACAATTTGCGCACTGCCTTTTCAAGATTTGCCCCCCAATTAACGATTCGATTCAAGCAGATTTTTGACCTTTCTCGTATGGCGTGACACACCTTAGTAAGCATACCGTTATATTTGACTTCCCTTTCAGTATCACTCCATCTATGTCTGTCGGATTTCAGCAGAAATCATTCAAAGATCTACCCAGGCATGTTGAGTGTCTTTTAGCAACGCGTCGGACATAGTTTGTTCACTTTCCATTCCCAAATTCGGTATCCCGACAGAACAAAATTTCATGCCATCTTTTCCTTGTTTCTTAGAAAATGTTTAGCAAGTCGTGAGGCAGTTGTATCTATTAATTTCTCTGCAAATTCTGCAAATCAGAATAAATAAGACTGAATTGAATAAAGAGACAAAAGGCAAACATAGCGGAATAAGATTTTTCCCTGATAGTTACAAAAATGAAAAAAAATCTTAATATTTAGTTGATATTAATGAGAAGTGGTGTTTGACCTTTTCGAACCCGGGTGATAGGCCCGGGGGAGGGGGGGGGGATAGGGGGTACTGCCATATATGGGCTATATAGGTATGTGCCGCTGTGAAGGGTATGGTTTTCAAGCAGTTTACTCTAGGATAGGGTATATAAATCAGAGCGTTTGAGCGTTTGGTATCATTTTTAAGGAAACTGATCAGTCGGTTGAACTTTTATCTAGACCAGAGATTGTGGTATAAGGTTTTTTTTTTTGCTCGTGACCTCAATAGTTTCTGGAAAACAGCTACTCTAGGATAGCGGGGATTTGGGGAGTTTACTCTAGTATAGGGTAGCAAAATTCAGCTGAACTAGCTCTGGTATAGGTTAAGGGTTCCAGGGTCCCAGCGGCACATCCCCACCCAGAAATTCCAAAAGTACCCCCCCGGGGGGGTGATAGGTCATGCACCATCATAGAGGCCGGTGCTCTCGTCGTGACACTTTGAGAACCATCGTGATGATTTGGGGCGTACACTCCAGCAATTCTTTCTTTTTTTTCTTTTTTTAGAGAATTGTTGACAGTTTATGTTTCCGACCCACCTGATCATGACTCGTACAAAGTACTGACAATAGTCTGATCTTACTGGACTGCATTAGCAGCTAAGCTCGTTGATTCAGACGTCCGACTCGAGGGGCCGGCTGAAATTCAGGCTATGCGTAAGAAGCTGATAGGGTATTGTAATTCAATATGTAAATGCTCATTCTTTGTGAAATAATGAAATAATCTTTATTTTGTTTTCTACCATACACGATAAAGGGAAAGGTAAATGGACCATTCTCATTCAATAGATCAAAGAGTGCAGAGACACATTTTAAAATTAACGACAGAACCTATCATGTGTATCTGTTTTTAGGAGTCCTTTGAAGCGTTTGGTTTGACGGTTGGAAACGAGTGCCGCGGTAGATGCCTGAGGACGACGTAAGTTCATCATATTCCAAAAACGTCCTAATTTTCACGCATCATTCGTTAGTTCTTTGACGGCGCCCTTCAACTTTCCAAAATTGTCTTTTATCTTGATCTTCTAGACTGTTTGTACCAGGAAATTAAATATACTCAAGGTAAAACAATGTTGGGTACCTATCTGTATATTAAATCAATCAATCAAAAACGATTTAGAGGTCGCATATACACTAGGTCGTTCTTCGTCTTCCTGATACCTGGTGGAATTGGAATTTGGAAATGCTGGTTTTTGAGGAGAGGGAAAAACCGGAGTACCCGGAGAAAAACCTCTCAGAGCCATAAAAAAGGGCCAACAACAAATTCAACCCATTTATGGCGTCCACGCCAGCATTGGGACCCTCGCCTCATTGGTGGCAGGCGAGTGCCTCACCACTGCACCATCCTTGTTCACTCCTGGCCCCTTACGTCTGCGAAAATGTTATTTACTAGGCCAAAATCAGGGCTCCGAACAGATATTCCCCGAAAACGGTCTTTGGGTGCCCCTGCAAAATCCCTAATCTGGTCCTTTTTTTCTTTGAAATTACGCTATCCAGCTTTATATAGCATTTACAGTTCTGGAGCAGGTTTCATTGGCGCTTGCAATCATAACTACACGCTGTTTCTCTTCAATTGCCAGTTAAGAATCTCATGGTGTCATAGTCCATACGCAACCGCTGAGTTGTTGGATGAAATAAAGGTGAGTGCGCCTTTATTTCTTTGGGCATTGATTTTCCAGTGAACAGCAGTTTAATAACAGTACAGTCGCGCCACCGAAAGACTGTTAGCCTGAGAATACAGCTGACATTTTGCAAAGCTACCTTTGGTTTTCCAACGAAATGACGTCTGAGGAACGAGCGCAGAAATTCCATACTGATGACGTGTCACTACCCAGAGCTGGCTATTGCTTCCGACTGGTCGTATCGCGAGGGAAATTTTTTTTCGGCCAATTAGAAACACTACCCAGATCTGGGTGGTGACACGTCATCAGTATGTAAGTTTTTCAGTTGTTCGTCAGAAGTCATCTCGCGGGGAAACCAGTGATGACGCTGTGAGGTGTCAGCTGTTTTCTCAGATTAAAGGACTGTTAAAAACAGACATATTCACTATTGTATCTAACGCCCTAAAGAACAATTTAGCTGTAAAATACTCCCCTAGGAATCCCACGTGCGCCTAGTCCTTATTTGCATTTTTTGTTTTTAACTTAAATCGCCTTCGAGCATTTTCAGTTCAGCTTTTATTTCAACGTTGCTTCAAGAGCACTAAGTAGTAGTTTCCTGTCAAGAGTATCTCTTTTGCGGTCGGAAGTTTGCGCCAAAAGAATGTAAGTGCGTTCCTGTATTTCTTTTGCGCTCGCAGTATTTCCAAGAAGTTTTATATTCACCTTGTACTTCAGTTTAAACCACAACACAACACAACACATCAAATACGACTAATTACCGTATATCAGACCTAAATAATGTTAGTCGAGTCTTTGGGGTCAATAGTCTACCATCTTAGTTATTGCTGTAACCCTCGAGGACTCAAACCGGAATAAAGTGGTGCGATTATTGTTAGCACTGATCGGCAAAAGAAGTCGCCTTACGGCAGCTATATTCACGATATTTTTTTATTGATTCACAGTCAAATTATCCTGATCCTGATGCTAGTAGAGCCAGTCGATATAGGATCAGCTACTTCAGCTGCATCAGACTTCACATACAATATGGGGCCACAGGTACAGTAACGTCTTAAATTTCTCTTAGAACGTATGTTACATCCGGGATAGCTACGAAAAATTCTTTGAGGGAGGGGCGCGGGGGTGGGGATTGGCAGCTTCTTGGTGTTGTGGAAACCATTTTCGGCTCCCTTTGTGTTATGGCGTGGGTTTTTTTCATTGTCTTTTCAATCTTTTGTATTAAGTCATTTGGTGTTTGCGCCCGTTCGAATGATGGCTGTACATGATACGTTTCTGTGAAACTGCCCAACTACCTCTCCCCTAAGTTAACATTAACACTTAATTCTCACTTACGGCAAAATGTTGGCTTAGGGGAGGGGTTGGTGGGCAGTTTTCCAGAGACGTATAATAATAATAATAACGTTTGTTTAAAATCTCTATATGGTTTGATTGTAAGTCAGTTTAGCGTTTGTCTGTTACTACAAGTAGCATTGCGCTATACAGAGGACAAGTATCAGAGAAAGCAACTGCGATATCCATTGGATAGAGATTCAATTGGTGGATAGCATTATCTACCTTTTAAACAAGTGGGGCCAGAAAAGCTATCACCACTGACCCGCATGTCATTTTTCTCTTCTATTTTCAATTCGGACTTTATACTGAAACTTCCTGGAGTCAACTTCAAGAACTACAGGTACAGACTCATAACATGACAACTTCTTTAATTTTGTAGCGTTATTCTTTATCGTCAGATCAAACGGATCCTCGGTTATACTGCATTGCCTAGTCCCTAGTCTCAAGGCCTCATTATCCCGCGCGGCCTGTGCGTTTCCGGTCACTTGGTTACGAGCGAGTTTAATGATCGAGAAAGCCTGGGAGGAAGAAGCCACACAGGAACTTGGTGCTTAGGTTATTCAAGGCAGTTAGTAAAGGAACAGTGAACCACATACTGGCTTCTGAGAAGAATCTAGACTGCCAGCATGAGATGGAATATCACGTCATAAGATTAGTAGTAATCCTTCACGATTGTCCCGTCGGCAAGCGTGTTAGGAGCGAGCAGGCGAATGAGGCGTCCGCTCTCCGCACACTTGTTTGCCTCTCGTTTCGCTCGCTCTCCATTCCTTCCAGGCCCGGATTTATGACTGTAAAGGAACTGTTCACAGTCAATCATGGGTCAAAATATAAACGCTTTTATTCCAATAGTTTACTGGGGTTGTGGTAAAGCGGTTTTGCCTTGTAACGTACTTAAAGGTTTTTCCTATCATGATAAAGTTAAACTAAATACTCTCTAACAGCTACGTAACAACGCTTCTTATTGTGATTCCGTAAATAAGGCCCCGTCCACTCGTATCCGGATATTTTTGTTGAAAACGGAGATTTTTTCTCCGTTTTCAAAATTATACGCAGATCCACACGTATTCACGGTCAACCTTGTTCCCAGGGCGCTTTTCCCTGGCTTTGGAGCCAGGGAAAAGCGCCCTGGGGACGTGGTTGACGTATTGTATTCCAGTCATTTTCGCTTGTCCATAGGAAAACGCTAAAACCATGGAAATTTGATAGCATCCCTTACAGAGCATGCGTAATGCTTGTAGTATCTGATATATGACTTTAGCAAGCTTAAGCAACGACGACGGCGACGTTAACAGCAAAGGTTTCAATAGCAACTCTCCTGAAGCATCCTGGTAGCCGTAGACATCATCGTTGTGGCGCTAGAGATAACTGACCGTTCGTTAACTTCTGCCTTCTTTTCAGATTTATTATGAAAAACGTGACAAACATTCAAGAGTTGTGTCAGTTGTCAGAGGAGAAACTAGTGTGTATCTTGGGAAACACCGCAAGTGCGAAGCAACTGTGGGAGTTTATCCACACTGACGACAGGAAACAAACAAAGACTCAGCAGGTTTCAGTTAATAACAAACGATAACACTGATAAGACTGAGTTTATTTAAATTACAACTGTTGTTCGTTATGCTCACAACTTTGTGTGCGTGTAATTCGCTTTAAAATTCCAACAACAAATACAAGAAAGCGAAAGCTACGGCTACTAGACGTTCTATGGGCATACAATAAAATGTTTCATGTGAGTTAACAGGGGCACCAAACGAGAAATTTTGGGAAAAAGGCCCTGAAAAACAACAACATAGCGTGAATAAAGCTTTCTGAAGCCATTTTAAGCATTTTGAAAGATTGCTGGGAAAAATGTATATGTTCCTCACTCCCAGCAAGACTGATGGTAGAGTTCCCAGCCAGAAAGCTGACTTACTAGGAAGTTTCACATCAGACGTATGTGCAGACTTTACAGGCCAGTTTAGGTGAGAATTCGAACAGACCGTGGTTCTGCTGCATGTTTTTCGCATACAAAGCTGTCAAGGTATTTGTCATTTTCACATATTTCATTTCCTTCCCTTTATATACTTTGATATACCTCCTTTTCCTGCGGTTTAGGAAGCCGATGGAAGGCGGTATTAGCATAATCTTGTTCCGTTTTAGCATCATCACTATCTCCTTCCGGGTTCTTCATTAGAGATCCATATTCTGACGTTTGCTGGTTTTCTGTGGGCTGCAGTTCCATATAAAACGATTCCACTTGAGGAGACGGGACTTCTGCAACGCCTAAGATTGAAAATGGTTGGAATCTGATCAAAATTGAGGAGAAAAAGGAAGAATGGATATCTTAACAAATTAAAGTCAGTCCGTTTTGTGGAGTTCTGTCGTCATTACAAAAAATAAGAGAAGAGGTTTATTATTATCTTTTTTATTCATTTGTTCAAGTATTTATTTTTATCCCTGTGAATATTTTTCCCGCACAAGTTACTTAGTGGCAAGTGTAATTCTTTTTTTCCTTCAACTTCTTCCTTTTTGATGAAGATGTTTTCCTAAACAGCTAGCGTCGTCTCTGTAGATGTGAAGGGCCCTAGCTTTTGCATGAACATGGCTATAACGAGATTTACGGTGAGTAAATTTATATCATAATTATTCTAGATCTCTATATACTATTTTAGATATTTCACTTGTGGCCTGGTTATGAATATTACTTTAAGTACCCAGTAACAGTGCCCGATACCATAATTGCATACTCAGTTCAAACTGAAAATGCCACTCATTATTTCCACAAACGCTACAAACCTTCCTCAATTTGGTGAGCTTCGACTCGTAATTCCTCGGAAGAATACTTTTTGCCAGATTTGGAAATTCCCCGAGCATGCCATTGGTAAAGGTTCACTCCAAGAGAAATGACCAATGCAATCCCTAAGACGATGGATGATATTACGGATGCTGCAATGTTAAAGTTCCGGTCACTCAGTGAATCAATAGGCGATTTCTAAATACAACCTCGTTCCCATCCTTACGTCATATCCCTTCTTCCCTCAAAGGGACGGAGGGAGAGGATTTTGGGAACTTGGTTGTTGCTTATAATGCATAGATATTCCAAAATTCAGCTCCTAAAACAAACCGTCTTTTAGTTCGATTACAATTAATATTGGGAAACTATAAAAAATCAACTAACAAACCTGTGTTTGAAGGTTTGTCGCCGGATTGCGAGCCGGTGTCCCCTCCCTGTCTGTCTGCATCATCAGATTTGTAAACTAAAGGTTTGAGCATGAAAATGAGTGAAAGAACATTCCAACCAGTCAGTCAGTCAGTCAGTCAGTCAATCAGTCGGACAGTCAATCAGTCGGTCAGTCAGTCAGTCAGTCAGTCAGTCAGTCAGTCAGTCAGCCAGTCAGTCAATCAGTCAGTGAGTCTGAAGGTGGTTATTAGTTTAGCTGATCCGTCATTCTGACTCTTTCTGGTAGGTGAATCACAGTGTCTCACTGAATCATTCAGTCTGTGCATGGAAGAGTTTTCTCTATCTATCAGTTAGTCTGAAGTCAATAAGCCAATTATAGTTCCTCATTCTATTTGTCTGTCAACTACATGTATGGCCCTCTCAGCAATAATGAAAAGTTAAAAGTTCCATCTAAAACTACTGCTGAAGAGGATTCACTTAAATGGCCGGTCACACCATAGAAAACCTCCTTATTACGTACAAATTTCCGTGGTCCATGCCGGTGGGTGATTGAATTAACAGGGTTTTTGTGCTGTTTCTGGTTTAAGCAAGAACTATTTTTGGTGCCATTGTTTTTTCAACCTTCTGCATTACATCATTTCGTGATCGTACCCTTACGCAACTGAAAATAACTTCTGGTTTTCGGTATTGCCGTATAATCGTTATCGAAGCGGGACCACTGGCTTTTAATTTTGTCACAGAAATAAAATGAAATGCGAAACAGGAAAACAGAATGTGCTTAACCTTTCTTGTTTCTGATTCAGTCAATGAAAGGAACGTTTTAAAGAAAGGCTATTCCCACACAAAATATGAAAAAAACAATCTTACCTTTCTCTATTTGAACTTTGGCAATTAGACTTGCTTTACCAAGCAAATAGTTTTGATCCACAGAACGTTTCTGAAAAAGAGGATAGATTCTGTCTAGTGCTGACTGTATACATGCCACGCATGCGTAATAATAACCTGCAGGTTAGGATTGCGGGCTCCTCTTCTCGAGCGTAATAACCTGTTTTTGTGAGTTTAACCGTAATAAATCTTTAATAAGGCAGTTGATGTTGGAAAAACTATATCAACTGAAATTCTATGGTACGACGACTCAAACGAATTCTCCTCGGCAACTGTTTTTTGCACAGAAGCATTTGTTTTTCGGGGATTTACAAAATGAAATTTGTACACTTTAGTGAAGTTTGCGTAATGAAGGTTAAGACCCTTGTATAGCTTTTATCACACACGCTTTTAAAAAGTTCACCCTGTAAAACGAGCAACAAAAACGTGCAACTTGTTTAATTTTTCAACATTACTGCAAAACGAGTTTAACAGCGATGTTGCGCGTTTTACCACCCACTAAAAAAACTTGCAACCGATTTTGTTGTAAGACACGCGGTACGTTCGAACGATGATCGTAAAACGTGCAACGTCGCTGTTGAACTCGTTTACCTTTGTTGCGCGGCGAGCCAATCCTCTGGAATATATCTTGTACTTCTGACCATTTGACAGTTGCTTGTTTTCATAACCATCATATGTTTTACCATCTCCGACCTCAAAAACCATGGATGGATTCACAGAATTACCGGGGATTTGAGCAGCAATATATATATCTGATCCAAGTGTCTTCCAGTCAGAAACCTCGTTACACCAGTCATTCACTTTTTGCACCAAAACTTGATAATCACTGTCAGTATCAGAAAAATAAAAACAAAATAGAAAAACACATGTTAGAAAGCTTTTACTTCTAACTGCTCAAAAAATTATCGATTTACAAACGGCTAGAAGTCTGTCCACAATCAAAGTCAAAATGAACCTCAAGCGAGGAACATCAAAATTATTTACCGATGACTTCTCTTCTCTGGTTTGTAACACTATCACACATAACGATTCGGCCGACAACATGATTCAGTGAGACAATTGGTTTGCAAGTCTTGAAGTGCAATCAATTCGTCACTGAACTGTGGCATTTTGAAGACTATTATTTTAATAGTAGAGGCGAAGCAAAGGAAAAATTTCCATTTACGTCAGCCATGTGTAAGATTTTCTCTTTATGTACTTGTTTACAGTTGTATAATATTTTTAAGGGGTTATAAGATGACTCATACCTGATGGGACCATTGGTTTGTGATGCATGCCACACTGTGACATTCACAGATGTTCCTTTTGTTTCGATTACGTGGACGTCATGGTTTACAGGCGCCAAAGGTGCTGTAAGCCGAACAAAAGATAACAGTGAAAATAGGAGACTTTTTAGCCATTTACACAGGGAAACCGGAAATTCGATCGATTGCTATGGTGCTATTCTAATGCTATTCTATTGCATTGGTTCTATTCTGTGTAGAAAGATTCTGAGAATAATTATGGGCTGTAGTTCCAGTTCATCGATGTTTTCTGCTCGTTTCAATTACTTCATGTGGCTGGTTGTACTTAGTAACATTTCTTGCTCCTCCACTTATCGAATATTTTTTCAATGGGATCACCCCCCCCCCCCCCGCCCACTACCAAAAAATGAGGACTCCCATCCCTCTAACCCTTTTTATTAATGATAATGACTAGCAATAACCAAAGGTTACGGAGTGCGGGCGACTACGATCGAAGATCAAAACGCTTTTGCTCCATCGCTGTGCTTTGCTTACGTTTCACGTGATAGATGGTCGAAACACGTGTGGTCACATTACGAGCGATAGAAGGTCCATTCGCGAGTGATCAAATCACGTTCTGTGCATTCCATTCATTCTTAGTGGAAGTCCAAACGAATACCGGCTGGCTACATACATCCGACGCGTGCTTAATAGCAACCCGCAGATTAGGATTGCGGGCTCCTCTTGTCGGTCGCAATAATTAGTTTAATTTATTATCACTGCACGAAAAGTTGGATTTACACAAATTTACTCGTGTAAATATGGTGCAAAAAAGTGCAAACTAGGGGTAAATCAAAAGCAAAGATGGTAAATACCGCATTTGCTTGCCAATTTACATGGGGTTGTAAATTTGAGGGCAAATGAGGTATTTACCATCTTTGCCTTTTATTTAACCTTAGTTTGCAATTTTTTGCACCAAATTTGCACGGAGTAAATTTTTCGTACTGTGTATACTTTCTACTCGAAAGAAAATTATCCTACGTTTTGTTTCTGTATGTTTGTTTTGTTTTTTATTTTAATTTTGTTGTTTTTGTTTTTGATTTATTTTTAATTCAGTGTTATCACTGGTTGGTTTCTTCGCCCTCATCTATCAGCACAAACGGATTTTCCCTGTTGGAAAGTTGGAAAATAGTTAAGAGGACATCGTTATTGAACAACGGAACGTACACACACAGTAAATAACTTACCATCCACTTTTGTGCTTCCCTGCGCAATAGAACTGTTGCCTCCGTGGCCACAGTAGGTTTCAGCCATCACAACAAAAGCATACTTTGTACCAGGGACCAGATTGGTGATTGTCAATCTTAACGTCGGACACTCCGTTTCTTGAATTCCAGTATGCGGTTTAAATTCTGGATAATAATCCTTTGTACCTTTAAAGGTTATCTGCGGTATACATCAATAACTGTCACGTAATTATATGGTTGTCTATAAGGCTACGCCGACATAGCAAGGAATTTTCGAACGGCCGAAAAATTTGACCGGACTCTTCGTTCACACGGGATCGTTCAATATTTTCGCTTTTCCACACGGAACTTTGAACGGCGAGGCGTATATATTTTCGCACGGTTAAGGTGGTTTCGTGAACAGATCATCTAAACGCACGAATTTGCAACTGGTAATATCGCCCCATACAAAGGGATCCGGATTCCTGGGTTTTGGAAGCCGGATTACATCTCAATGAATCCAGAATTCAAGTTCTACTGACAAATACTGGAGTCCAGTACCTATAATGCGGAATCCACAGCGTTGAATCCAGAATCCAAAACTATCCTGGATTTCCTTACACGAGGCGGAGTCGAAAATTCGTAAGGTGCCCTGTTAAGGCGGAATACATTGTATATGATCCAATGTCAGAGGACTGGGGCGAAGTGTGTAGTCGATCTCACAGTTACCACTATTCACTCAATTAAACGCCGCTTGCAATCAGAAGAATTTGGTGTTTATTCGAGGATTACATGAAAAAACACGCAAAAATTGCACAATTATGGTTCTATCTCAAAGAAAAAGGCGAGGCATTGGAATTATTTCTTTCACATGTTCTTTCAAAATATTCCAGCGAATCCCATAATTTCAAAAATTTGATTTTTATGGCGTCATCACTTTAGAACTCTATAAATATTCGTTATAAGGAAAGTCAAAAGTTACCTTGTAACGTTGTACATCATCCCCGTGTAGTTTCGGTTTACCCCACTGCAAGGTTATGCTTCGTTTACCAGGATTTTGCGTCTTCACGTCAGTTGGTTCACTTGGAACTACAACCAATCAGTAATGATCATTTGCAATGATTGTAAGGGATGAACACACAATCTATGAGAACGAGTCAAATACATCGCCCTTCCGGCAAAGAACATTTTCGACGATTGTGTATATTGCTTTCTTTGGAACGGAAAGTTTTCCCTGTGTAGCTTAATATTAGTTCTGTCAAAGAAGCGGCTCAGTTTCCCTTGGAGATCGTACCAAATCCTAACACCTCTCTATTTTGGACAGTTCTTCTCAAAGAAGCAAAACTTTACCTATCTCTAAGGGGACACCTCTATAACGCGCACACTCGGCTCTGTCCCTATCGTGTCCGTTTTAAGTCGACTTGTGGCAGTGAAATACCTGAAGTCGCGATGTTACGAGTAAGTCTACCAAAGACTCCTGGCCCAGCAGAAGTGTAGGCACGCACTTCGACTTTGTAAACAGAGCACGATGAAAGACCAGTTACAACGATAAATGTGTCTGTTGTGTTTTGTAGAACTGACGGAGTGGACGCGGATCTTGTAGTGCGTGTAATAGAAAGCGTTGTCTGATTCACTTCATATGCGATCACTCTACCATTGGTCTTGTCTCTGGGAAGGGGATTCCAACTTATTTTGTAAGTTGTTTCGTTCATCTTTTCAGAGGTTATGTTTTGAGGTGGCGCGCTTGGTTCTGCAAAAAAAGTAGGAAGTAGTAGGACTTGTTACACTCACGATCTGGACATCGACTTCAGGCTCTAAAAGGGGAAAGTAACAGGTTAAGTTTAAATCAATTGATACTCAATCTGAATAGTTCTATCCTGTGACCGGACGCCTGATTACTACAAGGAAAAACGTGGAATTAGTTTGCATACACGCCTTTCACAGTTCCTCAGATTTTAATGGAAACATATGTTAGATGAGTAGTTGATACTTCATTACTCGACTGAGTGGAGCCGCTACAACGATGTGGCGGTCCATATTTTAGAACAAGAATTATCATTCTCAGAACTGCATCTAATTTGCATCATCACTTACTGGCAGTTTTTGTTGTGAAATTCTGGAAATTACTCCACAGACCCTTTCCTAAGACACTTGTGGCTATCAACCTAACAATGTAGGCTGTGTATGGCTTGAGGTTGATAATCTGTTTTCTTAATACAACTCCCAAAGTTATATCATCTGTAGAAGTACTATTTCGATACTCAAGGTTGTAGGCAGTAACAGGCATTTCATCCACTCCAGGACTATACGACCATGTGACTAATGCTGATCTTGCATTAACTTCACTTGGATTAACTTGAACAACTGGCTGGCCTGGTTTCTCTGAAAACAACAAAAATGTGCCTCACTATGAGCCTAATTTATAAGGTTATCTAATATCTAGCACTTAAACTGTTGAACAGGTGACGAAATCAACAAATAAACAAACGCACGCACTGAAAAAAGGGATAATATATTTTTTAGAGAAATACGTTAACCACTTAGAAGACGTTAAAGGTTGAGGTGTTATTTTTAGAAAGTACTTCTTTCACCTAATACCGTTTACAGTCATGCATTTTTGGAATGCAATATTAAATTCTTGAAAACTGCGTGTTCCCTAATATTAAATTAATTTTCGTACACACAATAACGATCAAAAAGGCGTTCCAAGGTACGCATAAGTTTTTGCTTACTTAAAGACACAATAACATTTGCAGTGGTAAAATGCCTGCTTTGTATTCCAGAAAGTGACGCAGAGCATTGGTAGGTTGAATTACACTGGACTTCACTGGCTGATTGAAGCTTTCTTGCACAAGAGTTACTGTAGATATTACTGGCACTGTTGTAAGGGATGGTAAGAGAGGAGGTTGTGTCAGACAGCCCCGTTCCGTCTTTTCTCCAACTATACCCAGAGGGTTGCCGAGGGCTGTAACTAGCCACACAGGTTAGAGTCACAGATTCACTAGTGTCGGCTATCAAACGAACATCGTCAAGATTAATGTTTAACGCCAACGAAACTTGGTCTGAAAAAGACAAGCAAATAATCAATGTAAAGACGACAAGAAATAATTTGGGAAACTTATCAAATACAATATCTTAATTTTACAGACAATTGGGTTTATTGAATCTGATTGGCTGAGAGCAATGCAGTTTTAAGATCATGTGCTTACCGGTACGGGCGGCCATCTTGCTTCCATTTGTACCAAGGGGCGGGTGTCGGGGTTTATAGCATGTGGGGTTTATGTCGGGGGAGGGAGGCGAGAAAGTAGATTTCATACAAATCCAAGGTACATAGCCGCTGTAACTAAAGCGGTTGATCTCGAGGAACTTACGGAAAAATAATGGACTGTAAAAAGCCTATAAGTAAACTGAGTGCAAAAACGAGGAAATATAATTCAATTATCAGGTAATGAAGAACCGTGATTGGCAAAAAACAATAGAAATGTTTAAGAACCAATCAGGCGCCGCAATCTTTATTGGCAACTTTGAGGTTGCGCGTGGGACTGGGTTCAAGTGTTGTGACGATCGAATTGCATTGTGGGGATGTTTTGAGGACGAGTTTTGATGTAGTAAATTTTTGCCCGTTTGATACTTTTTTGAAAAACACACTCATGCAAATAAATTCAAAATTGAACTTGAAGTCGTATGATGACCTATACAAACACTGTCTTCTGACAGAAAAGTTTGCATTACCGTTTACGAAAAAAAATTCACAAAATTCACTTCTAACTACAGATTCCGCCCTTCTCGACGGTAGCAGTTAGCCGGTAGATATCTCCATCCAATATTCCTTTGCGCACGCTAGAACGTGCAGCTGTACTTATTATACGGCTGGCGGGCAAGATGAGGCTGATTGGTGACCTGAGGAAGCAAGATGGGAGGAGCGTTGCGTGACGAGACAAAAACGGCTGCGTGTGAGACTAGCTACAAGCGCCTAGCACAGTGATGGCAAGATTAAGCTCGTTTGTTTATTCAAGTTTTTAAGCTTAAGTTACTTTTTAGCCCAAATTAAAATGTACATTTCAGCTTATAGTTTCTTTTTTAACATTTAAAGCATTGTAAAGCGCTTTTGATCACATTTGCATGGAAAAGGCAAGTTATAAATTTTTAATTTTTATTATGAATTATTTACTGTGTATACGGGCAGCACATGTATGCCATTCATTCAATTTTTTTTAAAATCCCTTCTAACAAATTATACTTACAATCCTTACAGCCAAACAAGTCCATTCTCATACATATTTTACCAGTATATGTTTTGGGAAATATTCTGACATATTGCGCTGCAAACGGGGAAGCAAACAAGTGGACAACAATGGTATTTCTGTCGCTGTTTCCAGTCAAATGCTGAGTGGGTAGATCAAGAACAAAGTAAGTGGAGATATACAAATAATTTTATTTACAAGAGACCACAATCTGTGTGGTATATTCCCAAATCGGTTGAAGGGGAGCGCTAGAGGTGATGGGAAGGAGAAATTTTTCTCCTTTTTCTCCTTTCCATCACCCCTCGCGCTCCCTTCGGTCACGCTTCTCGTGACTGGGGACGAGTCAGCCTAAGCGGGGTTGCAAATGTCCCTTCAGGGGCCCGGTCCTCGACTGAAGTTCCAATAATTAACGGACAAACAAGAAAAGTTGTCAGGAATACATTAAGCACTAAGTAAATCTTCCGCTTTAGGGTAAAAATGTCCTCTGTTTTATCTGTCTACTCATTATGTCCAACAAAAAGTAAGATTTAAACGTTCATTAGTTAAAAGGTTGTGTGATTTTGTTTTTACTCACTTGAAGTCTACTTGAAAATTTCAAAGAGTTATAGATGTGAATGAATTTGCATTGGCTTCTAATATTATTTTAGTACGTTAGATAGTCATACACATTTAATGTACAAATAGGTTCATTGCGGAGCTTCGAATTGCAGGCTGTAATCGGACAGTCGGACTACAAATTGCTACATTGTTCGACTCCTACAACCTACGTTTTGAGGCCAGAGACTCGTCCATAACAGGCCAGAGCCCCGATTCTAGTGCGCGCAGGAGGAGGCCTAATCTCCACAGCAACCACCACAAATCGGTTTCCAATAACAGACAAGGTAATTAGTTTTAAGCATTCCTCCAGACACGTTTGGAGAGCGCCGGACACATTACCTGTCAAGGAACTTTGTACTTCTGATTAAACGAACCAGACATCTCAAGGAAACGCGAAATTTGATCAGACTATTTGGGTATTATAAATTCATTTCACGGTCGATTGAAAATTTGGAAGTCGATCTTCGCGCCTCTGGCTTCGCAATTGATAACTACAGTTTTCTCGCCGCATTTGGATTCAAATAGGCTTGATACGCTTTCAATGGTTTTTCAAGTACTTTCTTTTAAGAAAATAGTGCTCCGATGGCTTATTTAACTTCTGCCAAGAGTAGTATGCCGTGTCAACATTGGTGACCTTCGAAGCGAAAACAGCGAGTCGGCGTATCAAGTTTTTACTGTGGAGCCACAAGTAGGAATACACTCTCTGCTGGCACATCTTTCTCCGGTTTGGAAGGAACTCGGCGTGGAAAAGACCCTGACCAAAGAAATTTTTAAATCTTCTCTATTTGAACGTTTGAGAAAAGCCGTCAACAATGCACATTTTATAGTCGCCGGAGAAAACGAAGGCGAGAGCTCGAGCTCTACTTCACATCCCCTTGAGGAACAGCAAGACCGATTATCTGATTCAATGGACGACCTTTTTGATCAAACGGCGAAGGATTCAAGTCTTTTTTCTCTGGCTTAAGACGATGTAAGCGTCGATGTGCCTCCAGTGACAAATCACTCTCCAAAAAGCCCGCCAAGCACTATCGAAATCCCGCCAAAATCTTATTGGCTGGAAGGAGCCCAAGACCCTGGATTACTCCAGATATTCTAGCTTCCACTTCAACATCTTCAATATTCGCTTGGGCGATCTGTATAATCAACGTCACAGATACAGTATGGTTTCTATATCAGTCATTTTAGCCTCCTTGAAATGTCAATCATAATCCAAAAATTATTATTTCAGGTTACCTTTGTATTGTTACTTGCTTTTTACTTAATTAATAGGCCACATTATAGGGCTACCCTCTCCCTCAGAGCTTACAGGCGGCGCGCCCAAGATTCTGAGGTGAAGGTAGTCTCTCTTTTGAAATGTTGGTCATAATCCAAACAATGTTTGTAGGTTGTTTTTGTACTGTCATTTGTTTTTGAAATAGGCCAAATTAATTATGGGGCTACCCTCTCCCTCAGAGCTTACAGGCGGCGCGCCCAAGATTCTGAGGTGATGTTAGTCTCTCTTTTGAAATGTCGGTCATTATCCAAATTATTATTGTAGGTTATTTTTGTAGTGTCATTTGTTTTTGAAATAGGCCAATTTAATTATGGGGCTACCCTCTCCCTCAGAGCTTACAGGCGGCGCGCCCAAGATTCTGAGGTGATGGTAGTCTCTCTTTTGAAATGTCGGTCATTATCCAAATTATTATTGTAGGTCATCTTTGTTTTGTCATTTGTTTTAAAATAGGCCAAATTATGGGGCTACCCTCTCCCTCAGAGCTTACAGGTGGCGCGCCCAATATTCTGAGGTGATGGTAGTCTCTCTTTTGAAATTATAATTGTAGGTTATTTTTGTAGTTTCATTTGTTTTTGAAATAGGCCAAATTATGGGGCTTCCCTCTCCCTCAGAGCTTACAGGCGGCGCGCCCAAGATTCTGAGGTGAAGGTTGTCTCTCTTTTAAACTGTCAGTCGTCAACCATAGTATTATTGAATTTTCATTTTCCAGAGTTCATAGTGGTACCTTCTTTATAGTTTTACGTGATTTGTGGCAAAGACAAGACCAGGCAAACAAATTTATTCTACTTTATGCGTGGTGCGACAATCACCGTGGCTGACTGGCCTCCAAAGTTCCTTTATAATTTGGACGCTTCTCAGGAGTTCCTTCACTGCTTGTAATCCAGAATTGGCGATTCTCAGCAGCTTGAAGCTCTTGCTTTTCATCAGTTGTTCCTTGGACGGCGACCTTTTCTTGTCCCGAGTACAATATCGATTCTCGATTCTCGACTCTCGATTACCGTATCTTGCTGGTGCAAGGTTTCGGCAACGGGACCAGTACTAAAACCATTGCAGGAATATCACTGCCAAACTGCGCAACAGAATGCACGAAGAACCTCTCCGGTAGTTGAAAAAAAAAGAAAAAGAACCTGCGATGTAATTAGGTAACTTATTCATGGTGTTCAGCTTCCAGTTTATTCAGCTTATTGCCAGTTGTAGGCAAAGTTCACGCGCGCATTATCGCATTCTAACTGGGTCGATTGTGAGGAAACTGTTATGTCAGTCATTGACTAAAAACACCCGCGCGTTAAGCCTTTGTGCGACGGACGTCCCTTAGAAATATAAATTGCCAACACTGATCACCAATTCTACTTGCAAAGTGTTGCTGATTGAGTTGTGTAATGTATTCTAGAGTGTAAATTTAGTACTAACCTCGCAGACAAGGATGCAATGAGACATTTATTTTGCGTAGTTAGGCCTGCTATCCATTGGGCAACCATCCCTTTTATTTTCTTTCGATAGCCTGTCCATGCACTAACCTTTGGGTACAGAAACTAGCTGCCTCTCGCTGTACCAAAACTTGATAGTTTTGGCGTTCAATATTTTTAACGGATGCTCACAAAACACCGGGACTGCATCGTGCGCCTTTGGCGCTTTGGTATCCTGCGAGCTTTGGTTCATCGCGTTTTGAAAGATGGAAATTTTGATATTCCCGCGAAAAAGAAGACCGATAAAACGCATCTTTCATTGACTACAGTGAAACGCCCGGAAATGAAGGATGTTTTGAAAGAAACGGGAAAACTGATAAAAGTAAATATTTGTTTTGATCAAGTGAAATTAATGAGAAATAACCATAAACTAGTTTTGTGTTTTTGTTTTTTAAAAGCGGTTTGTCTGGTACCAGATTTGTACAATTACTTTCAATCAAACATGGATCGGGTTTTGTTAATTATGACAGAATGTAATTAAAAAGCATTATGTTGACAGCTACAAGGCACATGCTTGCCTTAAGCTGCGAGTATCCCGCCATGTTTTAAACAAAGGGCCTCTGACCAAGCCGGCATTCTAATCCGCCACAAATATGTGAAGCACGCGTCTTTCAAAGTCGCCTAGTACTTAAAATCGGCGCTCTGGCCTGTTATGCTGCTTGCAACAAAGCTCGCAATATGATACTTTTCTGTCTCGAGCCCTTGTTGGACGATTGCCAATCTTGAGACTTGTTCCTTCATAAGGTTTAATAATGCCTCCCGGAAAACTTTGCTCCAGGCGGCCAAAAGGAAAACTAGAAAATTAACCGACTACAGAAAACTACTTCTATCGCGCGCGCTGATTTCAAGTTCGATTGTTTTATCACACGAAAATGAGAATTGTGGGAAATGATCGCAGGTAATGGTGTTCGTGGTAGGGCCGAGGGAGGAGGATGAAGAAAGATGCAGACAGCATTATAAACACATGATTTTAGGGTTTATCTCGGTGTAAAATGCGAAGTTTTTCTTTGTTTTCTAGCTTTTATTTTCCTTGGCTCTATTGTGTTGGCTTGTCAGTGGCTCTTTGTATTCATTGTTTTACGTCACTCGTGAGTTTCAAAGGTTTTTACAACGAGGATGAACCTGATTTAATGCTTACTGCAGTTTGTTAGACGATTTGTGTACTCAAAACGTTATAAAAAAGAAAAAAGTAAAGTAAACGAGCCCGAAATGAGAATGTCAAGGAAAAACTCCTGGAGCTCAGTTTAAGCAAATCCACACAGATATATGAATACATGTTGAAAATTTACCTGTCCAGCTCCGTAACTAATCCATGTTTTACCATCATATCCAAAGCGGATTAAATAGCTTGTCACCCAGTTGTTCCTTTGAGCATCTCCCTGAGTGGCCACGCCTGTGACTGTTACAATTTGTCCGAAATCAGCCTGTAGGTACTGGGGTAGGGATACTGAAAAGCTACACCAACCGTGAGTACCATAAAGGCGACTCCAAATAGCTTTATGTCCACCATCTTCTGAGGATTTTGTAATTGTAAAATCCCTCGTTTTACCGCGTTCATTCTTGAACGATACAAAACAACCTGTAAAAACATTAGGAAATATGGCATATTAATTAAGAAAAATTAAATGTACTGTTTAAAAAACGAGCGGTTTCGATTATCAGGTTTTAAACCTGATAATACAGACTGCGAGCTTTTTAACGACTTCAAAATCCCTGATAAAGATCAACTCATTCTTACACTGATATTTAGATTTGGGGTCATTTTGGTCTAAAAAACGTGACGTAAAGTTCATCTGTTTATCAGATATAAAGACAGGGGCACCCAACGACGGTTTCCTCCTAAATGCATTGACAACACTTTTTAGGATACCCAGAGTACTCTTAGATCTCTAGAAACGTATTCTAACTAGGGCTAAAAATTTTTATCTGTTCGGTCTTCCTAGGGTTAGTTGAGTCTTTTCGAAATTACAAGAGCTTCAGCATTATTTTCCCGAAAATTTTAGCTGCAGTTTAGAGTTTTACGAAAGTGAGAATTTGTGTCTGCCTCACATTTTTGGTTCCAAAAATTTTAGGTTTAAAATTCTTTTCTCTATTGAAAAAAGGCTTAACCTGGGGAGTGAAATGGAAAAAAATTAGCTTCACAAAATCGTAGGGAATTTATTAGAAAGCCTTCAAAAATTGTACATGAGTGGAACGGTCATCTAAAAAAATCTAGACAATTCTGTTCTCAGAACAGATATTTCAAAGAAAACAGTCATTGGGTGCTCCCGTTAAATCACTCATTAAACTTTCTTTTGTTTTTTCCTTATGAATTATTAATGAGTTTTTGAACTCTTGAAAAAATTTCCATTCGCTCCATATTAGTTACAATGACAAAGAAGGAAACAAACGAGGAGGAACAAAATCAATATAGTAAATCCAATTATTAAAAGCACCCTTTTTCTAAAGTAAAGGAGAAAAATAAACAGAGAGGAAACAAGAAAACGTGAAATAATCACCATAGATGTACAAAGATTGGTCAGGCAGTAATTAGGAAGCCTAACCAACGACAACAACGGCAAAAAAGCAATAGGTTTTGCCCCACCAACATGTATCCGGATATTTTTGATTACGGAGATTTTTACCTCCATTTTCAAACAAATACACAACCACACGTAGCATATTCGAATCGTAGTCACCCGTCCACACGAAAACGTTAAAACGATGGAAATACCATAGCCTCATTATTGAGCATGCGTTATGCTAGAAGTATATGATGTATGACATCATCGTATTCCGAATTCGAAACCGTTTTCGTCCGTCCACACGTAAAAGAAAAGCCGACGTTTTCAAAAATCTCCACACTGGAGAACGTTTTTGAAAGGGTGCGTTTTCTGTGACCGTTTTCACTGAATTAGTGAGTGTGGACGGTAAACGGATACGTGTGACGGAGCCTTATAAGCAAACAACAACTTTGCACGAGCATTACGTATTTTTGTACATTCCTTTGGCGTCAAGGGTACGACAACGACGTGAAACTTCTTAATTTCACGTTTCATTGAGAATGTAATACAAGACAACTACTTTCCTTTCTTTTTTTTTTAACTGAGATACAGACCCTTAGAACTCAACTCGAGAAAAAATCTCTAACATTTGACAAATTTAGCGTGATCTGATGAGACGTTGATTCCGCCGCCGTCGTGGTTGCACGCTTAAGCTCCCTATTAAAACTGAGCACTTAACCAAGTGGTAAGTCAGTTTCCTTGCATCGTATGTACAAACCAGAATTTAGCAGCAGGGTTAGTTCAGTCGGTAGAGCGTTCGACTACAGAGTGGGAAGTCGCGGGTTCGATTCCTGGGGCCGAACAAATACTCAGGGTCTTAAAATAACTGAGAAATGAAGGTACTTTCTTTACTCTGCAGACGGGCAGACCTTCGCGTGGCTCGAATGACAAGGTAAAATGGCGGTCACTTCTCCAGTAGCAGACGTAAATAATAGTGTCCCCAATTAAAACTTTCGTGCTAAATACATTGACACTCAAAGTGCGTTTTTTAATGCTATGGTTGTCTTTTTAACTGTATGTATTGGATAAGTACTAAGAGACCAACCTTGCTCAGATCCATACACCTCCACCCTTAATGCTTTGCTGTTGTGAAATGTAACTGGATAAAAACGAATAAACTTGGCAGCAAGTGGCTCATATAGTTCACTTCTTACAATGCTGTTTTTGTCATCATTTCCAGTAAATATCTAAAAGCAAATTAACAAAAATTTCTATAAAATTCTGATGAAAGACAAATTCGTGCGTTTAGGTGTTTCATTCGCACGGAAACACGCTAACCGTACGAAAACTTGAACGCCTAGCCGTTCAAACATTTGAAATGAGCAAAATCAAGAGGTGTGAACACCATAACCATCTAAATTTTTGTGTAGCAAGGGCGTGGTTGCAAGGATGTGTGGTAACTCAGCTGGGAGACGCCATACTGGATTTCATGTGAAGTAGTGTTCTGCGCATGGGTAGATGGAAAAACAACTGAAAATAATCAAAATTCGGAAACTGGTTTGTAAGTTCCATGTCAAGAGAGCGAAAATATTGAACGGTTCCGTGTCCGGTCAAATTTTTCAACCGGTCGAAAATTCGTCTAGTGCCTTTTTAACGTAGCCTACGTCTAACCCTACCCGCTCACGGTTAACAGGAGAAACAAGAACATATAAACAGACGATATTTATGAGGATTGCAACTACGTTGACGATGACTCCCGCGGGCAGAACAATAGGCAAAGGATATTAAAAGGGTTAAGCCACGTCTATATGTCAGTTTCTTTTACATTTTAATACTTATTTCCCCAACGTTTGCCATATGTAAACGGTGAGAGACCAAGGACGGAAGGCTGTAGAAGTGAGGTGAAAAAGAAAGCAAGGCAGGAGGCAGGAAGAAAAGAAGGGGGCAACTAGAGACGGTGAAGATGGGAGAAGAGAAAGGACAGCGAATGGAAGGGAGAGAAAGGGGACGAAAGCAACTTCGGCATGTGAAATCCTGGTTCTCGAGGCTAAGAGGTAAACACAATCCTTTATTACTTAGTGTCTCCACGATTATAATTTCGCTATTACTTCACCTAGAGCAAAAAAGGATGTACCTTTTCGGAACCACCCTCAGAGTAGAATTTCCACGCGACATTATCCAGGGACGTCTTTATCTTGTATGTTTTTGTCCAATAATCATTATTTGGATTTCCTTGTGTTGCTACTCCACAAACAAAGTAAAGGGATCCCAGATCGATCTGGAGGAAATCATTGTTGTTACTGTTTGTGGCAGGAATCCAGGCATTGGATCCTTCTAATCGGCCATCAGATGGACTGCGACCGCTAAGAGATGACGAAGCTGAAAACCTCTGATTAAAAATAATGCTACTATCCGACACTCCTACTGGATCAAGTACACAACCTGAAAAAATTTTAAAAAAAGTACACAACCTAAGTTTATGAAAAAAAGGAGGAAGAATTATTATCGTGTTATTATTCTTAACGTAGAAGGTACAGACTCACAGAACAAATTATGTTATTGCTTTGATCTGGGGTTCCTTCCTGTTTCATTGAAAAACAACAACAACAACAACAAGATAAGAAAAGTATAAAAGGGATGAAAGTGTAATGGCTTCCATAATGAACTACGCCGAATACATCCACTTCTCGTTTGTAATCTATTGTCAACTTTAAGCTTTATACAGACGTTTCGATTTCGATCCAAAGTGACTGGAAGGCTTCATCAGATATTTCTTTAATAACAGTACATTTCAGAGAATCATTAATATACAAGGCAACACCTTTCATTTTACTATAGTCAAAAAATTTGCATTTTTCCAAAGGGGTTAACCCATGATTCTGATCAAAAATTCCAAATGTCTTTCCAGCCTACGTTTCTGTATTAGAGATCTCGTTTTTGTCGTCTGATGATATTGTTTTCCCAAAAGGAGGCTTTTTACACGACATAAATGTCATTTTACTATAGTCAAAAAATTTGCATTTTCCAAAGGGGTTAACCAATGATTCTGGTCAAATATTCCAAATTTCTTTCGAGCCTTTTTTTTCTGCAAAAGAGACCTAGGCTTTGTCGTTTTATGATTATGTTTTCTCCAAATGAGTCTTTTTGGACGATAAAAATATCACGTTACTATGGTCGAAAAATTGGCATTTTTTCAAAGGGGTTAACTCATGATTCTTGTCAAAAATTCCAATTACCTTTGGAAACCTACTTTTCTGTAAAAGAGACCTCGGTTTTTTCGTTTGATGATGTTGTTTTATCAAAAGGAGGCTTTTTAGACAATAAAATTGTCAATGTGAGAGGCTAGAGATGTCGGAACATATTCGAAAACATATCCAGGTATGCTTGGATTAAAATGCATTTCTTTACCGCTGATTATTCTAGTTTCTGAAACTCCTATAATGCTAAATTCAAAATTCAACTCGTCCAATAGATGAACTTGAAAGTTTTCAAGGTTTCGCCTAAGACTCCTAATGTTATTACGTAGAAGAGAGAAGCTCGAATCACTGACACGGCTGGGAAGTTCACTTTTAAATTGTAGAAACTATATGGGGAATAGTGGCGACTATGGATACGATGATTATAGAGACTATCCCCCGGATTAGGGTCTTCAAGTACGTTTAGCCTGAAAAGATTAAGGTCATAAATGCCCGAGAGTTTTTCTTAGCACTTTTTCGTCGGCAAATGGGGGAAAACAATTATTGTATTGACTATAAGCCAAAACCAAAATATGGGAGCTCGCGGAATAAAGATAGAGTATCGCCAGAGTTTTGATCGTTAGCACTCATTAATAGAACTTATTATAGCAGATACTTATCAAACTGATGATAATAATGACAATAATAATAATAATAATAATAATATTTTTTTTTTAAAGAATTAGGAATTTAGGAATACGAGATTTTATTCTTTTTGACTTGTTTTCTCTTTAATATCAGAGACGGATTTGTAATGACTTAATTTAAAACTCTGGACTGCCTACAAGAGTTATTGACCGCATCTAAGCCGCAAGGTATATATATGCGAAATCGCTATTGACATTGCTATTTTTTATTTATATAATTCTTAATGTTATATAGTGCTTAATTTGTACTTCAAATATTTCTGTAAATTATGTACATATTTTTTTACAGTTGAATAATTTTTTCCTTCCTATAATAATAACAATATTAGTATTTTAGGATCTTTTTAATATTTTTATTTTATTTTTAATCGAAATGAATTGGTTTTAATTGAAATGAGCTTTTTTTTTTAATTGAATGAATATTTTTTTTTAATCGAAATGAATAGAACCTTAACTTATGAAATAAAATGACTTGTAAATAGTGCTTGACTAAACATATATATATTTCTTCTTCAGCGAAATTAATTGTAAATAGGTTTTAATAGTTAGTTTTGATAATAATAATGATAATAATAATAATAATAATAATAATAATAATAATAATGAGACACTTATAAAGCGCCCTTTCCACACGGTCCAAAGGCGCTATTTAAAGATAAAATTTTAAAGTACAAACACAGTTAAAATTTAAAATTTAAAAATCAAAAACTAAAGATAAAATAATTTAAGACCTGATATAAAAAAAACCACAGTCACGGAATCATTTTAAAAAGGCGCGTCTAAAAAGAACAGTTTTCAACTGTCTTTTAAAAATGTCCAGTGATCCAGCATCCCTAATATGCTGAGGAAGACTGTTCCAAAGAAGCGGCGAAGCAACAGAAAAAGCTCGACGGCCATAACTGTTTATGTTAAAAACAGGCACAACAAGTAGATTTTTCTTTGAAGACCTAAGATCCCGTGCCGGGAGGTAACTTTGAACAAGATCTTTAATATAAGAAGGAGCAAGTCCATGGAGAGTCTTGCAGGTAACGATAAGTATTTTCAATTCAATCCGGAAATAAATCGAGAGCCAGTGAAGATTCGCAAGAACAGATGTAATATGACAGAACTTGGGCGAAAGAGTAACAACACGAGCAGCTGCATTCTGCACACGTTGGAGCTGTTTAATCACGTCCTTAGGTAAACCATATAGTAACGAATTGCAGTAGTCAAGCTTTGATGTAACAACAGCTCGAGCAAGAAGCTGGGCTAAATCAAAGGTGAGATGTTTACGAATGAGCCTAATTTTACGGAGATGATAGAATGCGGATTTGCTCGTTGCTGTCACCTGAGGAACCATATATACTCAAAGATTCGTCGAAGAGAACTCCAATGTTACCCGCTTTTGGTGAAGCCAGCACTCTCTCATCACAAACATGAATATGTGACAAAGGAGGTCGAGCACGGTGTAAAGATGATATCACAAGAAGTTCAATTTTGTCTTTATTTGATTTTAGCTTATTCAGAAGCATCCAGGTGTAAATTTCTAGTACACAGGCTTCCAATCTATACTTGCTCAATTCCATGTCAGTAAGGGTGACGTCTCGAATGTTACATAAAGCTGCCTGTCATCCGCATAAAAGCGAAAACTTAGTTCACGCTTACTGGCGATATTACTCAGTGGAGAGGTGTACAATGAGAATAAAAGAGGTCCAAGAACCGACCCCTGGGGTACACCAAACTGCAGAACACGTCGCTCGAAGGTAGATCCATTGGTATTCACAAACTGAGTGCGATCATCCAAATACGATTGAAACCATGCCAATGCCGTACCACCAACTCCAAATCGACGAGAAAGGCGTGAAAGTAAGATACAGTGATCTACAGTATCAAACGCCGCGGAAAGATCAAGGAGCAGCAAAATCACTGATCTTTTCTGATCTGAGGCAATTGCGATATCATTATGGACACGGATTAAAGCAGTCTCAGTGCTGTGAAGTTTCCTGTACGCTGATTGATATGAGACAGCGAGACCATTGGCATCTAAATAATCAATGAGCTGCTTGGCAACACATATCTCGACTACTTTAGACAGAAAACCCAAGTTCAAAATTGGCCTAAAAATTCTTGAATTCATCCGACCTCAAAGATTGCTTCTTGAGCAGTGGTTTGACACTAGCCACTTTTAAATCAGTACAAAGTATTCCAGATTCCTTTGAAAGGTTGATAATTAGCAATTAATGAATTCGGCTTTCCTAGGATATGAAGAATTAAGCAGATCGAGGAGGGTGTTATCCACAGAGGCCGAAGGTCGAGGTGGATAACACCCTCCGACATCTGCTTAATTCTTCATATCCTACGAAAGCCGAATTCATTAATTGCTTTATTAGTCATTCAAATTAAATAATTCCTAGTTTAAAAACATAGCTAAAACATTCTTACCTGGATCGATGTTAAATTTATCTTCGATAGTGAACGTTTAGGCTTGTCCAGCCCCGCAAATATTCTCCAAATAGCAGATGTCGCCCTCCGAGTTGTCTTCTTGCTGTTTTTTCTATCAGTTTTTAGCCATTATTTCGCCTAGTTACAGCTGTAGTTCTTACTCTTGAAACGAGTGAAGTGTCCGCTATTTTAGTTTTCACAACTATTACCCCCCCTAGAAACAGAGAGTTTTGCGAAACAGAGGACATGATTTTATTTTACCTGCTGTTAAAACAAAACGCTTTAAGAGATCTTTTATTAATAGGTGTCTTTTTAATTTTATTTAATTGTATTTCATCTTAAGTAGATTGCATTGTCATGTATGTAAAGCCACACGTATGTTGGGAATGCACATACTGTACCTACAAAATAAACAGGAAGAAAGAAAAGCGCTCTTACTTTCTGAGTTAAGATAGGAATAAACTTCAACCTCGCAGAGCGTCAAAAACATCGTAATGCCAGGTAATCTGATGTACAAATATCTGCCATATGCTTTGGGACGACAGAAATATGTCTTGGAACTTGCTGCTGGGATTTGTATGTTATTTGCACAAAGACTGTTGTCTGCTCCTCCATTTGTTGTTTCATTTCCTTGCAAAGCGAATAAAAGAAAATATGAGGTAACATTTACTGCAATATTTGAACACAATTCATGCATAATAATAGTTCAAAAAAAAAAAAGAAACAATCTTGGCATTGACTTCAAGATCAGGGGAGTGCTGCAATCTCACTTGCAAAACCTCTACATTGATGTATATATTGGTTCACTCAAATAGAATCTGTGGGATTTTGACTTTACATGAATGTAACTATGTAGGAAGAAAATGCTATTGGTACTAAATACATGCACACTTTTACAAAGCACAGTGATCACTTTCACATACTTTTCTTCTGAGAAATCTTAACTTAAAAGCCAATGGAAAATAATTTCAGTTAATTAAAATATTCCAAAATTAACAAGGAACACTTCTGAACAAGGTAAAGCAACTGATTACAGCATCTCCCACACTTACTACCTACCCACTCTTATCTCAGCTCCATCCAATCTGTTTGACAGTGTGTCTCTGTTGAGTATATTCACTTCAGCTACAGGCTGTACTCGCCCCAGGTCTACTCTCCACCAAGGATTGTTTTCTTTGAGAGTGTGTGTACATTTGCTGATGTCTGTACCCCTATCTCCATCCACTGCATTGCTAGCAGGGTAGGATATCGAATCACTGTATGCACTTGACTGACTTGTTGGCTTGAAAAGGGCAATATTTCTCGGAACTAAAAACCAAACGAATAATAGAAATTACAGATAAACGCAGCAGGGTTGCAGGCTGTGCTCTCCCCGCTCTTGGAGACCACTGGGTCCTTACTTCTGTTCTTGGGGACTAGAAGATCTCAGCGTCTGCATGGAAATCATATGCTGGGCACCCTGGATTTCACAGCTAGGTGCAGAGCATTCGGCTCCTTAGAATTTTTATTACAGCACAGCCTTCAACACTGAAAGGAAAATCAAGTATTGAAGGCCTTTCTGAATACTCCTGTTAATGTTCAGAGTACGTGTATAGCAGCTGTACATGTAGTGTGTCTGCAGTGCTGTACAAAACAATGGTCATGGCAAGTATTTAATCGGTAACTGTTCAAAAATTAAACCTCTTAATTTTGACAGGTTGGCCACAAACTAGCCTGCAAATACACTACCATCTCTCCTTAATCCTCGCCACTGGTGACCTTTCACAGGAGAGCCATCTGTGAAATAGCCCCAAAAATTCCATATTGATGACGTAAATCAATGTTTACAAAATTAATCTGGTAGTGATGGGGTTCTAGATATAAAATTGTTTGAGTCTAAGTCTCTCCTGGTGTGTTATCGTTAAGGTTTTGGTTTCTTCTGTGAAAGAGCAGCAGCAAAACTCAAATTCTTCTTGTAAAGAAGATAATATTCCATGAATAATGACTTTTTTAGTTGATTCATGGCATTTACTGTACATCATTGTGACCTTTTGTCTTTTGTCTGTCATTTGCCACTACTTTGACCAATCCCTGCTCGTTGACCAGATTCCAGAGACAAATCTACATATGATCATCAAAATGAAATCTTTGTGGCAAAATTGCAGACCTCTTTCCTGTGAAATGTCTTTAGTGGCAAGGAGTGAGGAGAGACTACGGCATACAGTGAATTACTTGCAAAGACTGTATGTTAACAAGATTTTTAAAAAAGAAAGAGAAAGATAATGGTTGAAGAGCTGATGTGGTCGCAAAAAGAAAAAGATCATATCAATGATGTGAAGGAAGGTTCCACAACTGGGTAAAAAACTAAATTCCTTGAAAACTGAAGAATATCCTCAATATATCAAACCTCTGCTTCTAGGTATGCCAGAGACTTCTACTCGTAAACAAGCTTCACCATGTTTGGACCCAACAACAAAACGCAAGTATCTGGCAACAAACGCACTGAACAAGATCTGTTTTTCTACTGAGTTCTGATCGAAGTTTCCATTGAAGGTCTGGAAAAAAATTAAAAACAAAAAAAGGCTTAGCATTTAGGAGGTGATTCTTAAATAAAGATAGCGGAGAGTTCAGTTTACTAAACGCAGGGCTGTCACTAAGTTGCAAGATATATGCAAATTATAGGTAATGATTTGAACAGCTAGGACATTCTATTGGTTCAGTCTGCTTTCCTTTTGTTTCCTTTGAAAGTAGCCAGGGGTCGTACTGGCAGTAGGACATAGCTAGGAAATTCCTGGTCACTAGCACTTAGTGACTTTCCTGTGAACCCAATGGGATGTCACCCCCTCACTTCCCACTTCTCCCTTCTGGATTCAATTATCTTTGCCACATGGCATTACTCCCTTAGATAACAAACTTTGCTCCTTTACACGCTTGTCATTCTTCCACCTCAGTATATAAGTGCAACAAATTTCGTAAGGTAACCTTTGAACAGACTAGCATTCCATTCAAAGGAGAGAAGCAATTTATACTCCTAGGTGCTTCATGCAGCAGAAAATGGGTTTCAGCTTCCTATCAATCAGAACTGTGTTTGCAGCCAGACCAGTCTTATCCTAAGTAGGGTGGTAGGAAGAGATCGTCTTTTTATGCAAAAAAAAAAAAAAAAACTCTAGAAAAAAGCATTTTTTTCTTTTTAAAGTGACAGGTCAGGCCATTAATATATGCACCCTTTAACTTCAACTACCTTAACTTTTCCATTTTCTTTATAGTCTGTCCAAGTTGTCCCATTTGTAGATGACTGTAGGGTGTAAGACTCCACCCACTGACTCCCCTGGGAATTCCCCTGAGTGGATACAGCACAGATGATATGAGGAATCCGTAAGTCAATCTGTAGATATGGACCGCTGTCACTCGTGGATGCACACCATGATGATCCCGCTACAAAGTTCAGTCGGCCATTCTTTGCTGGTGTGCTGGCATTCAGTTCAGAGGAAGCATTTAACTGATTGTCGAGAATGTACCAGCTCACTCCTACATCAACTTGTTCACATGATGCTACAAAAAGGGATAAAACATTGAAATTACTGTTTGCCTAGAATGCATCTATCAGCTAGACCAATTTAAGCATCTTGTTCAAACGAATGTTAAACATACGGTATTGCACCCACGTATAACAACCTACTTTTTTAAAGTCTATATCTTTTGAGGCGGATGTTTTTGGATCTTGTTCAGCCAATTAACGTTCTCGATCGGCTTTCCGTTGCAAAATTTCGTAGCCGTTTAAGTTTTGCTTTGCCCGACTGTTCCACGCTTATCGTTATCCTTTTAAAAGGGAAATGGAATTTAAAAACTTTTGTTCAGTTAACCGTAAACTATTTACGTGTACCATCCTTTTAATACTGTGACTGTTTTTGCTTTCAGGTCACATTTCTTAGTGGTCCCTTTAAAGACTTTCCTTCCAAGATATGCCTTTCTTTAATTTTTAAGTGCAAATCAAGTTACATCATTGCCTGCGGTCTTATTTCCGCAATGTTTGGAAAGTGAAAGTTATTATTCCGCCATTGTGATGCGACCAAGCGTGACTGAAAAATGCGTTTGAACTGAAGAGGAATACTAGACGAAACTGATCACGATTCGGAAAGAAGTCGGTATAGAGATGGGTCCACGGGGAAAATGCGAGGTTTATGGGTTTATAAAAGATATTTATCGCAAATTGGATGAAAATCAGATACTTCGCTGTTTGACTTGCATGGTGTCAAATTATGCTTCAGGACGTAAACATGCAAAGAATCGATATACTTTTGCTGTAAACTTACCTGATACCATTCGTTGTCCCAAAAGACAAATTGCCACGAATAAGAATAAGATATTTTTTTTGTCATCCATGTGTTATCTTAAGCAAAGAAACAGCAGTACAAAGTACAATTTGCGCACTGTCTTTTTAAGATTTGCCTCCGATTAATGATTCGATTCAAGCCGATTTTTGACCTTTCTCGTATGGCGTGACACAACTTAGTAAGCATACCCTCATATTTGACTTCCCTTTCAGTATCACTCCATCTTTGTTATCTACGTCTGTCGGATTTCAGCAGCAATCATTCAAAGATCTACCCAGGCATATTGAGTGTCTTTTAGCAACGCGTCGGACATAGTTTGTTCACTTTCCATTCCCAAATTCGGTATCCCGACAGAACAAAATTTCATGCCATCTTTTCCTTGTTTCTTAGAAAATGTTTAGCAAGTCGTGAGGCAGTTGTATCTATTAATTTCTCTGCAAATTCTGTGAATCAAAATAAATAAGACTGAATTGAATAAACAGAAAAAAGGCAAACATAGTGGAATAACAGTTTGCTCTGATAGTTACAAAAATGAAAAAAAAATCTTAATATTTAGTTAAAATAAAGGAGAAGTGGTGTTTGACCATTTCGAACCCGGGTGATAGGCCCGGGGGGGGGGGGGGGGGATAGGGGGTACTGCCATATATGGGCTATATAGGTATGTGCCGATGTGAAGGGTATGGTTTTCAAGCAGTTTACTCTAGGATAGGGTATGTAAATCAGAGCATTTGGGTCTAGAATAGGGTATCATTTTTCAGAAAACTGATCAGTTGGTTGAAGTTTTATCTAGACTAGAGATTGTGGTATAAGGTTTTGTTTTGGCTGGACTGTTGTAGTGACCTCAGTAGTTTCAGGAAAACAGCCACTCTAGGATAGGGGGAATTTAGGGAGTTTACTCTAGCATAGGGTAGCAAAATTCGGCTGAACTAGCTCTGATATAGGTGAAGGGTTCCAGGGTCCCAGCGGCACATCCCCACCCAGAAATTCCTAAAGTACCCCCCCCGGGGGTGATAGGTCATGCACCATCATAGAGGCCGGTGCTGTCATCGTGACACTTTGAGAACCATCGTGATGATTTTGGGCGTACGCTCCTGGCCAGCAATTCTTTCTTTCTTTCTTTTTTTCAAGAGAATTGTTGACAGTTTATGTTTCCGACCCACCTGATCATGACTCATACAAAGTACTTTCAATCGTCTGATCTTACTGGACTGCATTAGCAGCTAAGCTCGTTGATTCAGACGTCCCTTTAGGGAGTATGCGACTCGAGGGGCCGGCTGAAATTAGGGCTATTGGTAAGAAGCTGATAGGGTATTGTAATTCAATATGTAAATGCCCATTCTTTGTGAAATAATGAAATAATCTTTATTTTGTTTTCTACCATACACGATAAAGGGAAAGGTAAATGACCATATAATTCTCATTCAATAGATCAAAGAGTGTAGAGACACATTTTAAAATTAACGACAGAACCTATCATGTGTTTCTGTTTTTAGGAGTCCTTTGAAGCGTTTGTTTGCCAGCTGGTAACGAGCGCCGCGGCAGTTGCCTGAGGACGACGTAAGTTCATCATATTCCAAAAAACGTCCTAATTTTCACGCATCATTCGTTAGTTCTTTGACGGCGCCCTTCAACTTTCCAAAATTGTCTTTTATCTTGATCTTCTAGACTGTTTGTACCAGGAAATTAAATATACTCAAGGTAAAACAATGTTGGGTACCTATCTGTATTAAATCACTTAATCAATAACGATTTAGAGGCCGCATACCCACTTGGTCGTTCTTCGTCTTCCTGATACCTGGTGAAATTGGAATTTGGAAATGCTGGTTTTTGAGGAGAGGGAAAAACCGGAGTACCCGGAGAAAAACCTCTTAGAGCCATAAAAAAAGGACCAACAACAAAGTCAACCCATATATGGCATCCACGCCAGCATTGGAACCCTGGCACATTGGTGGCAGGCGAGTGCTCTCGCCCCTGGGCCATCCTTGTGCACTCTTGGCCCCTTACGTCTGGGCATAGTTATTAGAGGAGACTGGTTATGAAAAGCGGCAAACATCAATGATAAGATCAACAGTGCTGCAGTTTATGTTGGAAGTACCGTGAAAGTGCACAATCCTTTGTTTTCTTTTGGCAAATTGTTACGGAATAAATTAATACAACGTTTTTATTGGTCAATACAATCAAAATGATAGGAATTCTTTTGAACGTTGTGCACTTTCAGGTCCACAAAAATATATAACAAAGGAGTCTGACGGGTTTCATAACCATCCCACTCAATTAACTATGGTCTGGGAAAATGTTCCTGTTATTTACTGGGCCAAAATCCCTAATCTGGTCCTTTTTTTCTTTGAAATTACGCTATCCAGCTTTATATAGCATTTACAGTTCTGGAGCAGGCTTCATTGCCGGTTGCAATCATAACTACACGCTGTTTCTCTTCAATTGCCAGTTAAGAATCTCATGGTGTCATAGTCCATACGCAACCGCTGAGTTGTTCGATGAAATAAAGGTGAGTGCGCCTTAATATCTTTGGGCATTGATTTTCCAGTGAACAACAGTTTAATAACAGTACAGTCTCGCCACCGAAAGACTGTTAGCCTGACAATACAGCTGACATTTTGCAAAGCTACCTTTGGTTTTCGAACGAAATGACGTCTGAGGAACGAGCGCAGAAATTCCATACTGATGACGTGTCACTACCCAGAGCTGGCTATTGCTTCCGACTGATCGTATCGCGAGGGAAATTTTTTTTCGGCCAATTAGAAACACTACCCAGATCTGGGTGGTGACACGTCATCAGTGTGTAAGTTTTTCAGTTGTTCGTCAGAAGTCATCTCGCGGGGAAACCAGTGATAACGCTGTGAGGTGTCAGCTGTTTTCTCAGATTAAAAGACTGTTGAAAACAGACATATTCACTATTGTATCTAACGCCCTAAAGAACAATTTAGCTCTAAATTAACTCCCCTAGGAATCCCACGTGCGCCTAGTCCTTATTTGCATTTTTTGTTTTTAACTTGAATCGCCTTCTAGCATTTTCAGTTCAGCTTTTATTTCAACGTTGCTTCTACAAGAGCACTAAGTAGTAGTTTCCTGTCAGGAGCGTCTCTTTTACGGTCAGAAGTTTTGCGCCAAAGGAATGTAAGTGCTTTGCTGTATTTCTTTTGCGCTCGCAGTATTTCCTTGAAGTTTTATTTTCACCTTGTATTTCAGTTTAAACCACAACACAACACAACACATCAAATACGACTAATTACGGTACATCGAACCTAATGTCAGTCGAGTCTTTGGGGTCAATCGTCTACCATCTTACTTATTGCTGTAACCCTTGAGGACTCAAACCGGAATAAAGTTGTGCGTCTATTGTTAGCACTGATCGGCAGAAGAAGTCGCCTTACGGCAGCTATATTCACGATATTTTTTTCTTGATTCACAGTCAAATTATTCTGAGCCTGATGCTAGTACAGCCAGTCGATAGGATCAGATGCTACTTCAGCTACTTCAGACTTCATATACAGCATGGGGCCACAGGTACAGTAGCGTCTTAAATTTCTCTTAGGACGTATGTTACATCCGGGATACCTACGCAAAATTCTTTGAGGGAGGGGCGGCGGGGGTGGGGTTGGCAGCTTCTTCCCTTCGTGTTATGGCGTGGGTTTTTTTCATTGTCTTTTCAATCTTTTGCATTAAGTCATTTGGTGTTTGCGCCCGTCCGAATGTTCCCTGTAGGGATCATTGTACGTTTCTGGGAAACTGCCTACCTACCCCTCCCCTAAGTTAACATTATCACTTACTTCTCACTTAGGGCAAAATGTTGGTTTAGGGGAGAGGTAGGTGGGCAGTTTTCCAGAAACGTGTAATGATCATAACGTTTGTTTAAAATCCCTATATGGTTTGATTGATATTGTAAATTGGTTTAGCGTTTGTCTGTTACTTTAAGTAGCATTGCACTATCCAGAGGACAAGTATTAGAGAAGCAACTGCGATATCCATTGGATAGAGATTCATTTGGTGGATAGCATTATCTAACTTTTAAACAAGTGGTGCCAGAAAAGCCATCACCACTTACTCGTATGTCATTTTTCGCTTCTATTTTCAATTAGGACTTTATACTGAAACTTCCTGGAGTCAACTTCAAGAACTACAGGTACAGACAATTAACATGACAATTTCTGGATCAATTTAGGTTTCTGGGATACTCTTTCGTTCAAATGTCGTCCTATCCACGTGCATTTGGATGCATAATTTATGGAAGGACTATTGAGAAAATCCCGTGATCTGAATTGAGAAAGCGAAACATGCAAGCTTAAAAGGTCTATAATCAAGTTAGTTCCCTTTCCAATTAAAATTTAAATGAAAAGTGCCCAATAATTCCACTCAAAATTATTCAAATCTTCTTTGTCTAAGGGTACCTGAATATACATTATCATGCAAATCTTTTATTTCCGTGCCACAAAAAACGTGCAGCTTGTCTTCCAACATCGGTGCAAAACGAGTTGAATAACGATGTTGGGCGTTTTACCACTCACATCAAATCTGTCTGGCAACAAATAAGGTTAATTGTTAACAGGTTTGAACGTGGGTGGTAAAACGCGCAACATCGCTTTTCAAATCGTTTTGCCGTAATGTTGCAAAACAAGTTGCACTTTTTTGTTGCCCTGTTTACTAAAGCTTTAGTTTAGTTCGTGGCATGTGAAGATTGACGTTTGTCCCGGAAACGATCGTCAGACGTTCTATCCGTCTGGAAGGGACTGATAGAACATCTTGGAAGATCCAAACTCATTCAGACGAACTTAATTGAGCCAGACGTTGAACTTAACTCACTTAGTTGGGTTTGTCTCATGAAAAGTTCGACGTTTGTCCTAGGCCTTAAATATTGAAAATAGCTTTTATGATGGTTTGGAATAATAAAGGAATTCGGCTAGGTGAAAAGTTTGAGTTGTCTTTCTACTTTGTAGAGAGCTTTTCGCGGCGTTGAAAGCAAAAAGCCGTTTAATAATGAATATGAATCAACTAAGCTCATCAGTTTGAATATCTCTAATCCAAGGTACCCTTTAAATGTGTGACATCAAGTTAACGTGAATAAGCGTTCTTTCATCTTTTGTCGTAACTTGATATTACCATTAGTCCTGTCAGGTGACTTCTTAAGGGTTATCATCGGTGTACACACCGAAAGGCGATACTTGTCACAAGTAGAGCCATTACAATGGAGGGACTGGAACCTAGAAAGATGAAATTTAGTTTCAGAATCAACAAAATGGTCGGAAATGAAGAAACGGGACACACTTCTTAATACCTATTTCAGGGTATTGCAGTTTGAGTCATTGTTGCGAAAGATTTTTCATGCTCAATTACGCAATTTAAGTGCAAGGCTCGATAAGTTTGCAATCAGATATAGAAATGATCAGAACTAGAATCAGACAGTGTGTAGAACCTGAAGATTCGAATGGCAAAGTGAAAGATTTAGAGTCTAGTTTACTTGGTGAAATTAGGATGGCTACATATTCAGTATCGGAAGGTGCCACGGAAGCTTCGTATGCAGACAAAAAGGAGGGCGGGATATTGAGTACTAGATGCAGCCAGAAGTTATAAGAGAGTCGGTCCTTTACTTTAAGTTTGGTAATAAGGTTTTTCGCAATATTGAATCGTAAGTATTAGCATCATCATCGCGTGTAGTCCATTTTAACACGGTTCTTTTAAACTGGAACCAAATGCTGAGTATTTCAGTCATCTTATAAATTTTATGCTACATGCCCACTAATACATACCCCTCATACCCAGACCACTAGATTGTATTTCCTCTTCTTTTCTGCGCGCCAGGTAGATTGGGCCTTCTCCCAAAGTGTAGACGTCATTTTCTTGGGGACTAACTTCACGTCTTCGTCTGTCGCCTTCCGCTGCACAGCTTCTATTGCATATGGAACCTGGGTCAGAGGCGTTGCAAAGGATCACGTGACAGTGAAGAAAAACAAATGGATGATCTGCAATAAACTTGAAGGCTTCCAGGCTAAACCGCTGAACACCAGCTAAGGGCGCAGAATGGTACTGTAAGGTTGCATCACTTGGACATCTAAGAGAAATGGCATCAAACAAAGGTAGAAGCTGCCTTTATAACTCAGTTAGAAATTAAGTACAAATAAAAAGAAATGAAGATGCTGTGTCTATATCGGTTTAATTAATTGCTTTAATCGCTAAAATTAAGTGCATGACATACATTAGTGGCCGACTACATAACGAATTTTACGCCGGTGAGTCAGTGTAAAAACTCTTAGACCTCACCCAACTCCACGAACCTCTTCCCCTAAAAAAAGCAAAGATGACATTGCTTTTCTTCGACAACAATTTACCACTTTGAAAACCGGAAGGAAACTGGGCCAAAATAACTTTCGCAAAGACTTCTGGGACTTTTACCAAGTACCGGGCAAAAATGACCAATAGCTGATCAGCGCGTCCCCACTCACGATCCCAGAAACCATTGCGGGCACATTTCGGCTCCAGTCCCTCTGTCTGCGTGTATCGTTTGTTAGTTAACTGAGTGCATTTTTTGTTTTACAGAGAAATGTCATTGTACTATAACATATGTTTTTTTTATCGTACCCTTGTTTAATGAACTCATACTTCAGAGGGTTCATACGATCCTGAGTAGGAGTGGCATAACAGCGATCTGCTCTGATTGACAGCTGCTTATCATCTGATATGACCGACACTTCAAAGAAGAGGGGCTTGCGAAGTATCACTGCCACAGGAAAGTCCCTCTTCGTGTAAGGACTCACGAATGTTTTGTTAGAAAACATATCAAGTGCGAGTCTCAGTTTCCCTTCTCCTTCATTGCTAAACACAAGCTTTCTGTTACTTGCTTTCCAAACAACTGATGAAACCACGCCACGTTTGCTGTAAAAACAGCTGAATTGTATTTCTAATTCACGAACACGTGTCACCACATTTTTAACAGCCACGGGCATGTCTAAGACTGCGTTGGAGTAGACGATAGCTGTGGGTGTGTGCCTGCTTGTTGTGTTACAGCCAGTCAGCGGTGTTGTGAGTGAGAAGTGGGTGGTATTCTCTGCAGCTTTGCAACTGGTGTCCAAGAGTCGAAGGTGTTCACGGTCAATACCAAAGAGGAGGGACTTGGGTATGATGATGGTCATGTTTTCACTCTTACACTGCACGTTAACACCTGGAGCTAAAATAAAACGATTAACAGAAAAATAACTAGAGTAGGAAAGCATTATTTGCGAACTTTAACATTTTGTTGGTCTATCTTTATTATTATTGGACTCAGACATTGTGTTATAATTCCTACATTTAAATTATTATTTTTTCAAGTTAATATTGAACGTCAGAAAGCAGCTATTCTTTTATACTGACCGCGACAGGTCTTGTTGTCAGATGACAAGCTCAGTTGAGGGTCAGGGCATTCACATTTGAAGCCTCCCACAATGTTGACACGCTTGTGACTACAGCCGCCATTAGACACAGCACACTCGTCAATGTCTGGTAATTCAGTAAAAGAGGCAATTGTTTTATTACAAATGCAGTGAATGCGATTGATGTTGATGTTCTTAAGATCTTACGAACAATTCATTGTTTGTATTTATATTTTTATCAAAATCATAATCATAATTTTGATCTTAAAATTATAGTGGTACTCAGACGTGCAGACTCTAGATGTAAGAGCTCTAAACCTTCTTGTTGTTTCTTTTAAGGAGGTTGTTATCTACTGATGGATAACCCCACCGTGGACTGAATGTTAGAAAGATCTTCCTTGGTCCCAAAGTTCTAATTTAACCCTTTGACTAGAAACTATGTTTCAACCGGATTCGTGGAGCCATTTGACCAAACCAGCCCCATCAAATATCTATTCCAGGTCCGTTTTGGGACCCATTTGAGCTTGTGAATTCCAATGAGTCCTAGAAAATTAGTCTTTATTGGCCCTAATTAAGGTAACCAAATTAGACCCAAAAACAGCTGTATATTTTTTTTTTTGCAAGATCCTCTCTTTATTTTAGTCAACGAAACGGCCCCATTCACTTTGGAGCATTAGGTTACAGCAAGATTGGTGCCAGATGTGGGAGGCAGTGAGAAACTCCAAATACACTGACCGTGGATAAGTGGAAGTCGCTTAATATTGTTTCTGTTGCCCAAATCTCTTAATAAGATAACAGTCAAGCGCCTTTTTCGCGGCGCGTAAACGTTATTACTGGGATTTAAGTAACCATTTGACATTGGATCATAGAGAATGTATATATTTAGTAAAATCCAACCACAGGGAGCCCGCACAATCTGTTTGTGTAGCCGATTGTTATTTTATAGTAAATGTTCTGTATTTACCGTTTGCCTCACCTATAGCGATATGTCGCTAACTATGTATATAAATCAATGAAAAATAAACGTTGAATTACCTTACCTGTGGTATATAGTCTTCGTTTTACCTCAAAAGCGGTTTTTTGAGCGATTTTGAAGGAGTTTGATTTCGCCGTTGACTGTTCCTTATAATAGAAGGACAAGGGTGGAATCCATGTTTTGAAAGGGCTCCAGTGCCAGAGCAATTTTTTCCCCAAAATCGCATTGCTCCGCTTTCAAACTCCGTAGCAAAAAAGTAGAAAGATTCACGTTTCTCCTCGTACCTCCCGATCGAAAATCCATCCAAACAGCCCGGAGCTAGCCGTCGAAGAAAATTAAAATACCACAGTATTCGAGCGGCAGGAATGCGTAGCAAGATTCATACGTGCCAGCCACAAACCGTCCCGCTGATTGCCTTTTTTTTATTGGATGTCATTAACCAAATGGTTAAATAATAACTGATGAAGAACACTTGGTAAGCGTTTGCTGTTTAACGACATCCAATCAAAAAGAGGCAATCAGCGGGACGGTTTCTGGCTGGCACGTATGAATCTTGCTACGCATTCCTGCCGTTCGAATACTGTGGGATTTCAATTTTCTTCGACGGCTAGCTCCGGGCTGTTTGGATGGATTTTCGATCGGAAGGTACAAGGAGAAACGTGAATCTTTCTACCTTTTTGCTACGGGATTTGAGAGCGGAGCAATGCGATTTTGGGGGAAAAAAATTGCTCTGGCACTGGAGCCCTTTCAAAACATGGATTCCACCCTTGTCCTTCTATTATAAGGAACAGTCAACGGCGAAATCAAACTCCTTCAAAATCGCTCAAAAAACCGCTTTTGAGGTAAAACGACGACTATATACCACAGGTAAGGTAATTCAACGTTTATTTTTCATTGATTTATATACGTAGTTAGCGATATATCGCTATAGGTGAAGCAAACGGTAAATCCAGTACATTTACTATAAAATAACAATCAGCTACACAAACAGATTGTGTGGGCTCCCTGTGATCCAACTAGTGGCCTATTATCAATGCTGTGTAGTTTCGGTTTACCCCACCGCAAGGTTATGCTCCGTTTACAAGGATTGTCCGTGTTCACGTCAGTTGGTTCACCAGGAACTACAACAATAGGTAATGATCATTTGCAATGATTGTAAGGGATGGACACACTTACAATATATGAGAACGAGTTAATTACATCGCCCTTCCGGTTAAGAGCATTTTCGACGATACTTAATGCTTCGTTATGTATTTTGCTTTCTTTGGAACGGAAAGTTTCCCCTGTATAGCTTAATATTAGTTCTGTCAAAGAAGCGACTCAGTTTCCCTTGGAGATCATACATAATTCTAACACTTCTCTATTTTGGACAGTTTATCTCTAAAGGGACATCTCTATAACGCGCACGCTCGGCTCTGCCCCTTTTGTGTCCGTTTTAAGTCGATTTATGACTACATTGAAATACCTGAAGTCGCGATGTCACGATTAAGTCTACCAAAGACTCCTGGCCCAGCAGAAGTGTAGGCACGCACTTCAACTTTGTAAACAGAGCACGTTGAAAGACCAGTTAAAACGATAAAAGTGTCGGATGTGTTTTGTAGAACCGACGAAGTGGACGCGGATCTTGCAGTGCGTGTAATAGAAAGCGTTGTCTGATTCACTTCAAATGCGATCACTATACCATTGGTCTTGTCTCTGGGAAGAAGATTCCAACTTATTTTGTAAGTTGTTTCGTTCATCTTTTCAGAGGTTATGTTTTGAGGTGGCGCGCTTGGTTCTGCAAAAAAGAATGAAAAAAGAAGCAATTGGTGAGAATACAATCTTGCGATAACCGAAAAATTGTAAATGACAAGTGACTATTCGAGATTGAAGTGGATGGTTAAAAATTTAACCATATATCCAATACACACCATAAATTTCACTGACCACGATACTCATTGGCAGAAGTGATTCAAAATGGGCTTGGGAATCTTCCCCTTCTTTTCTTTCCTGTTTGTAGTCGTTATAGGGCTTTTTAAGCAAAAGGATAATCTCTCTTTCATTTCTAGGACTTGCAGCTCAGAGCCGTAGCTTCTCATGCCAGTGCTTATCATTTCCCTTACGAATTCCATTTACACACATCATCTTTACAAAGGGCCGCTAATACAACAGCACTGAGAGCAGGAAACTGAAAAGCAGATACTTACTGTATTCTGGTACTTGTTTAGCTCCAGTTAGCGTTGGACCAGGTTTAATCGTTTCTGCCCAAATTTCAACACTGTACTGTATTCCACCGAAAACATCTAGACTGTAGCTAAAGGTCTCATTATTTGTTTCACCTGTAATGGTAGTTTGTCTTCCATCAAAGTCGTACGTGAACACGAGCTCATATTTTCTGATGATGCCATTTTGTTCAGCAGGTTGTTGCCAGTGGACCGTCATTCTCGGCATCACCGTTTCACTTGGCTTTTGCAAGGTGAACAATAGATTCAGTGGTTTGCTGGGGGCTAAATGAAAGGAAAAGGTTGAGAGACGGAGGTGAAAGTCAATTGCTCTCCTTTTGTTAGTTTTTCGTTTGTTGTTCTGGAAGTAATAACAGGGAAAAGAAACAGATACTTGTAGAAAACAAGCTTAAGTCAAGGAGTATACAAACCATCTTCTCGCGTCCGAACTTGCTTTTCAGGACTCGGTGGACCAAGAAAGTCGCCATTACTGATTGCGATTTTAATGAAATATACTGTCCATTTCTTCAGGTTCTCTAAAGTATGACTGAGGGTTGATCCACTGACATTGACTTTCGAGGAAGATTTCCCTGCTTCCATGTATTCAATACTGTACCCTCTAAAGGGTCCGTTTAAATTGGTGGTGCTTGGTGTCTACGACATGAACTTGACTAAATTAGTGTTTAAGTAATACATCGTTGAATAATTTCTCCTCCTCCTAGTTAAACCTTATATGCTCATACGGACATACCCGCGGTTAACTTCAAACATTTGTTTCCCAGCCACTGCCCTCATAACTGTCAGTGCGAGACCAAAATTGGGAGACCACCGCAGATGAAATATCTAAGTAGAAAACCCTCATCCGTCTAAGTTGTCTTTGTTGTTTGTTTTGTTTTTTTCATGGTCCTCCTTTCTCGTTCTATGTTTATTTTCAAGCCTTTTAACAGTGAACTCCATTAAACTTTAAGGTCTGAAAATGGTAAATTTGCGGGATTGATGCAGACAATTTCAAGCCTTCACTTTTTTCCTTTGGTTACACAAAGCACTGAAAGCAGTGAAATGAATGAACCCAAAGATCGCTTACCTCAATAGCGACTGGGTCTGGGTAGGAGTCTTTCGAGAAAAATGGAAATAATAGGCAACGCTCTAGAGAAACGAAGTACTCATGGACACGAAGGAGTTTTTGTTACAATAAATCTGATGTTTACCCGCCAATTTACTAGAATTGACTGCGAAGTAGGACTTGTCACACTTAGGATCTGGACATCGACTTCAGGCTCTAAAAAGGGAAAATAACAAGTAAAGTTTAGATTGATTGATACTCCATCTGAATAGCTCTGTCCTATGACCTGACGCCTGGACCGGGTTGTTCGATAAGTATTACGGAAATCAATCACGTTATCCGCGTGAGAGTGCTTTATCCGGTGGATAGCACTGTACAGCTTTGAACAACTGGGGCCTGATTATTACATGAAAAATCGCTGAATTAGTTTGCTTACATACCTTTATGTGTCACAGTTCTTCAGATTTTAATGAAAATATCGATTAGATGATAACAACAGTAGTCAATGTAAAACGATGTAGTGGTCAATATTTTGGAAAAATAACGTATTATATAAATTATCATTCTAAGCACTGCATCTAATTTGCATCATAACTTACTGGCAGTTTTTGTTTTGAAATTTTGGACATTACTCCATGGACTCTTTCCTAAGACACTGTTGGGTATCAACCTAACACTGTAGGTTGTGTATGGCTTGAGGTTGATAATCCGTTTACTTAATACAGCTCCCAAAGATATATTCTCTGCAAAAGTACTATTTCGATACTCAAGATTGTAGGCAGTTACAGGCACTTCATCCGCTCCAGGATTATACGACCATGTGACTAATGCTGATCTTGCTTTAAGTTTACTTGGATTAACTTGAACAACTGGCTGGCCTGGTTTCTCTGAAAATCAACGAATAAACAAACGCGTTAAAAATACGTTACCCATTTAGAATACGTTAAAGGTTGAGGCATTTTTTTAGGAGGTACTTCCTTGTTGATATAATACCGTTCATAGTCGTGTATTGTTGGAATGCAATATTTTCGTGTCCTTATAAAGGACTTAAATTATGTTAGTTATTGACGACTGCGTGATCCCGTATATTAAATTAATTTTGACCTTCACAATAACGAGCAAAAAACCGTTCTAAGGTACGCACTAATTGTTGCTTACTTAAGGACACCATAACATTTGCAGTGGTCAGATGACTGCCTTGTATTCCAGAAAGTGACGCAGAGCATTGGTACGTTGAATTACACTGGACTCCACTGGCTGAAGGGAGCTTTCTTGTACAAGAGTTACTGTAGATATTACTGGCATTGTTGTATGGTATGGTAACCGAAGAGGTTGTGTCAGACAGCCCCGTTCCATCTCTGCTCCAACTATACCCAGAGGGTTGTCGAGGGCTGTAACTAGCCACACAGGTCAGGTTGACAGATTCACTAGGGTCGGCTGTCAAACGAACATCATCGAGACCAATGTTTAACGGTAACGAAACTTCGACTGGAAAAGACAAGCAAATATTAGATGTAAAGACGACAAGAAGTAACTTAGGCAAACTTATCACATACAATATCTCGATTTTACACTCCATTAGGTTTATTGAATCTGATTGGCTGAGAGCAGTAATGCAGTTCCAAGATGGAGCCGGGGTTTATAGCATGTGGGGTTTATGTGGGGGGAGGGAGGCGAGAAAGTAGATTTGATACAAATCCAAGATATATGGCCGCGCGTAATGTAGAGCGGTTGATCTTGAGGAACTTACGGAAAAATAACGGACTGTAAACAGCCTATAAGTAAACAGAGTGCAAAAACGAAGAAATATAATTCAATTATCAGATAATGGAGAACCGTGATTGGCAAAAAACAATAGAAATGTTTAAGAACCAATCAGGCGCCGCAATCCTTATTGGCAACTTTGAGGTTGCGCGTGAGACTGGGTTCAAGTGTTGTGACGATCGAATTGCATTGTGGGGATGTTTTGAGGACGAGTTTTGATGTAGTAAATTTTTGCCCGTTTGATACTTTTTTGAAAAACACACTCAAGCAAATAAATTCCAAATTGAACTTGAAGTCGTATGATAACCTATACAAACACTGTCTTCTGACAGAAACGTTTGCATTACCGTTTACGAAGACAGGAATCGGCTCCTGACGAAAAAAAAAATTCACTTCTAACTGCAGATTCCGGCCTTCTTGACGGTAGCAGTTAGCAGGTAGATATCTCCATCCAATATTCCTTTGCGCAGGCTAGAAAGTGCAGCTGTACTTATTATACGGCTGGCGGGCAAGATGAGGCTGATTGGTGACCCGAGGAAGCAAGATGGGGAGGAGCGTTGCGTGACGAGACCAAAACGGCTGCGTGCGAGGCTAGCTACAAGCGCCTAACACTGTGATGGCAAGATTAAGCTCGTTTGTTTATTCAAATTTTTAAGCTTAAGTTACTTTTTAGCCCAAATTAAAATGTACATTTCAGCTTATTTCTTTTTTAACATTTAAAGCATTGTAACGCGCTTTTGATCACATTTGCATGGAAAAGGCGCGTTATAAATTTTGAATTATTATTATAAATTATCGACTGTATACGGCAGCACATGTATCCTATTAATTCAAATTTTTACAAATCCCCATCTAACAAATTATACTTACAATCCTTACAGCCAAACAAGTCCATTCTCATACATATTGCACCGGTGTATGTTTGGGGAAATATTCTGACATATTGCGCTGCAAACGGGGGAGCAAACCAGTGGACAACAACGGTATTTCTGTCGCTGTTTCCAGTCAACTCCTGAGTGGGTAGATCAAGAACAAAGTATTAAAGTGGAGATATACAAATAAATTTATTTACAGGAGCCTACATTCAGTGCGGTATATTCCCAAACTTACTGAAGGAGAGCGCTAGAGGTGATGGGAAGGAGGAATTTTTCTCCTTTTCCTTCCCATCGCCCCTCGCGCTCCCTTTGGTCACGCTACTCGTGACTGGGGACGAGTCAACCTAAGCGGGGTTGCAAATGTCCGTTCAGGGGCCCGTTCCTCGACTGAAGTTCCGATAATTAACGGACAAACAAGAAAAGTTGTCAGGGATACATTAAGCACTGAGTAAATCTTCAGCTTTAAAGTAATAATCGTCTCTGTTTGACCTGTCTACTGACATTATGTCCGACAAAAGGTAAGATTTAAACGTTCATTTGTTAAAAGGTGGTTTGATTTTGTTTTTACTCACTTGAAGTCTACTTGAAAGTTTCAAAGAGTTATAGATGTGAATGAATCTGCATTGGCTTACTGTTTGGCTTCGAATATTTAGTACGTTAGATAGTCACGCACAGTTACTGTACAAATAGGTTCATTGCAGAGCTTCAAATTGCAGGCTGTAATCGGACAGTCGGACTAAAAATTGGTACATTGTTCGACTCCTACAACCTACGTTTTGAGGCCAGAGACTCGTCACCGCTTACAACAAAGCTCGCAATATGATACTTTTCTGTCTCGAGCCCGAGGTCAGTGTTTCACCCGTGTAGCCAAAATCAGACGAAATACGGTAACACACTAGACGACGACAATTGGATGATTGATTGCCAATCGTGAGACTTGTTCCTTCATATGGCTTAATAATGCCTTCCGGAAAGCTTTGCTCCAGGCGGCCAAAAAGAAATCTAGAAAATTAACCGACCACAGAAAACAACTTCTATCGCGCGCGCTGATTTCAAGTAGGATTGTTTTATCACACGAAAATGAGAATTGTGGAAAATGATCGCAGGTAGTGGTGTTTGTGGTAGGGCCGGGGGAGAGGGATGAAGAAAGATGCAGACAGCATTATAAACGCATGATTTTAGGGTTTATCTCGGTGTAAAAACCTGTGAAGTTTTTCTTTGTTTTCTAGCTATCATTTTCCTTGGCTCGATTGTGTTGGCTTCTCAGTGGCTTCTTTGTATTCATTGTTTTACGTCACCGTCCGAGAGTTTCAAAGGTTTTTACACCAAGGATGAGCATGATTTAATGCCTACTGCAGCTTGTTAGACGATTTGTGTACTCAAAATGTTATAACAAAGAAAATAAGTAAAGTAAACGAGCCCGAAATGAGAATGTCGGGGAAAAACTCCTGGAGGTCCCTTTAAGCAAATCCAC